CGAAGACAACAAACAACAAGAAACAAGAAGAGCACACAGTGAAGAGGGAGGAAACAGAGTGAACAGGCAATCAATGAGCGTTTCTGCAAAGCCGGTGTTAGGGTTAAGGTGTCATTGGCGTTGGTTTATTTGGAGCTCATTTTTCCTTCGATTCCCAGAACTCGAACGTGGAGATGCATTCCTCGAATGCTGGATCTCTGGAGCTTTTAAAATTCGTACAGAGCGGTGTGGTGCAGTAAGGTACGGTGCGCAGGTACAAAAATCGTCAACCAAAATTCTCTGCAAAATACTAAAAGACTGTCCACTGATAATTCTGAAGTAATATTAATACAACACTAAAAGCGTTCGGGGGAAGTGTTCAGGAGAAGTGTTCGGGAGCAGTGTTTGAGAGAAGTGAAACCAAATTTGCAGAGGAATGCGATTCTCAGCTTGCCTTTTGATTGTTATCTTAACAGCGTGTAGTAGAGGTGCGATCCTCATTTATCTTGTGACCAAGGCGGCGATGTTTTCTTTCGCTCACTGGTATGAAGGAACGATCGTAATACATTTACCTCGAAGGATACCGGTACTACTAGCTAGCCAGTACTTCAGTAGGATCCCCTACTACATGTACGGGTCTCAGTACTTCTCGTACCGGTGTCGCTGGTGCTAGCTAGCTAGTACTGTAGTACATGTGTGCGGGTGTACAGTACCTACAGATGGGCACGTTTAGAAGACCAAAGGCACGCCTCGACATGATTTTCTTTGTCTCCTACCTTCCCACAAATTCGAAACCAATCATCTCCTCGTGGAGAAAGTTGAAATCATCAACCACAAAACAAAATGAAGCTATACTTCGTAATTGACCAAACAAGTGGTGTTGTCCGTGCTGGAGAACAGCTTTCTGGAAGACTAATCATCAGCTCTACCCAGCCTGTGCGTGCAACTAACATTTCGCTATACTTCAGAGGCAAAGAAGACACTACAGTTCAGCACCTCGAACAAAGGAAGGTCGGTGATGATTATGAGACAAGGAGAGTAACATCCCACGAAAAACACCAATTCTTTCGAATGGACATGCCGGTCCCAGACCTTTCTTCCATTATTTGGAATGGAAGAACAGTTCCAGGCCAACACGAAGTCCCCTTTCGAATACAGCTGCCTTGGAATCTACCTTCTACTATGCGGATTGAAGAAAATGGAGACAGCGCTACAATTGCATACTGTCTCAGAGCCCAACTCAATGGGTCGGGATTCTTGAAAGACTACCAAGCCACACAATCTGTACAGATTTTGGCAAAAGCCGAGCCAGCTGAGACATCCCCATACATCGTGCCGCCAACATCCACAACAATTAGATCCTTCGGGTTGTTCGGAAAAGGCGAGATAACGTATGGGGCCAAAGTGCCGGTTACGAAGCTGGCGCAAGGACAAACTGTTGAGGCATATGTTGCTTTGATCAACAACAGTGGGAAAAGTCTAAGAGAAGTGATAGTGGAATTGACAGAGGTGGCCAAGTTTTCTGCTCATGGGCACTGCAGAACTGTCTACAACCATCTGTGGACAGAGAGGTTTTCAGAGCAACACTTTACAGGAAGCCAGAAACTAGACAAGGAAAACTTGAAGAAAATGCAACAAGACGCCAACAGGAAGCAGAAGAGCTATCATCAAGTGCTGGCTGCTGTGAATGACGATGAAGGATCGTCACGATGCACCGTCCAGGTGCCTCGGGGCTCCCATGAATCCTTCCAGGGAACAAGTATCAAGGTTTCCCATACTCTTCGTGTCATAATGAAGACTCAATTCGGTGCCACCAACCCCGAGTTCAGCGTGCCCATTGATATTGTGCAAGAGATTCAGCGGATTCAACCGGCTGTGAATGGCGGGGAAGGCCAAGAGGAACAATATCCAACCGCCCATGCTGAGCCAATCTATGATGAAGAACAAACGCCCACCGTGAACCCAGTCGATGTGGCTGGTTTCCGAAATTACAGTGATCCTCCAACGAATCCGACCTATATTGTGAAATGAGTCTGTCTTGCCGCAGATGTTCGGGAACTCGTCTATTCCTGGCCGGTATCGAACAGCTAGGGAGAAGCTCAAGAGTTTCAGCAAACGACCAACTGTACCAGGTAACATTCTTTGACAAGAAGACGTGCTGAAAAGGCAGGAAAACCTCGACTATCGAGAGTCCCTCAGAGGAGTACGCTTTGCATTACACCTGTGAAGTTATTAGAATACATGACGTACGGTAATCATATTAGTAGCTCATCTACATCAGTAATTGTTGCTGCATAGCGCGCAAGTGTTGCCAATTGCAGGTATGGTTGAGATCGAGGTGGTACTAGGCAGTTGTAACGACTCCAGTTTGCGGCGATAGTTCTTTCTTTTTGGGTCAAACTGACCTAAAAGCTCTCAACTTGTTGCGTAGTGATCACACTTCTTGGTCCCTCTTGCGCTCTTGTCGCCATGGCATGGATCGCAGAACGTTGCCCATGGTAAATTTTGTGGCAACAACAGACACACGGTCTGGATGGCGTCGATTGGTAGTGGTACCAATTGATTATTAAAGAAATGCCAAACGATATCCACAGGAGCACCTCAATCTTGTTTTGCTCGGAGCAGCTGCCGAATGGATTGTCGAAATTCTTTTTCCAATGGAAAGGCGACGGCGCAAATCCCCACAAAGCACATGCCACCAAGAATTACGTGTCTGGCTGCTAGCAGAAACCATGCTTTGCTTCCTGTCGGAACCTCCGTGTGCGATTCGAGCCATTGCAACGACTGGTGGCTGCCCAATGCCGACACGGCAAAGCAGACGAGCACCACCGGATGCGGTGACATTTGTCGCACGAGCGTTTGAAACATTTTGCCGGTTGTCGTCGTATTCTCCTCGCCGCCACCATTATTGTGTTGTTCTTGTGCAAAGTATTTTGCGGCAAACACCATGGAATACAAGGATCTCAATGCCATGCAGACGCAATTGGCGGCCACAACACCGACCGTGTCGAATCGACTGACGAACATGGGAGCAATCACGGCAAAGATCACACCGACCACGGAATGCATCACCCCCAAGCGCCCAATATCCCCTCCACTGGACGCCACCCCAAAAACAAAGGCTTCTGTCATGCCATTCCATGCCATGAATGCCGTGTAGATGCAAAATGCGCTCAAGACGGTAGCAGCTTCGGGTATGGATCCCCATTTGCGTCCCGCCAGTACATTGAGTAGAACGGATGTGTAATTGGTGGCCAAGCAACAAAAGACCAGGCCAATGTAGAGGACCAATTTGACCAAGACAACGTAGGATTGTTGCAAGAGTCTGCGATAGTTGTTGTTGTTGTCATTATTATTTTGCGTCGACGACGACGAGACGCGACTCCACAATAACCGTGCCACCTCTTCCATGGGTTGCAACAGAAATCGAGCGGCCAATCCCCCATAGGCACTGGCCATGGCATAAATTCCTTGATCGTAGCTTCCTGCCAGAGTGCTCAACACGATCCGATCGGCTTCTGTAAGAAAGTGTTTGAACAATCCTTGCACCGTAAAGAGTAGCGTCATGTAACAGGTGGTTCCATCCAATCCTTGAGAAACGTCAAAGAGTACGAGTTGGAACCATGTTTTTCGGTACATGAATGCGGCATAGACGGTCCCGTACACCACCTGTGCCACTCCAAAACAACAAATGGGCCATTGCGGTGCCAATTGCAACGCCATGACAGTAGCGAATGTCTTGAAGAGAGATGCCATGCCTTCGGCCGAGACCCGAGTGGCGACTTGCAATTGACGCAAACAATGCAAGGCAGCCGGTTCGGCCAATCCTTCCATCCACGCCCCAATGCAATAGAGAATTCCACCCCATTGATAGTCTTGATCCAATTGGGCCGTTTCCGTCTGCATATGCCAAACAAATGCCAGCAATGCTGCCGCCGTAGAAACCGGAATGCTGAGCCATGCCACATTCCACGTATCATTCTCCGCTGTTGTTTTGGTCAAGGAGAGACGGAATCCTTCTCGACTGACAAAGAGGACTGTGGTCAAGAGCAATTCCAATTGAATGGCGGCTTGACCTAGAGCGGCGATATTGTCACCCAACAGGCGAAAGGAGACTTGTGTGCACAAGAAGGATAACAGTTTCACAGCTATACTCCAAACAGTCCCGGAAGCAGCTTTGCGAATGGAGGAATCATCCGTTGGAGTATCGTGTTGTTCTTTTTGTGGATTGTCGTCTTTGGTCGCCGATGCCTTGTCCTTGTCTTCGTTACCAGTAGGTGGGTCTTTGGCCGAAGATCCCATTTGAAAGTAGACAGCTACTGTGATGCCCAATACAATGGGGAGAATCAGAAGCGAAAACATAGACGCATCTTGAATACCAATAGACAGGAACAGTCGCTGCACAGTTGATGCCATGGTCGACCTTCAATGGCTGTCAATCCGTTGACTTGGTTTGTTGATGGTGTGAGGGGAATGGATCTTGGCTCAAATTCGAATCATATCAGTCGATCCGAATGATCAATCGAATAACTTGAACTTTACGCCGATTTAGAGCACGCTAGGTAGATTATCTAAGGAAACCAAAACTTGAAACCTGGCTACCTGCCAGAAGGCCGTCTGGACCATTGACGTGACAATACTAGTAGGAATGGATGTGGAGGAGCAATGACGAGGGCTGCACACCAAGTGCAAAGCTGGTGGGCAATCTACTAGTCAAGGTCGTCGGCAGTGCTTTTTCTTTTGCATCAGGTATCAGAACTATTGAAGAAGAATGGTTTGTATATCTACATTTGCTGGATAGCTTCGTCTATCCCGGACTTGAAATAGCTGGCGAGTACTGGGCGGAAAATGTAGTGCACTCAGCAAGTAAAGCAGCTCAAAGCAAAGCCTTCCATTGGGTTTGCTGGGGTTGCCTCCACAGTACCATAGTGTGAAATCGATTAGATTGGCTGAGGCAAGCAGAAAGCGACGAAAGGCAGGCACCCAATGTCACATCCGTTCCACCAAGATGTGAGCTAGTCCTAGTTCTCTGGAAACTCTGACATACTTCCACTTGCCATCTTTCATCAAAGTTGAAATGAGAGCCACATTCTTCTCCGAAAATGGGATCTCAAGCAAATTCTTTGGTTTGATCCGTTTGGGTGCACTGATTCCATCCACCTGTACAGCAACTCAGCCCTCTTCCAACCCATCCATGCATATGGTGCCAAATTTGCCATTCATTGTCAAACCGGAAGGACTGACAAGACCATGGATCAAAACCCACAAACCAGCTTCGCCTCTCTCCAAACCAGTGCAACCTGATGTGCCCTCCTCTTCGGCTTCCATGTCTGCAGCAGCTTCCATCGCTACTTCAGAATACATTTGGAATTCCTTTGCCTCTTCATCATTTTCTGATGCATACTTGAATAAGGCAGATGCATCCTTCAACTCAGAAGAAGTTCCATTAATGGCAAAGTTTCTGTTGTTGACAATTCCTTGAGTGATTAAGCCGGACAAAGCACATGCCCGAGTGAGGGACAACTGGACAATACTGGTACTGTTGCTGTCTTCAGCTCTATCAGCACTTTCGGTGATTGTGTTGAGTGCAACCTTGGTGATTCTCTTGAGCATACCATCACAGCACCACCAACTTGGTTTATGTTGCCCATTTTCGCTTTTCCAACAGTATCTAGTCGTGAGATCTTCTATGAGAGAAGTCCAATGGCCAAAGGCAAGAGGGCGAGGCTTCTGCTCAGGATCAAGATTCCCAAACAGAGCACAAAATGCCCACCGTTTGAATGCTTCCCCCAAATATGACGTGGCTTCCTTCCGCTGTCCTGATGCATCGAAGCATTGCGCAAGTCGATGAAAACTTTCTGGTTGCCTTGAGTCTAGCTTTATAGCTTTGCCATATAGCTTCTTACCACCAGCAATATCCCATCAGCTACCTTCTTTTCTGCTGACAACATAATAGCGTAATATTCATCACCCAAAGCTTCCACAATATTAGGAAAAGGTTGATTAGCAAGTGCGTTGCAATGTTGCAATCCCTTCCTAAAGTTTCCACAATGTCAGGGAAAAGTCCGCCAAGGTCATAAGCAAGGTCCTTTTTCTTTTTTTTTTGATTCCTTCCTATGTCATTTTTTGTGTCTTGGCCAAGCCTCCTAGAAACACTGTTGGGAGCAAAATAATGCTGGAATCAAGCCTTCTTGATGACATTGTGGACACTGCTCGAATTTAGTGCCGGCGGATTCTGCTGTTTGGCAGCCCCAGCAGACTCTTTCTGCCTTGAAATCTGGTGGTATCATACCCATTAGCTCTTTCTTGGCCAACTCCATCGTGACAAAAGGTCTAGCTAGCTAGCCAGGTAGTTGCATGGAAGTGGAACACAAAGGAGCTCTTGTTGTGGTTCGGGATCTTGATGCCTCTTTGGTTTCGCTGGACGGAGTTCCTGAAATAGACAGACTAACTGGCTTATAGCTTTGAGGGATTTCGCAATTGCATGGCCCGTGAATGGTGATAGTACTAGTAATAAGGCTACGGACGGGAAGAATGGAGCCGTGATTTCCCGCTTCATTTGAATTTTCCACATGCTGGCCTTCAGAGTCCGAAACACCCAGGCCGGATGTAGGCCAGTGGGAGGTACGACTGCACAACTTGTTGGCAAAAGCAGCTCTATCTACAAGGAGCGAAGCTGCTGTTTGAAGTTGTGGCCTGGCTGCAGCTGGTACTGTACCGGTAGAAGAAGAGGAATTCATTTCTATTGTTTTACTTTATGGGGATCAATCTATCTAAGAACCTGTAGTGGGTATAGTGGGTAGGAGAACGTGGACAACAAAGCCCCTCCCTGCTGTCTCTTCCAGCCACGTGTGGGACAAGCAAGCGTCAGGAGCCCTTCATTCACTCAGCTTGGGGCAAGAGGCAGCCTCTGCGGATTCATAAAGACCTGCGTACCCTGTAATGCTGCCCATTGCAATGATTTGAATCTTGCCAATCTTGCCGCCTTTCTTCATGTGGAAAATGTAACGCTCCTCGTCTAAGGAGATTCGCTTCCCGGATGGAGGAATCGCTGGAAGCTCTCCCGGTATGATGGTGTATGGAGTACCCGTATGTGTTCCAGACCAGCAAACCCCGTCCACAAAGATTCTCTTGGGGCTTCTAGGATCCTCACAAATGGCAGCGAGGGACATGCCGTAGTCAGGAAAGCTTTCGTATGCCATCTTCAGTTGGAGCGCACATTCCCTTGCAGTGCACTTGAGTCCATCCTCAAATTCCATTGTGACATCTGGTGATTCGAAAAGCCCCAATGTTTCCTCGAAGGATGAATCTATGTTTTCAGGGTCAAACAGATTCGTCAACTCCATGAAACGCTCCACAACCTTGAGATTCTCCGATTTTGTTGGCAGCACTTCCTCTCCCCTGTTCTTTGGCTTTTTGCTGCGTTGCGACTTCTTGCTGCTCCTTTTGCTACATGCACTGCTAATGCTAAGACTTGTAGTGGACGCACCACAATTGGACACAGTTTCTTCGATTTCTTCCTGCTCTTCTCCCCTCGAAGACTTGCTATCAGCAGTACTGACACTAGCCGCTTTGTGAGATGAGAAGAGTCTAAAGAGCTTCATCTTGCTTCTTGTTCTTGTTTCTTTGTGTTGTGGAAGTTGGAATAATGTGCTGTTTCTCTCGCTCGGCTCAGGTTGTTTTTATGCAACTTGGTTGCAAGTTATGTGAAACCCAATGCTGATGATCCAATCTCCCCACTAGGCCTCGCTGGCCATGGTTCCGTAGGTTTGGCGCTGCCTCTTCTCATTTATTTGATCTACAGTCATCATCGCGTGGACAAACTCATCGGTGATAAGACAGGCTTTGAAAGAAAGGACCCTGCAGCACGCAGCAGACCACCTACTAGTCTAGAGCTAGTAGTACTAGTATCTAGTTCTGGGACACAGCTGATGCCATTAAGAATGGCCGCTATCATTGCTGCGCGACTCGCTTCCACGCAAATGCAGTCATACGGTACCGAATTTTTGACAAGAATTGGCAACCTGGGGGCACCCACTCCTTGCTCCGTGGGAATTGCGCTTAACTGATTTGATCTACAGTCATCGTCGCGGGGACATACCAGTACGTGTACGACCGTAGCATTACGAAACGAAACGCCAGGCTTTGGGGCAATGTCGAACACGTACTGTACTCTTCTGCCAGCCACACTGTACTAACTAGCTACGGTAGCCTAAAGCTTGTGGCATTGTTTACAAGTGTTACAATTGGCAGTTGGAGAGAGATCTTTGACATCTAGCGCTTTCATCGCTCCTACTACCAGTGGCCGTATGTACCGTAGCTGGTTTGCTAGCCAGTTGCCAAAATGGCCACACTGAGAAAATGAGCCCGAAACTGATGGAACACATGATGCTTCTACCACGGAAGCTACTGGTACCCCTGCCTGACCATCAAACTGGCTGGCTAGTCCAGTACAGGGGCGGCCCTGTAGGTATCACGCTTCAGGGTGTTTCTATTACCCTAACTGCAGAATATGTGCTAAGAGGCCTGCTCGTCTGCCGCCGCATGCAGCAGTGGGTGTTGAATACACCAAATTGCAGTAATACTGACCTTGGTACATGTAGCACGTCCATTCGTCAACTACAGTACAGTTTACTACCGTAGCTGTAGCTTCAGTCGCTCTTTAGCTACCGTAGCCAGATGCCAAGCTGGCCTTGGGGAGCTCCTTGGCGCTGGGGCTCACACGCGAACATGGAGCCGAAACTGCCGCCATTGCAGCATGTGCTATGGCCTTCACTGATTTGCGAGCGGTCAACCATGCCAACTTTCAACTTTCCTACTGGACCTGGGGAAACTCCGAAGCGGTCCATCTAATCTGCCAAAGCACTGTGCCGCCATCGTCATCGCCCGAGCTTCCGTGAACACAGTCAGTTGCCGTGCTCAAGGTTTAGGTTAGTTTGTGTCTCGAAAAGGCTTTCTAGAAATCTGGTCATGTGACTTTCCAGTCCTTCCTTCGTGCCAAACGTTGAGCGAGCCGGAAGGGTCGCCGAAAGATCCTTCATTGGAATGAGCGAAACCGACATGCATCCAAGCCACACATCGAAGATCCCACAGCACTCGTATCCAAAGGTAGATTGTTAGTTAGTTACTTAAAAGAGCAACAACAACCACAATGACGAGCAAAGGAGGAGATCCCCACCAACAACTTTCCGAGTACGAATTGCAGCGATTGGAACGCATCAAGAAGAATGAAGCCTACCTGGAATCCTTGGGTCTCAAATCGGCCAAGCAAAAGATGCTGGAAATGACGAAACGTACCCAAAAGAATCAACGTCGTACCACCAAAAAGATTGTGATCCAACCGGGACAAGAGCGTCGCAGCAATCGCCACAACAAGGTTACCAACGACAACAACAAACTTTTGATGTTGAGCTACCGTGGAGAGACCGATCGTGATTTGCGAGCGATTGATCAAAACGATTCCGACGTGTCCAGCGGTAATAGTAGCGAGGACGAGGATGTGATTCCTCCCAGTCGTCGTCGGCTACCAGCCGCCGTGGTGTCTCTGACGGAAGACGAGAAGAAAGTCCTGGCCGCCAACCAAATGGATGAGAACTATTTGACCAAATTCAAGGAATTCCTCATCTACCACAACAAGATTAGCGATCAAAACGTCCGCAATGTCATGCGGCAAGTCACCAAGTTGGCCACGGGCGAGGGAGTCCACTACGATTCGGCACGGTTTGGTTGGAAACCCCATCAAATCTTTTACAAGGGTATCAAGGTCACGCCTCTTTCGGATTTTCCACACATTATGCAATTGGCACAAGAAGCCGAAGACAAGTGGGGTCGCGATCATGGCAATGGTTGGTTGCTCTCCCATCCACTCAAGAAAATGCTGCTGTTTCAACAATTCTGTCTCCAAAATCCAGATTTCTTGGCGGCCAAGTGCAAGCTGAAGGAGTATTACGAAATCCAGAACAACGATAATCAAGCCGAGGAAGTAGAAGATACAATGGAAGAAGTAGTCACTACTACTACAGCTGTTGTTAGCTCCAGTGGTAGTGAGGATGGTGACGAAGAGAAGGACGGGGGAAATCCAGAGCCTGCCGTTGTGACACCTCCACCAAAAAAGACGACAACTAGCAAGAAGAGGAAGAGCACCACCACGGCTACCACTGCCAACAACAACAAAAAGACCAAACACGACAAACACGTAGGATGCTGCGTGGCAAAGTTCTTTGGCGAGGAGCTCTTCTTTGGAACGGTAAAAAGTTACGATGAAGGAGCTCGTTGGTGGTCGATTGAATATGACGACGGCGACACGGAAGAAATGAACGACAAGGAAGTGAAGAAAGCTTTAAAACTGTTCCAGGAAAACAAACAAAAGAGGAGCTAGGAGGCAGAGATCTCCAACTACAGCAATGAAGGCTGTTGTCCACTCGAGTGGCGGTATCTTGTGTTGATTTGTACCATTCGAGTGTAAAAACTAATGAACTACCTAGACTTTAGCTTTTAGTATTATCGGCCTTGCTACACCGTGTGCTTTTTAGGTCAAATGGTTATGCTATGCGTTAGCTACTCAAATGTCACTCTCTGTATCTCCGGTCCTGTCGGTGTTGGACGGGGTGTTGGCAAGTCACTCAGGCGCCCCTGATGGTCTGCTGTCTGTTCGGCCACTTCTGTCGATAATCTACTGGCGTCTGTGTCATTCCGCCCCTTAAGATGCATCTTGCGGACACTGAGTGCTTTTGGTAACACCATCAACCCGCTGCTCGCTGCTGGGAAGCAAAATGTCAAAATCGAAAGCCCAATGTACCTCCCAGAAGGGTTACTTTCATTCAATATAATGACAATCGGATAGCTCACAAGCAGGACCAGAGTTTGGGTCAACATGAAGGCCAGGACCCACTTGGAATCAGAGTACATATCGTCCAGGCCAATTGTTCTCCATGCCATGACGCCAGTTGCTGTGACCGTCGCTAGTTTCAGTACAAACAGTGCGGGGATGAGGTAGAACAAGCTAGCGGACTGACTTGTGCAAGCTCCAACGCTTTCCCCAGTGACTTCATCAATCTCAATGCGCCACCATCCAAATTCAGCCTTCACGGTGAAGATTATCAAGAAAATCAGCGTAATTATGATGACCCCAGTTCCAGGCCACAATGCTCGCCACAACGCAAATGTGTTCTGGTTGTAACGAAGATATTGATTGGCCCGCCACAGCTTTTGGGGGGATAGTAAATGATAAGTAAGGGATTGGCGTCTCTGTTTCTTGCAGGTCCCAGAACAAAAAAAGCTCGTACCTTGTTAAAGATAACTATGTAAGTCCCAGTTCGCCCCAATTCATTCAACCAAACGAAAGCGACACAAGACCTATCCAGGGTCGTCTGGTCAAAGCCCCAGCTCTCATCAAATGCAGCCAGCAATATATTGAATGAGAGTATCCCAGAAGCAAAGCAAAGGGCATATAAGAAAGGTGGTTGAGCTGCCACAAGAATGGCATGGTGTCGATTGTTAACAATCCAAATGAATGAGATCCCCACAATGATCAACGAAATGGCAAAGAGTGTCAGTCCAAAGGCTCTAGCTGCAACTGCGATGTAGTGCTGATTGGGCTCATCTCGCAAAAGTGCTGGCGGAGAATCGCTTCCATTCAGGAAACACATCTTGCCTTTGTCACCGTCGACCCATTTGCCGCGAGTTGGATCGATGCTTTCGACGTAGGTTACAGCCAATCTGAATGCAAGCAAAATCATGCAAAGACAATAATGGATAAACAAGGCCTTGTGAGTTTCCAGTTCACCAAAGAAAGCCTTACCAGCAAACCTACCCATCTCGTTCTCCAGTTGGACATAAGGTGGACACTGAAAAAGGGACAGTCTCTCCTATTCTACTCCCAGGATTCAGTCCATTGTTGTTATTGAACTGGATAAGCCCTGTCGTTCCACTAAAGATGAGGGATCGAATGGCTTTCAAATGCTCTTCTCCATCCATGATTGTTGTTGATGTGCCGTTCCTACTGCCATCATTTGTAGTAGTGGAAAGGCATGCCCCAAGGCCGATACTCATGACAGCATCATACATGAAACCTGCCCCAGGAATCATCTCTGATGATAACTTTGTTCTCAAAGTTTGAAGTGGGTGTGAATCATTGACTACCTCCAGAAGAATTTCTGTGGCATTCAAGACAGAAACATCAGGCATCAATTCCAAAACCCGTTGATAAAAGGCAGCATCCAATTGCTCTAAATAAACTTGGAAATCAACGTGATTCAGATCATAACCATCGTATGCCAACAAGTGAGGAGATCCTTGTAGAAAAGAAGCATTGTGTTTGTTGATTGCGCTTTGAAGAAAGACTTGCATTTGTTGACTATTGGGTGAAGTGGACCCCTCTCTGATCACCCAAAAGTGTTTTCCCTGATCTAGACCAGCCTTTGCGACAGCCGGACCCAACTCAACCGCATCCGCATGCAATATGTTGGCCAGCAAGACAATGGTTCTAAATCCACTCTCCTTGACTTGTGCTACTGCTGTCTGTATATCACTCTGCTGTTCCCAGAACTCTCTGTACTCATCCGCTTGAATCATGTAGTTTGGAGTGTAACTGAACATTAGGACTTGATCAAATCCTTTTTCCTCTAGTACTTTTCTCAGCACAGCAGCATTTTGTAAATTGGAAAGGTTGGAACAGTATAGAACAGCAATGTAGTTGGTCCGCTTCATATGCTGGAGATAGGTTCCCACAAATTGCATATTGCTGTAGGAATCGGCATTCACGTGGGAAAAGAATGGATTTCTTTTTGGCAGCAGTAAATCATAGTCAAGTGATTTGTGTGCCACCAAGGGAGATTTTAGCCCTGTTGCCAATACACTCAATTCCAGGGCAGGGATTTCGTTGAATGGCCCTGCAATGGCATCAGGCGGGGGACTACCCCCATGCATCAGCTGTTCTATGACTGACTCCATGGCGGCATGGCTGTTTACCCCGGTGTCAACGGCACGAAGCTGCTCTTCATGGAACTTGATGGTGCAATTGTGGGTATACCGATCCATGTCTCTGATGATAGAAGCGTTGCGAGAATTGAAGTGATCAACAGCCAATCGAGCCGCTGCCAAATGGAAAAATCCAGGGTCCAGTTCTTCCTGACCACTGCAACAAGCAAATTGAGAAGAAAGGGAAGTGAGATTCGTAGCCAAATCACTCATGGCATGAAGCCAATGCGTAATGCCAGGGATACTCACTCTTGACTGAGAGGGACGGCAATCAAAAGAGACAAGGTCCCATTGTGCCCGCGAAGCCTCGCAACAATAGGGTTTGCGGCACAGACGAAGAGGAGCAAAAGAATGAACCACAACATCAAACCTGTTGCTCTTTGGAGTGCTTTTGTAGCGACGGTTTGAGGTGGGGATTAGGATGTCAAGGGTGGGTAACTTCCATACTCTAAAACCCCCTTTCTCATTGAGGTAAGAGGTGGGGATGTCAAGCTGGCTAGCTACCTGGTGGTAGCTATTTTAAAATAGCAAGGGTGCACCTGTTCAATGTTAGGTGCGCTTGCTAGCTAGCTAGCTAGATCTAGCTTGCTTGCTCATTGCGGTCGTTTACGGCCACACCGATGAACATTAACCTTAACTACAAATGATCCTCGCGGTGCGCATGCGTACTGCCGTGGAGGTTGCCTTGAGGGAAAATCACGCAGCTTTTCCTCCCGTTACAACTCATTGCTGGAAGGTCCAGCTATGTTTAGCAGCTTGCTATCCCCTGTTACAACTCATTGCTGTACAGGTCCAGCTATGCATAGCAGCTAGCTATCCAGCTATCCATCTAGCATCTACACTGTAGCTAGCTGGACAGCTATCCAGCTAGCTACAGTGTAGAGATACAGCTATCCAGCTGGCTACAGCCAGGCAATCGCGGATACTAATGGTAAGCATGTGTGCACAATTCTGTTGCGTTGGCATTGGCTGGTTGGCTTCTTGTTGCCAAACTACTGGGAACTCCGAATAGGCCTCTGTTTACCGGTACCGGTAGCTCGGAGGAGAAATCGGGCCACGGTTAGAATAATTCTGGCCCTCGTGTCAGCAAATGAGAGCAAGAGGCAGTGCATTGGATATTTCCCTTCTGAATTTAGGTTGAGATCGAGTCGAATTGATTGTTGTCTCTCCGCACACACAAACCTAAATTCAAGGAAAATCTCCTCAATTGCGATGATGCTTGGCATTGCCAGCCAGAAACAAAAGACTTGCAGTGGCTGCCACGGCCCCCACTACCATCCCTGTACCCAGCCACAAGATGGCTCCAGCAGTTGTCGTTTTGGTGGCTTCGCCGAGATCAGCTGGTACAAGCCGCTGAAGTTGTCCAATGCTACTTGATACATCATCCTTGTTTCCACAATTTGCCACCAGTTCATTTTGCAGTTGGACCAGTCGTCGATAGGGGTGATAATACCAGCATTGAAACTTGCCCTCCCAGAATTCCAAAATGATGGTATCTTCCAAGAAGTGTAGGATGTGAGGGAAAAAGCTGTCCACAGTAAAGAATTCGCCAGCTTCATAGACTGTCTTTTTGGTTCCTTCTTTTTGCAGTAACCAGACTTCGACCTTGCCACTGATGACAAAGCCAAATGTCTTGTGATTGTGCAGGTAGCCTGATCTCATGACATCCTTCTTGCTGAATAGCATATTGATCCGCTTGCCGCCGACTCGCAATCGATGAATTTCTCCACGATCGTCAACAAAGATGGAAGGAACTGGGCTGTTGGCAATTCGGCCAGGTCCTTCGCTCACATGAGGACTCTCTAGGACTTTGTTAGTACCAACATCCACGGTTTCTTTATGCGAGGAAGCGAAAGGGAAAGTATGATATTATTGATGAGCGAGCTGCAATACATTTTACACATCTCAAAGACATTTTGTTGCATCCTTCCTTACCTGCTACTGTGATATCCAAAAGGGGCACATCACTTTTTTTGCTTTCATCGCAGGACTTCATGGTCGCACCTCTTGAGGTAAGGTAGAAGGATTCAACAGCTGAAGGGGGGCGGACTACTGGTAGCAGCAAGCGAGGATACAACTAACCGCAATACGCAATCTGCGTGCTGCTGAGGAGCTATTGGTAATAGTGGACTACTCCCTCCTTCGCACTCTTGAGAGAGTTTTATGAAGGAACTTCGGAGAGTACGGAAGTGATCGATGGGTGGTTCTTCGTCAAAATGGGTCAAAATGGATCTTCGATTCGATTCGATTCGATTCGATTCATTCGACGGCGGGTTCTCGAATCGAAACCTCAAGAAGCGCAATAAATCTCCAAATACCGCGCAACGGTACCAGCGACATCACAAATGAAGAAAATCTCCCTGCCAGAGTCAAATAGATCTACGATGTAGCTCTAGAATGGCAGCACCAATCTGAGTACTGTGTCGGTCAAGGTCGGTGGGTAAGAAGTGTACGGGTACGAATGAGGAATCTCTAGCTAGATCTACCGGTCAGGCATTACCTGACAAAGACTGAGAACGCAACGTGTTCCATTGTTTTGGTTCTCTTATGGCTCCCGGTACATGTGAAGGACATCGTGGAATCCTTCCTTACCGTACCGCATGACTGCTGCAAGGAAGGAGCCATTTCGGAAGAGCCAGGAAACGAACTGCAACGGACGTCAATGCTGATAGTGACGCTCAGGTCGGCGACGGATGATGCCCAACCGGTATGGTATCCCCCCGGAACCGGTGTCATCTCATATGCCTAGTAGTGTATTGTGTAAGTGCTAGCTACCGGTAGCTTGCTAGCGCCTTTGATCAGCTATAAGCTAAATGAACATGTTGGAAGCTGCCGCAGGGGATCTGCGATGTCGTCCCTGAGGTTTGCTGCTGCTGCCTGCTGAGTCGTTTCCCGTTGTCCCGTCCATCGAAATGATGGTGTTGGCAGAGTCTTCCGCAAACCGTACCGATGGTTTTGCCCCGCCCATTTCTTCATCCATATCATCATCCGACATTGCTGCTGTAGTGATATTAATGCTGTTCTCAAAGTCGGGAGGATCCTGCTGCTTGTCGCCTGGAGGTGGTGTTTCCTCGGACAATGAAGATTGTATCATCAGTTCTTCTGGTTGTTTGCTGAACGTAGTATTCACAGTGGTGTCAAACACAATAATCTCCTCCTCCAAATTAATATTGTCGTCTGATGTTGATTTGTTGGTGTCACCCGCACCACTCCCTGAAAAGGAAGATGCTCGACCAAAGCTCTTCATTTTCCGCAACGATCGTGCCCGCCGCAACAAAATGGTGACGGTATCCTCCCGATCCTGTTCCATTTGATTTTCCACCATGTCTCGACTGAGGAATAGTTGTGGAATGCCCCATGAAGTGGGGTATTGTCGATTGTCCGACAAGTTATTGATGAATACCGAGCACAAAATGGCGATCAGGTTGGCAATCAGAGTGGACAGCATGTTTCCAAAACCCCACGTGCCACTGGCAAAGATGTAGGCATTGGCCGCCGCCGGTGGATTGACGACTCCCACCTTGGCCATGGCTCCAATGGCCAGAGCACATGCCAAGGATTGTTGGAACCATGGAGCCAACTTGAGTTGTGCGCATAGCAACGCCATCAGCATGGATACGACCTGTCCCTGTAAGACCATGCGGGGTTGTGCCGCCGGTGCCGCCGTCAACCCAAACTGCAAAGCGAGGAGGGCCGCCATGGATCCCATTGGAATTTGGTAGTGTGTCCCCACCTTGTTAAGAAATAGTTCATTGACAATGGACACTGCGACCATGGAAAGTAGGACTCCCATGGACGTGAATCCTGACATTTCCCAGGTAAAGGTGGGTGGTGCTTGAGTGGCCGCCCCCTTGAATTTGGAAATGGATTGTTTACTTTTTCGTGTCAGGAACGTGACGGCTTGTTGGGTCCAGCTCGTTTTGGTAGTCGTGGTGACTTCTTGGATTTGATCATTTGGATCCAGCTCGGTGGTGGTGTTGTTGTTGAATTGATGGTGGTGCTGTTGTTGATTGTCCCAATCGTATTTTCCCTTGGAAATGGATTCGAAATCGGCTCCATTTCGAATGAGAAAGAGGATTGCCCGCTTGACCTTGCGAAAGTTTCGATCGACTTGGCATTGTCGTCTCGCAATGGCGTTTCTTCTGGGTATTCTCAGTGCGAGACACGATCCGACAAAGTCCGATGCTGCCGTGAGATAGGTGGTATTGGTAGGATCTTGTAGTTTGGGCACGTTGGTTCCCTCTCGTGCATAATATACGACAATGCCTTCTTGTCCTTGAATACTAAAGGGGACTCCACCGGTCCATTTGAGATCCGTGGACGATGCCAGTACTTGCAAGCGTCGATTGGGCGGCTGGTCTGGATCATTGGCAAGTGCCTTGAGGTCCCTCCATGCAATACGCTGTCCACCCAAATACTGGTTATTGCCATTATGATTGTTGTCGTCGCTAAAGATTTGTGCCAAAAAGGTACTGTCCAAGAGCGCCGAACTATTTCCCCCACCACCGCTTTTTCGACTGCGCCGTGTCCCATGACCTCCTCCTCCTCCATGATGATGATCCCGTCCGGTGGTTCGTAAATCACTCCACAGCACTCCCGGCACACCGACACCTGGACTCAATGCCGGCGGCGCAATATAATCGTGACTTTTGGCATCGACAAATTGACAAAAGACGGCCGTATCGAATTGCCAATAGGGATCAATCCACCATCCTCCTTCGGGGCGTGTGAGTTTGGATGTCATGGGATTCCAGACCCATACTTCGACCATTTGGGTTCCGTAGGCGAATTGACAGGCATCTTGGAGTGTTCTGTGCAATAAATCTTGATCTTGTTGTTCTTGACGAATGCGACGAATGGAACGCACCGAACGGCCTTTGAGTTTCGTCGAGAATTTGGAGTCTTCTTGTAGAGCACTGTTGTCCAAGTTGAACGACGAGTTCATGCGACGCAGTTGCGTCAAACTGTTTTGCAGACTCATGGTTAGAGCTAACTGGGAGTACTGTCAACTTTAGAAGGAAGGATTAGCAATGCGGTTTCAATGCCAAAGAAGACGATGGATTGCCACATCTCACAGCTCCCAACGATCTCCCAACAAGCAAGATGATGAGTGCCAGCAACGGCCCCATCTTGGCCATTGTTGAGGCCATTGTGGAGGCTTCCGCGAGGGAAAGAATGGGAGATGTTCCGGAACTTTTCAAACAACGGCGCAAATACAACAGTTTGTCCGAAACGCCAGCAGAGCGGCTTAAACATCTGTTTACGAATAAAGCATTAACCCTAACCTCCCTTTTTCAAATCCGAATGGTACCCGGTGACGCCTCACTCCATTTCTCCTCGATTGATGCGAAAGATCGTCATCTGAAAGGAAAGACGACGATGATGAAGAACGACGATTCCGAAGCGACACTGCAAGCTAGGAACACGAGCAGTGTGGATCTAGAAGAAGATAATGACGATGACTACTTGATGGAAGATAGCAAGTCCATTGGAAGCAATGCGAGTGCTTGGAGAAAATGTGCGCCCATTCCGCCCATTCGGTGTACCAGCATCTACCGACAATCAGAACCATCGGATCTCATTCCGCCGCCACACAACAATAAAGAGACATCTCCCAAGGCACGTGTCGCCACAAAGAAACGACGGCACTCGGCGAAATCACCGTCACCAGCATCTCGACGATCTTCTCGTCAAACAGAACAACAACAGAGGCATTCTCATGGTCATCATCATCGCAGCAGCAGCAGCAAACGGCATGGTCATCACAGCAGCCATCACCAGAAGCAGAGACAGTCTTCCGATAAACAACAGCAACAACAAGAAATTGTGTTTATCCCAGCATCCATATCCTCTTCACAACAACAACGACAGCGACAAGCAGACCTAGAAGCGCAATCCAGACGCAACATGGATTCTTCCTCCCGAAAACGGAACATGGAGTCGTCGTCACAGCGGCAATCCTCTAGACGAAGCTTATCGTCGTCACGTCAACCTTCCTCTTCGTCCAGACGGAACAACAATACATCAACAACGACGCAAGCACCCAAACACGACAACGAAAATGGCATGAATAATAATACTGCAGACATGGATACATCGGCCAATCTGCGACAAATCCAAGCGGCACAAGCTGCCGAACGAGATCGTCGATTCCGTATTACAATCTTGGGAAATATCGTGTTGGGAATTGTAGGATTGGTCTTTCTCCTCTACTTTATTTTTCGTGACAACAACAACAACAACAACAGCAGCCATGTTACCGATCCACCGTCCGTTTCGCCCATCATAACGCTGGCTCCTACAACACTACAACAAGAAGAGAATCCTTGGAATCTACCACTCTCCACTTGGGAACGCGTTGTACAGGATCCCAAATCACCGCAGGCACAAGCCTACGAATGGATATTGGAGGATGTACAGTATTATGGAAAACTATACCTGCATGACAACCCGTGGCGCGTTCATCAACGATTTGCCTTGGCCACTCTGTATTATGCGACCAACACTCATGGCAATTGGAAGCTGTCGGCATGGTTGGATCACGAGGAACACGAATGCCATTGGCCCTCCACGACGGGACTTCATCCCTGTCCAGAAAATAGTAGTGACGACGACATTCCACCCGAACACTATACCCGATTGCATTTGCCAAACAATGGATGCCAAGGGTCGCTTCCACCCGAAGTGTTTACCATGCTGCCCTTTCTGCAGACGATCAATCTCCGTCAAAACAAGGGGCTGCAGGGGACCATTGCCACGGAAATTGGAATGCTGCACGCGACCCTGTTTTTGGATATCTCCGAGACGCGTCTCTCTGGAAGTCTGCCCACCGAACTGTTTCTATTGACGACCCTGAGACGAGTGGATTTCAGTAACAATCATCTTTCCGGAAGTTTGCCAACGGAAATTGGTTTGCTGGCAGAGTCTCTGGTGACCTTGGAGATTTCGAACAATCAGTTTCACGGTTCACTGCCGCGAGAGATTGGGCAGTTGACGCGACTGGAAAAGCTCCATGTCCATCACAACCGACTCTGGCTTTCGATTCCTACGTCGATTGGCAATCTACAGTCCTTGATCGACTTGCGATTTTCTCACAATTCGTTCATGGGCGCCATACCCAGCGAGATTGCCAACATGACGGCATTGCAAAACTTGGTACTCGAACAAAACAACTTGACCTTTGCCATCCCAACACAACTGGGGCAACTCTCGGACACTCTGGAAACCTTTGTTGCAGGTGACAACCAACTATCCGGTCAAATCCCGTCAGAGCTCGGTCTCTTGACCCGCCTCCACACTCTATCTGTGCAACGCAATCGACTAGTGGGAAGCATCCAGTCGGAAATTGGCCACATGTCGGCCCTGACGCAATGTTGGTTTCATTCCAATCCCCTACAAGGATCCCTTCCCGTGGCCATGGGGATGCTATCATCCTTGACGTCTCTGAATATAAATGACACCCTTGTGAGTGGAGTGATCCCGGAAGAGCTTTGTTCTCTAGATGAAATTGTCTTTGATTGTTCCAGCACTCTTTGTGGCTGCAGCGATTGTGCTTGTGACATGATGATGGCCAGCAGTGCCGGTGGTGGCAACAATTCCAATACTCGAAGCCCTGCTCCAGTAGTGGAAGAGGAAGGTAGTATCATTGGAGCTGATGCTGCCTCAAACAATCACACGACAAATATCACGAACCTGGAAGAGCCAATAAACGAAGGCAGCCACGGCATTCTCTCGATTGGATGGATTGAGTCTACGTTTGTGCCAGCCGGCGACGGGCTATAAGATGTTTGCTGGATGGAAATGGTGTCTGCTGCAACTCCTTTCAATCTCGGGCCGGAACTGAACTTGGAGCAAACCCATCTCCACCACACCAGCTGGCGAGGGCTTGGCACAAGAAAGTCCATCTAAAGATATCCATGCTTAACTTTTTAAAGGCTGCATCTACCTGTTTCCTCTCCATCCTCAGTAGCCAACTTTTCCTCTTCCTGCCCTTCTCCTGTATCTTCCTCTCCTTCCACTTCTTCACTTGCATCATTATCACTTGCATTGCAACTGCATGATACAGGAGGATTGTACAATAAACTACGGTGAATCAATGATGCGGAAGAGTGTGTGATGTCCCCATGTCCCCATACAAGGTAGAGTTAGGCCAGATTTAAGGGTCCATTCTACAGATTTAATAAAAGGGAATACTGTATAGTAGCAATGTATGCCCAGAAATAGAAAACTGGAAGGTCTGGCAAATAATGAAATAGTTTAATTATGATGAATTGGTGATTAATGTGTTGAATGGTGATGAATTCATCACCAATTTGTTGAATAGTGATGAAAATGATGAATTTGTGATGACTGGTGATGAAAATTTGTACTGTTTTACTATAGAGATTATGAATATTGATGAAAATGATAAAACCATGATGAAATGTGATGAATGGTGATGAATTCATCACCAATGTGATGAATAGTCTAGTGATGAATGGTGATGAAAATATTTTTAAAATTAATTAGTGATGAATTCAATTCCAGATTTTCATGTTTCGCAGGACCTTCCTAGCTAGATTCCATAAAGTTTATACGTGCCCAAAGAAATGCGAAGTGTTTGTAAAGTCGTACTGTGTGCAAAAAAAGTGTAAAGTAAAGCTGTGTTGTCTGTAGCTAGCTAGCTACCGGTAGCTGGTGAACTATTATCAATCATGCATCCAACTTTCTAAAAGTAACACCTCTCCTTTCTTCTTCAGCCCCACAGTTTGTTTGGAGGTTTGAGGAATTGGCTCTTGGGCAGTCGGCAGGTCTTGCCTTTGGTCCGCTTGCATCCACCCTTTCCGTGCTGCCTGTTTGCAACAAAATGGTGGCAGGGCAAATGGGTGGATGTACATAGATGTCAAAAGCCCATCAATTCGGCTATCATTCCAAGTTGTGTGATCCAAGATGATCGAATCGAATCAAAGTTGCACCACACCAAACACAGTGCATACCTACTAGCTAGTAACTGTCACTGCGATGCGCCCTCAAGCTAGCTAGATCGACTACATGTGGCTCGTATCTGGTTTGGGGGGATTCGATTCTGGTTCGATTGAGATTCGTGCCTCTTGGTGAAAAAGGCAACAACACATCGGAGAAGGCGGCTCAAGTACCGGTAGTTCTGGGCAGCTGGGGAGTGTGAGGTGTGAGAGGAAGGCAGAAGCTTGGAAACTTGGAAGGTACTGTAGTGTAGAGTCTACTAGCAAAGAATAAAATACGATAGATTGCATGGGAACCACCAAAACTAGCTCCAAAACTACAATATAACCGCTGAACTACTGACCGCGGTGGTGGCGTCGTGGCGTCGTGGCTACCATGCTATGTTCGCTGAGCTGTTCGCTGTAAAAGAAATTACTGAGATTACTTTGACTGGTGTGGATCGCATTGGAAACTCCTTTTGCCTTTGGCCGCCATGCTGCGACCACCGCAATGGCCACCGGCCGCCGCTCCACCATGCAAGTGGTTCTGCGGATCTCATTAGATTTCGTTGGAGATAACCTTTTTGGACAGTGACTTCGTGTTGTTTCTGAAAAGAAACAGCTAAAGAAACCCTCCTGTAAACGAAACGGCCCCAAATCAGGATTTTAAGAATCCAATTAAATTGATCAATTCCAAACCAAAATATAAAATCGAAACCGAACTATGAAACCGAAACCTAAAATTTAATATAAAACCGAAACCAAATTCCTATGGTAAATAACTAGTAAAATCAAGCCGAAACCAAAATATAAAATCGAAACCAAAATATAAAATCGAAATCTAAATATAAAATCGAAACCAAAATATCAAGCAGAATTACTTGTAAATCATGATTTCGGGCCCTTTCAACCCCAAACCAATAACTATGACATTTATTTTTGGATAATTACTACCGTACTCGGAGTGATTATTTATTTTGTTGTTGCTTTGTGTTTTGAACCTTCTAATTCTACTATTAATAGTAACCTGCTTTGGGCAGTCATAGAGACCTTTTGGAGCACTGCTTTTAAATCCTTTAGTCTGATTGACTGTTCAGAGGCACCAACTCTTTAACTCTGAAATGCCTATGAAAACATCGAAGAGAGCCTCTTTCCGAACGAAAAATGAATTAATGAGCGATGACTTACGTGAGGTAGATGCGGTAAATACTTTCAGGGAACAGGGAACACACCTAGTCAAAGTAGTGAAGAACTACCGGTAACTAATTCTCAAGTATTTACCTTAACTACCCTCGAAGCTTTCTTCCGGCAAAAGTATAGTTCCCATTCTCCGATGAATGCGAAGAAAGTTCAGTGATTCGAAAGGTCGTTCGCGTTGTGCTTCTGTCCAAAGAATCTGCTTTTACTGAGAGTACTGGCTAGACTAGCTAGCTTTTAGCTTTCGAATGCTGAGAAGTGGGAAGGGAGTGGTGAGGTGATCTAGCTCCAGCCAGGTCTACAGTACTACTAGCTACGATGCAGCTAGCTCGCTACGGTAGCTATTTTAAAATAGTCCAGAGCTCGGAGCTGGAAACCCTTGCTGGGTTGCGATGCTTCCGTTCAACCCCCTCCCCTTTCTCTGCTTAGAGTTCTCACAAGAGCGAAGAAGATTGAAGATTCTGGCAACCACTTTTCATGGCTGCACGTCCACTCCCACAGTTTCCCTAGTTCTCGGCTCACAAAATCAAAAAGCCACATCTTCAAACCACTTTTGTGACCCACCACGCAAGGAAAAATGATGAAGAAAGATATCAACTCGAGCCTTGTGGACGACGATGGTGACTTGTTCGGTGATGAGCTTTCGGTGACTAACACTTCCGATCTCGAGAAGAGCCAGCATGGTAAGAAGAGGGACTTTACTCGTGACAAGTGGATCTTTACAACCACCATTGTGCTCCTCGGTGCGGCTGTGAGTGGAGCCTTCATTGCCTTGGGTGTGGTGAGCGCCCAGGATAGCTCCCAGCAAAGCTTCCGTCAGAGAGCCACTGAAATCGTGTTCCAGGTCGAGGCGTCTTGGAATGTTTACGTTCTCTTTACCAAGTGGACCCGCGAATCCTGCCACAAACCCTTTGAAGCCACGGGAATCCAGCCTGGATTTCGCATGGGTGATGATCCCAGCTGGGCTCTTGGTTACTGTTCTGATGCCGAGTTTGACAAGATCTTCGAGTACAGTACCACGGAGGGACTCATCTTCCAGGCAAGTGTGTCACGCCCGTGATGATTTGCTTCAGAATCATATTGGTAGCCTGCCGCTCACACAAGTCGATCGCTTTCCTCTGTCTTGCAGTCCCTTCAGTACGTACCAAACATTACCGATGCCGAGCGCCCCTACATCGAAGCCTACGCCGAGCAATACTACGAAACGAACTACCCAGGAAAGGTTGACTTTGTGGGTTTCAAACAGAGAGGAGCCAGTGGCCTGGAACCATCCGAAACGTATGACTTCTACTTCCCCGTTGTGCATTTACTTCCGGTCGAGACCAATGCAGCGGCTGTCCTCTTGGATCCTTACAACACCATCCCCACAAGCAAGGTCCTCTATGACAAGGCAACTTCAACCTGGGAGCCGGCACTGGGAGGACGCATCAGGACAGTGCAAGAAACTGATCCATCGGCATACTCGGTGATCATGTATCATCCTGGAGTTCGAACCGAGCATGAACCCGTGTATGCGAAGTCACCAGCAGTGGCTCAACTAATCGTCCGAATGCCCGACATGTTGGTCCAGTTCATGCAGGGTATGCTTCAGAATGAAAAGCTCTACGTCTACGATTCCACCGACCCGGATACTCCAGTCTACCTTGTGGCGGGCACAATTGTAAATCCCAAGGCCACAGCCGCCAAGGACCGCCTGGAGAAGCTACCAGAAGTTGAGCTTGCAGATATTCCTCGCCCCAGAGGAGCACAATACGAAGAAACCGTAATCAACGCCAATGATCGAAAGTGGACGGTCGTCATTGTCAGTACCAACGAAAAGGCAAACTTGACCTTTGTCATTCTGGGAGGTGCCATCATCTTCTTGGCGTGCTGCATGATTGCCGTCTGGTACTACCGCCATCTCACTGTATTGGAAACCATGACATCCACTCAAAATCTTCTAACCTCCGTCTTCCCAAAGGATGTCCAGGACCGTCTGCTGAAGGATGCCGCAGAAGCTGCTGGTGGCAACAACGACAAGGAAGCTTTTAAAGGAAACAGGGGAGCCGAACTGAGCAAAGCCATGAAGGGCATTACTCCACTTCCCAAAACAAAGCCCATTGCTGATCTCGTCCTCGAAGCCAGTGTTCTATTTGCCGATATCACTGGATTCACAGCGTGGTCCTCAACAAGGGAACCGTTCCAGGTTTTCACTTTATTGGAAACAGTCTTCCACAGCTTTGATGTCCTAGCGAAGCGCCGAAGAGTGTTCAAAGTCGAGACCGGTACGCGCAGCATGGGTTCGATGTGCACTTCGTGTGTGGATGGTCTGGTCTCACCGTTTTGATTCTCCTGGACTCTGACTCCAGTTGGTGATTGTTATGTTGGTGAGTTGAGGATTCAGCAAGTGTTCAGCCGCCAACTCCACACATAGCCTCACACGTCATCTTGCATCTTTCCTTCCTTCCTTCCTACAGCCTGCACTGGACTTCCTGAGCCTCGCAGAGACCACGCTGCCGCGCTTGTCCGTTTCGCCAAGGACTGCTTGAATCGGTTCCAGGTTCTTTCCCGTCGCCTAGAGGTTGAGCTTGGACCCGATACTGCTCAGTTGGGACTCCGTATTGGCATTCACAGCGGCCCTGTCACTTCCGGAGTGTTGCGTGGAGATCGTCCAAGATTCCAGCTTTTCGGCGATACCATGAATTGTGCTGCCCGTATTGAAAGCTTGGGCCAGAGAAACCGAATTCATATTTCCAAGGAAACCGCTGACCTGCTGGCCGCCGCTGGCAAGAAACACTGGATTGTCCCCCGAAAGGAGAAGGTTTATGCCAAAGGTAAAGGTGAACTGGAGACCTTCTGGTGCACTAGCAAAACGGATGATACCAGGTCGGTCCGCAGCGGAGCATCTTCCCGCGAAAATGATGGGGTCGATGTTGAGCTGCGAGAAATTGACAGCCCCGAAGAGAAACTAGAAAGACTTATTGAGTGGAACACTTCTGTCTTTGTCAAGCTTCTGAAAGGCATTGTGTCACGAAGAAGAGCAGCCAAGACCCAACCAGATAGCAACTCTGTCCTCTCTGCAATGGAGAAACACACCATGGTTCCGGGAGAAACCGTATTTGAAGAAACGGTAGAGGTGCTTGAGCTCCCTGAATTTGACGCCAAAGCTGCTGCCAAGGAGGGAGATCCTGAAGAAGTCCAGCTCGACGACCGAGTGATTCAACAGCTGGCAGACTATGTCCAATCCATCGCCAGACTTTACCGCGCAAATCCCTTTCATAATTACGAACACGCCACGCACGTGATCATGTCGACAGTCAAACTGCTCTCTCGAATCGTCGCTCCTCAGATTGCGACTGGTGTTGAGGAGAGTGCAGCACACTTACATGACCACACTTACGGTATCACGAGTGACCCGCTTACCCAATTCTCCGTGGTGTTGAGCGCCCTGATCCACGATGCAGACCACCCCGGAGTTCCCAATACAACCTTGGTGAAAGAAGAAACACCACTAGCTCAACGATACAAAAATGTCTCCATTGCTGAACAGAACAGCGTCGACATCGCCTGGACAATGCTGATGGCGGATGAATATGCCGATTTGCGTAGGGTCATCTACACCACAAAGGGCGAGTTTCAAAGGTTCCGACAGCTCATTGTCAACTGTGTCTGCGCCACTGATGTCATGGACAAGACAATTGGTGCAGCACGAAAGGTCCGCTGGAACAAGGCATTTTCAAAGGATTACGAACAGCAGGCTCTGCAAGAGCCTCCTTGGGTGGCAACGAATCGCAAAGCAACAATTGTCTTGGAACATTTAATTCAAGCATCGGATGTGGCCCACACAATGCAACACTGGCACATTTACCGTAAATGGAACCAAAGATTGTTTCATGAACTGTACAAGTGCTACAAGGAAGGTCGCCTTGAGAAGAACCCAGCAGAGTTTTGGTATGAGGGCGAGATGGGCTTCCTCGATTACTATGTAATCCCATTGGCAGATAAACTGGAGACGTGTGGAGTGTTTGGCGTTTCAAGCGGAGAGTTTCTGAGCTACGCAACCCAAAACCGCCAGGGTAGGTTTTTGTTGTTGTTGCTATGCTACAGTTTTTGGGGTCTCGTCGACCAACAAAACGAGTGCTCACACCTTGGTTTTTGTCTTTTAGAGTGGGAAAGCAAAGGGAAAGAGATTATTCAAGAAATGATGCAAGAACTCGAACACAATGAATCCGTGGTTGTCCTGGGTGTCGAGCACATTGTAGAGGTATAAACAAACACCGTCCCTCCTGGACGTTTGTTTGTCTTCAGGAGCAGCCTCCAGGTAGCTAAAATAGTGCTTCATCTGCATTGACTGCTTCCAATGTCTCCTTTCCAATTGCACAAGCATAGTGATCACCAGGTCCATACCATGATGTTACATCACTGCCATCATCACAATAGACTCGTCCTGTATTGTAGAGCCGGTGATATCCATTCTTGCCTGATGTTTTGGTCCGACCATGTTCCTGCTCGTCAGTAACAGTAATCACATTGGCATCGCTGCTGGTTGTTGAGTTGCCTTCCACAAACAACCATTGAGCTCCATTGCCACCTCGATTGACACAGGGCCGCCGTACAGTATTTGTGAAGTTGGAAGTTGCAATGGCATATCCATACAATATTGGACCAGTCACGGCAAGAGCATGATGGACAACCCCACGACTTCTTGTTTCTACATTGTGAATGATTGCCTGTATAATTTCAAGGAGTACAGGAGATTCTCTCTTGGCACTGAGAATGGCATTCCAAGTGGACTGAAACTCAGTAAAGTTGTCACGTTTGTCCTCGTTGGGTAGTCCAAATGTATTGTCATGGTCAAAGCATATGGATAGAGTCTCATTGTCAGTGAGACTGGCCCATCGCTCCAAGGGCTGTTTGAGGACAATCTTGTTGTCAACATAGACACCACCATATTTCCATAATACCAGTGCTCTCCAAAGATCTGCCTTGAATGCCTACAAGAGAAGGAAAGAGAGTGAGTTTCTTCCCCTTTTTCGTTCGATGATTGTACACCAGCAAACTTGCTTACCCACGGTCTTAGCAGTGACCATGCATCAAACACTCCACTGATATTGTATGTCTGTTTGAGTTCCAGTCCAATATCGTAGACAGATCTTGCCATTTGAGTGTCATTGTAGAATCTGAGTTGCATGTTTGGCGGTGCAAATTCCTTCATGGAAGCCACCAGCTTTTCCGGTTCCCAGGGTGCCGTCACAAAGAGCATGTTGCTGGGCAACCTGTGTTTCTTTGTCTTTCTTAGATTATGCTTGTTTGCCTTCAATTTGCTGGCATTGGGTTGATTGGAAATAGTTACATCATCTGCAAGGGCTGCAAAAGCTGCGACGACAGCATTATCCATGGTTTTGTCATTGGTGGCTGGACGGGATGGCAGTGTAGCCTGGTAGTCCTCCTCATTGGTCCCATTGATCACTGCTTCAGAAACCACAGCGTTTCCAGCATGGGTGATATTCGTGTAATTGAAGGAGGAAGAGTAGTACAACGCAGCATGCTTCAAAACATCTACCGACGATGTTCGAAAGACGGCATTTCCCACTATTAGCAACCCCAAAGCTGACAGCAGGTTGAAACATCGAAAGGTCGTCTTTCGGATGCCGGAAACCATAGTGCGGTAGTACCTACCGGTAGCAGTTTTGTTGTTGGTCAACGTGTCCTTTGCTTTGCTTTGTTTTGTTTGGCTCGGCTTGGATTCCATAGAGAAGGGGTGCAAGGAAGAGTCAGCCAACGGCATTGCCTCCAAAAATTTTGGGTCACCATGAGCCGTGAAGCCAACTCCCGCACGGGCAGAACGATTTCAATTTTAGCGTTAGGGGTTTTCCTGACTCAGATCGAGATGTCGAGATGGACGCCAACAACCTTTCTCCACTGCCATTCAGGAGACAGAGTTTGTCTCATGAGATGAGTGTTCTGATGATGAAGACGAGGACGATACTGACAACGATGATAGGAATGATCTCTACGGCGACGGGCCGTGGGTTGCAACTGCAACCTACGTCAGCTTTCTTGGCAACGTCTTGTACTAGTGTGAGACGAGGACCAGTTGCACCCAACAGCTTGGGTCGTCATCCTCTATTTTCAGCTCTGTTTTCGACAAAGTCGCGACCTACCAAACGACTGTTTCCCGAAGAACTCAACATCATTTACGATTCCAAATGCAATGTGTGCAAACTGGAAATTGAATTCTTGCGACGTCGCGATGCTCGCCTGTCATCCGGCGGACAACAACAATCCAAGCTGAGATTTACCGATTTGGAAGACGAACGGTATGACTCTACCGATCCGGCCAATGGAGGCATCAGCTACGAGCGAGGGATGGCTTCGATGCATGCCGTCAAGAACGACGGGACGGTCGTCAATGGAGTACCAGTCTTTGAAATGGCGTATCGTCAAGTCAACCTGGGGTGGTTGTTTGCCGTTACCAAAATTTGGTGGGTCAAACGCGTTGCCGACTGGGCCTATGGTATTTTTGCCAAATACCGGACACGTATCACGCGAGGGAAGAGTCTCGAGACATTGGTGGAGAGCTATCGAGAAAAGAAAGTCTTGGAAGCAGCACAGCAGCAACAACTCAAGGACTGTGAACCTTGTAAAACTGTGGGGGTGACTAAAGGCAAGACAAAACGCAAGACAAAGACAAAACGAAGTAGCTAGCTAGCTAGCCACGTGAACTCGATACTGAGCTCTGCAATACATATGGTCATACCGGTAGCGAGGCTTTGGCTTTGTCTCTTCCGGAGAAATCTGGATACTAGTGTACACCCAATTGAATTCTGCGTCCCGTCAGTTCATACTCTGCCGTTCCAAAGCTTCTCCTTCTTGGGCGCTGGTGGTGGACATTTTGTTCTGTGGAACAGCGGCAATGGCCAATCCGGCGAACGGGATAGATTCGTAGTAACACTAGCAGTACGGCACCAATGGTTGCAAGGGGCAGAGTCCAGTGTGGGGTGAGAACTGCCGCCATGGCCACTACCAAATTGTTGGGCGAGTCCATCTCCGCATGGTCTTGAAAAGCTTGGATACAATCCAAAGGTGACTCCCAACTTTGCGACAGCGGGCATGGGGAGAAGGGAAAAGATGCACAAGACCGAGGGAATCCTCGCTACGGAGTTTTGGAATGAATCTTCAATCCCTGCCAAGAGTGGGTTTCGTGGCTACCCAACACGATCGGAGCAGTTGCAACTTGAGTAATGAACTTGATGCGGTTGCTCTCCTGCTTTTGTATTGACGGGGAGAACAGCGTACGGTACCTCGATGGTATCTGATAAGCTTGATGACGGGCAAACTATTGCAAGGTTTGGCCCGAGGATTTTCGATTTCTCGTTGCCTTTGGACGGTCAATCACGAGTCTAGCTAGTTAACCCTAACGCTTACGACAGCAAGCAGGAACAAAATCCGCATCGCAACCTTTTTTTTCGTCCTTGCTGCCGTACAGCGTCCGGCACATTTGACTACTAGCTAGTATCGCTACTTGTCACGAAAATTTTTTAAGCTAGAAGTTAAAAGGATGGGCCCCCGCAGGGGGCTTAGAAGTTTAAAGATTGGGCCCTTGGGGCCCAACCACCAAGCTAGCTAATGGGAGTGGAACACATGGCCTTCTGGCTGGCCCTCAAAGCACTGCAGCAGAACCTCTTTCATCTCTGGCTTTGTCTTTTTGATGGACTTTCCCAGGACCCTGGCCCAATTCTTCATGTCTGTGAAGCTTGTGGAGGAGTCCAACAGCTTGGCTTTGGTCAGACCGCCTTGCTTCGGAGCAGCCTTTCTCTTTCCAGTGGCATGTTGATTGATGGCGGCCATCTGAACCAGAAATTTGTAATTTGTGCCTGGCCTGCAGCAGGAGCTTCCTTCCTTGCTCTCATAACAGGAGATGAGACTCCGTGGACTGCTCCCTGTGGGAAATATTGCTGCAGATGCCGATCCAATTTTCCGGCAACTAGAGGAGTCCTGGTTTTCGCAGAGGCACGCCCTTTCTTGCCGACAGCTGACAAGAACACGATGCCATTGTCGTCTACCTTGGGGAAGAGTCCACTGGAGTAAAAGTTCCGGATGTAGTGGTCAATACCAGCCGGAGCCTCTTTCTTACTCGCACTCATTGTCGTCCTTGGATTGCGTTGAATACCTCTGCGGCTATCCTTGGCTTGCGATGGATACCTCTGCGGTAGGATGGCGTTGAATACCTCTGCGGCTATAGCTTCCTCGGATTGCGATGAAAGCGGGTATATCCTCGGCTGCGTTGAGTACCTCTGCGAAGTACCTCTGCGGCTACTGAATGCGGTAAGTACACCTCTGCGAAGTACCTCTGCGGCTACTGAATACGGACGGGATTACCTCGGTTGTATGGTCTTGCTTCACTATCTCGCTCAAATTCGAAATCCTCTGGACCGTCGAAATCCTATTTGAAATCCTCTGGATGCATGCTCCGTCGGTCTTTCGAAAACAACAGGAAAACAACACGACGAGAGACTGATCTAGCTGACACAGAGAAATCCGAAATGCACGACTGACGTGCACGACTGACGTCAGTCGAACCGTTGATTCTGATTGGCTAATCTCCTCTACAGCCTCCACAGGGGTAGTGTACCGCCCTCTACAGCGGTAGGCCGATGTCGGCACGACGGTCCCGCTGTACTTTCTGTACCAATCGTTTGACCTTCTGTGGATCGAAATACCGTGCATGGAAAATTTCTATTCAGTGAAGTCCAAAGACGCCCTCTCCCGCAGGGAGAGGGGAAGTTGAAACAGAGGAGGAGGGGGGGATCCGGAAGTTACTAGCTATACACAATGTACCCCTCTGGCTGTGAAGCAAAATACTCCATGAGCTTTGCTTTTCGTTTGGGGAGAGTGCTCAAGATGGACAGTCCCAGTAATCTCAACCAATTGCCAGCATCTGCATAGCTCAATTTGTCCACCATATCCTTGGCTAGCCCTTTTCTATTGACCATTGCCCTTGCATTGTTGATGTGTGGATTCAAGCCACCCATCCGTGCTGCCTGCACTTGATAGCCCTTTTCTATTAGCAATGCCTTGATTGTCTCTTTTCTAAGCAGCCCTCCCAATCCAGTAGATACCGGCTCAATACCACAAAGATGGAGGTGTGCTGCCTGCCAATTGAGAGCTGCTTGTTTTGCAACAGAGGCCGTATTTGCCTCCTCCCCCAGATATTTAGCTGCTTGCGTCACAGCTCGCCAGAAGTAAGTCCATTGGATTTTGTTGAGCTTGTCTGAGGGTTTGAGATATTGATTCAGAACTGAAACTTGGTATGCTGTCATGGGTGTAGGATTCCTTGCCCAATTAGCTGCCGGGCCATAGTCCTGTGCTGTACTACTTGAAGAAGTTTGTGATTCAGCATTATTGGAAGGTTGGCCAGATGTGGCCTCCACAGAATCAATAGTTGGAGCTGGTTGTTGTTCTAGGACTGGTGGTTCTATTGTCTCTCTGGGTTTCATTTGAGTCCATTCAGCCAGCTTCCTATCAGCCTCCACCCAATCTTTGCATCTCCCATACTCAATTCCAATTGGCTCATAATAGTCAGGCGGAAGCTCAGGTGGAAAGTCCATGCCTTGATAGTATGTCAAATAAGGATGCTGCTCTAAGAGTGCATGCTGAATATACCAATCCATGGTTCGAACCTTTGCAATACCAAGCAGTTTCTGTAGAACCTTGTCTTTGTCCAAGTTGAGCCTGGTGAATCTGAGGTATAGCTTTTTGTGGCCAAGCTCTGGAGTTTGGATTGACAGCTCCGCAACCAGTTGATTGACCAGTCTGTTTGTACTCTCACCCTGTGAGGTACCACGTTTTCTGATGTAGTTGGAGTAGTCATCATTAGGATCGACCTTAATATTCATTTCATCCAGTGGAAATGGATCCTGACAGCAACCGCTCCTCACATGGAACAGCAGATTCTCCATTTCCTTTTTTGTGCCAACTCGGACTCCCTTCTTGTCAGACTTAATGAATCTGAGATATCCATCTCCCTCTAACTCAGCCTGTTGCTTGAGCTTCAAATCCTCAACTTCAATCTTCCTGTAGGTCTCTTTTAGAGCTTCTTCCACAGTGGCTTTTGGTGGAGTGTAGTTCTTGATTTTTCTTTTGAACTCGGCTTTATCCAGCACAGAGATCTGTGCAGCTTCCAGAGCTACTACTCTTCTGGTCTTCTTGATGTAGTGTTGAGCTACATGTTTCTTGGAATTATCATCGTATTGAATCATGGATGCACTCAACATCTTGCTAAATGAATTTCCAAGTTCATGGTGTGGTTGGGTAGAATCTGAAACCTTTTTGATGCCGTGGAAGATATCCTTATAAGGCGCTTGTTGGAGGTTGTATTACAGACACCTCAATACAAATTAGTCGTTTATCCCAATCTAGTTGATAGGGGATATCTATATCTATTCTCTAGTTACATACATGGGGAGTTTAACTGATCTATATGGTCACCCCCTTCACTATATCCTTTGAAGTTGAATCAATCCCAGAAAACATGGAGAAAGATCACTTCTTGGAAATAGCTTAACAGTAAAACAGTATTTTACCTTTACTAAGCTAGAGTGTTACTAGAAACCAACACTATTTCCAAGAAGTTTGTACCTTCATCTCGAATTCGAGATCTCGCCAATGGTGGACTGAGACGGGTATCGACATCAACCATCATTGAGTTCATGCCATAAGGTAACCGGGTTCAGGCAGAGAGTGCAGTAGCCCCACTATAAGGGCTGCCAAAACAGCTCACAAGGCAAACTTCGAATCCAATCGTCACTCACGAATTTCCCATTGAGCTACACGCAACAATCGGATCAAGACGGAAACAAGCTCACAGGAGTGAGCGAGCGAGCATCAAGCTGAACAAAGCTCACAGGAGTGAGCAAACGAAGCATAGTTCATAGGAGAACGCGCCATCAAGGACTCGAAGCTGATACCGGAACAGTTACCGGAGCGTGCCCGGAAGGAACCAAGCTCACAGGAGTGAGCAATCAGGAAACAGCGATCGTCCTACAAGAATCACCAAGACTTTGAGCTGCGGAAACAGCAATCATCCCAGGCACGAAAAACAACTACAAGAGTGGCGACAAGAAAGGTTGCCACGAAGAAGACTTATCGCACGACGAGTGCACCAGCGGTACTGGCCAAGCTAACTAGCTATCTAGCTATCACGACGAGTCCATCAAGGAGGAAACACGCTAGCTACTCTACCGAGCGCAACAAGCAGGCTACTACGGAGACGAACCGCGATAGCCAACAAGAGTTGCCGTGGACGAGGAGTTAGATATCAAACTCCAACAAGAATACCAAAGAGGTGCTTCTGTGGGAGAGTTCCTATCCTCACTATCAAGCCATCGAATCAGTGCCGATAGAGGAGAGGTGCGAGCTACGGAACAGAAAATTCCGCCGCAACCAGCCCAATTGCAAGGTCCATTACATGGCAACGACAGGTCCTACGGAAGGACTGTCATACACTGAAGTGGGCTACTATACTGTCAGTGACAAGCCCTGAAGAGTGCAAGGTGCCGAACGCAACAGGAAACGAGTTGCATCCATCGGCACGTTCAATGAAAATTGACAGAAAAATCCTCAAGAAAAAGAGAACTAGCCCGTCAACGAGCGATCGAACGGTACCTGTACTACAAGAACAAGAAGAATACGACGGCCGACTACTACTAGTCAGTCGGTGCCGATAGCGGCAACAGTGCCATCTCAACCATCGGCAGACCGTGGAACTTGCAAGTTCTGCCAGCCAAGAGCAACGAATTTGCGAGCGAATTCCAACAGCTAAGAACAAGAGTAACAGCGACCGGTACCAGCTACTGCTGCCGCAACTGTCCACAAGACCAACACTCTGCAGTCAATACCAAGCTGTCGGCCCTTGCGTCGATCGGCAACAGTGTCGGCAACCATTGTCGACAGCAACAACAGAATTCCCAACAAAGCGAAAAGAAAAGCGACAGCTACCACTACTAGTCAGCCGCTAGTACCGCTACTATACCAAGCCGACAACGACACAATCACAGCGCCATTGTGTCTGTTGATCGGCAACAACAGCATCGGCAAGAGTGTTGGCAACAAGAAGAAGTGCCCACAGAAAATTGTGATTTGTGAAGCCTTTCCAGCACAGGTGAACGGCACGGAATGCCAAAGAACAAGCCGCTGTTCAGCGACGGCCAACCACAGCCACTGAACGGGAAAAGGTATCTTTTGCGAAACGGTATCTTTCCAGGAGTGTACTGGTACGGAGCCAGATCAAAGTCTCTCCGTACGGAACCAACAAGAGGATTTGCATGGCGAATCCAAGTATGCTACCGGAACAGGTACTGTAGCACGTCCAGTGCCCGCTACCAATCCAGCTACTGGTACCGGTACAGGAGTTACCGGAGCATGTCCTGCACATAGCTAGCTAGCCAACTGGCACAAGAGCTACCACAACAGTGTGTAAGCTGGTGCTACAGGAAGCACAGGAGTGCATCCGCCCCAGCATTGAATTATTTTCTTTGGAGTTGTTTGAGTTTACTCAACACCTCCTACCCTTTCATGGAGTGTGTATTGTGGCACCCCAGCCACAGCACCTCCTACTACTCTTTCTTGGAGTGTGTATTGTGGCATCCAAGCCACAACACCTCCTACTACCTTTTTGGAATGTGTATTGTGCACACTAATCCACAGCACTTCCTCCCTGATTACAGGCAAACCTGAGGCAACAACAGCCTCCAGGCAGACAACAACAGATACCATTACAAGACCATGCCCTTGCTATTTGATCACAGCAAGTGCACAGGAGTGTGAGGGTACCCAAATCCGTAACCAACAATGGCCACAACTACATGGCCAACAACCATCAATGGCTACATCAACAGCCAGTATCGATGGCAACAACAGCCAACAACGGTATCTACCACTACCAAACCGATTACAATGAATCGACCAAACCAAATACGAATTGCATCAACAATAACGGCAACTGCAACAACAGCAGAACGACAGTGAACGTTGAACCGAGTAGCTAGCTACAAGCGACTCAAGAGTTCACAAGACAAGGAACCAAGCCACAGGATGGCTGGAGCATTCAGAGTTTGACCTACAAGAGGAAACCTGATCAAAAGAAACAACAAGAGGGTGCACACCTCAGCTCCACTGCAACTACTGTACAGAGATTGCAACCAACCTTAGTCTCACACCAACAGAAGTACATGAGTACAACAAATCAAGCCTACAGAAGATACAACTACGAACAACTACTGCCACAGCCAACTCACAGGAGTGTAAGAGCAGTGGCATCACCAACCAAAGGATCTACCGACTACATCACCATCGAACCATCATCGACCGTGACACGTCCAGGTCCAGTGGAGCCCATCAAGTTGGAGCATCCACAACTACTACCGAATACTTCCTTACAAGTTTCCAAACTTCCAAGGGCTTCTAGCCCCAACTCAAAAGCATCATTGTGGCAAGGAACTTCCTCCTAGTTCCAGCTACTACAACAGTTCTCCCAAGTGTCGCTATAGCCTGACTTCCCAGTCTCAGCTACGGCAACACCAAATGACGGTACCAAGTGTACCAAGTGACGGCACCAGTCACCACAAGTGATGACACCAGCAGTCACGAGTCTCACATGAGTATAAACAACCATGACAAGAGGAAACAATAACTCAACCATTTCCTCATTCCATCTTCAGACATCGAGACCATCCAAGAACTAGGTTCAGTCGAACCCAACAAGTCCGTGACTTCCAAGCTACATCATTTCCAGCTTCCATGCACCTTCCAATAGGGCATCACTTCCCACAAGTCTACGACTTCCAGAAGCTTCAACCAGCTTCCATCTACGAAGGGCTTCCAGCCCCATCAAGTGTCAATGCAGCCGAACTTCCCAGTCCGAGCCGCAGGTACACCAAGTGACGGTATCATCCGACACCAGTCTTCCAGGAGTGGCATCACTCCCAGCAGGAGTGCCAGCCACAAAGACTTTTCCGATGATGACAATGTCCGTATTGTCTCGTCTCCACCGCTCAGCTTCTCGTTACCAAGCGGGATGCCGAGCAACTACTTCCAAGGTTTGTTTTGGACTCATTGCAAGCCAGTCGACACGACGACGCGAGACTGGATTACGAAGCCTTTCCAAGGTAGGAGCCTGCTTACCCAAGCACTGATAGACACTTTGAGTGCTATCGATTCTCAGGAATCCTAGAGGCACCGCCTCAAGCTCCACAGCAATCCAATTGCATCCAATGTCCAAACCAACCAAGCCAGCTTTGGCTACAACAAGTACAAGTCCTGCCACAGCTAGCTCACAGGAGTGTGCCAACAGTGACAGCAGGAGTGGTATTGATAAAGTTGTACCCACCAAAACCAAAGTCTCAAACCTTTTTCAACCTTCCTTTGAATTCTCCGATCGATCTATCCAGATTGACACACCAGATCGACTGACAAGACACGATCATGCCAGATCGAATGACACGATGTGATCGAATCACAAGCAGCGACCACGAGATCGATTCAGTTTGACTCTCGCGATCGACTCAGAAGATCCATCATGAGATTGCAAGTGTGACCACAGAAGCCTATCAAGGCAGAGCAGGCTTACTCAAGCAAAGGTAGCCACACACCAGTGCTACCGGGATATCTTCTGCAGAGGATTCCTACAGTTCCACAGGAACAGTTCCACCATGGAACCAGCTCAAAGCAAACAACAGTTCGACGGAACGCCACAAGTTGCCAGCACCCATCTACAAGATGTGCAAACCAAGGTCCACATCAAGCAAGTACACATTCATGTACCACAAGCAAGTCACAGCCATTCGATTCTAAAAGAAGAGGAGGCCGTGATGAAGGAAGAAGCTTCCCCAGCTGGGAAGAAGAGGATTCCATTCCTCTGGAAAAGACAACAGAAGGACATCCAACACTGCTTGGACATCCAACAAGAAGAGACAGCTCACGTTCCATTCCAATGGACAACAAGCTGACTCCAGATAGCTACCAAGCTATTGCACAGACTCATGCTCACCTGATTTCCAAATCCAGTATCAAGCCTGAATGGATTGATGTTTCCACACATCATTGCGATTGAGACCATGGCATATCGATGTCCAGTTCAGTCTACACGCCAGTCAAGAGCACAGTTTGAGTCTATGAGAATGCAGCCGAACTTCCTAGTTTCCAGCTACAGCAATACAAGTGACCGTAACTTCCCAGTCCACGGTTCAACAAGTGATCGGAACTTCCCAGTTTCGAATACAGCAACATCAAGTGACGGCACCAACCGCCACAGCAAGTCATACAGGAGTGGCAACACTCACAGGAGTGGTAGCCACAGTGGCTTTTCATGACGACACTGTCCACATGTCAACATTGACTGTGACAGATTTGTCAGCATTGCTATGATGGATGACAAGCTTCTCGCCACCAAGCGGAATGCCGAGCAACCTAGCAAATGGTCTCTCGACCAACAACTGTTCCTTATGGAGCAACCATCATTACATTAATTATTCGTTCCACGGTATCCTTTATGGAACCGTGCAGGAGTGTGTTGGAGGTTGTATTACAGACACCTCAATACAAATCAGTCGTTTATCCCAATCTAGTTGATAGGGGATATCTATATCTATTCTCTAGTTACATACATGGGGAGTTTAACTGATCTATATGGTCACCCCCTTCACTATATCCTTTGAAGTTGAATCAATCCCAGAAATACATGGAGAAAGATCACTTCTTGGAAATAGCTTAACAGTAAAACCCTTTTGACCTTTACTAAGCTAGAGTGTTACTAGCAACCAACAATGGGCATACTTTAGGACTTCCAAATGACCATTCTCTGCAGCTTTGGAACATGTCTCTGCATTCCATCTGCAACCATTTTCATGGGCATACTTTAGGATTTCCAAATGACCATTCTCTGCAGCTTTTAAAGCACGTCCTTTGATTCCATGGACATCCATTTTCATGGGCATATTTGAGGATCTGCAAATGGCCGTATGCTGCAGCCTGGGGGCATGTGCGGTATCCCCAATTGAATCCCTTATTCCGGAGCAATTGAAGAACTTGAAGATTCCCCACCCTGGCGGCTTCATCACAGATGCGAGAGTTTTCAATCTGCCCTCCAAGTCCAGTTTGGTCATATTCACACCAATACTCTGTGTCGCGCACAGAGGAGAAAATAGCACTAAAGAAAGTATCTGTCTTTGTTGCGGAGCGTGTCTCCCACTTAGCAACATCCTCGATCTTTGGAGGCTCCTCCACAGAGTCACAGTAAGTCATGTAGAGCTTTTTCATGTTGTGGCTGACAGGTGCCACAAAGGCAAAGTGCCCCATGCCCAGAAAGGGGAAAATCTGGTTGACCCAGATGTCATTGTGATGCAAACAGGAGTCTGCTTGAGAAGCATCTTTAGTGGAAACCTCGACATCAACTTCATCTGCTTGCTTTGATCGCTTGTGCTGCTCTGGAGCTGCCAAGCCACAGTCTACTGATATCCCTCTCTTGCCATTGTCGTGCTCCATGTTTGCTGCCTTCTTTGCCCTCAACGGACTGATGGTCTTTCACACTTTTATCGCTGTATGTGTATGTGTGTGTGTGTGTGTGTGTGTGTGTGTGTGTGTGTGTTTGTGTGTGTTTATTGCAGCTGTTTTCGTCGCTCGTTAAGGATAGGGATTATCTTGTGTGTTCTGTTGGACACAGTAGTTTCTACGCATGGGTACCAGTACTGGCTGCTATGCAGACTCGCTAGTGTGTCCAGATAAACACGGTGGAGGTTTTGCCAAAGACATAAGGGACATTTTCCTTGTTAAGGATAGGGATTTATATTGTGTGTTCTGTTGGACACAGTACTCTGGACCCATGGGTACCGATACCACTGTGCCCGTTCTGGCTGGCTATGGAGACTTGCTATCAATAGTGTGTCCAGTTGAACACGGTAAATGATTTGACCAATCAAATCTCTTTTTGACAGTTGAGGGCATCAGCCTCCGGCTGCTTGTTCTTCGTTATTGTGGAAAGAGATGTGGCAAGTCCCTTTGCTGTGTCTTCGCTGTGCTTTAATTTAAAATTATTTGCAATACTAGCTAGCTACTCGTAGTACCTTTTCCTTAACAATCCTGAAAGGATTAGGGTTTTGCGGCAACTCGGATCTTCCCGCCGTCGACTTCAGCAAAGAGATCGATGGTTGTTGTAGAAAGCCTTGCTTATTATCACAGTACTACTAGTACAATAGTAGGAGAACAATCTATCGGCAGGCATATAAGAAGATGGCGAACAGAATACTCCCATTAGAGTTGATCGATAAAGCAATCGGGTCCAAAATATGGATCTTGATGCGAGGAACCAAGGAAATTGTGGGGAATCTTAGGGGATTTGACGACTACGTGAGTTGACTGGACTTTACGCTTGTTGTTGTTGTGGGCTTCTAAAATCTCTGCAGACTCACTGATCCATATTCTTTCCGTTGTTTTACAACAGGTCAATTTGGTATTAGACGATGCGATAGAGTATTCCCCGGATCCAAAAGACAAAACCAAAATCATCAAGACTGAGCTGAAGTCTGAAATCCTGCTGAATGGCAATCAGATTGCAGTGTTGGTTCCTGGAGGGACAGGTCCACCAGAGGATTCCTTGGCAGCAAAAGCTCGTTGACACTTCCTGGCAATTTTGGGTCAATCTACATGTCACAGTACCGGTATCCCTGGTACCAATACAAAAACAAAGAAACTCTCTAGTAAGACACAATTCAATTCCCAGATGTATGCACGTCACCACATGCATGCCTCCATAAAAGAAAGCAAAGCCATGTGAGTAAAACTTTACTCTTTCTACTTTTATTGTTTACTTTTTGCGGTACGTAAACAAAGACAACAATTGCTGACTGGGGAAATTACTATAGACATAGTCCGAATGAAACCTGGCCCCGTTTGCCATAGTAAGGCGTCATTGGACAACCACCATCGTCCATGCCGTGATCCGCAGGGACTCCAGTCTGCTCACCAAGCAATGTGAGGCCGTCTTCAGCCACTTGGATCATACATATTTCCCTTGTCCTGGAGTGGATGTTGAGAAATGAGGGAACATTCCTTAACCTGAGCTACAGAGAACCTCGTCTTGCAGAGAAAGATCAGGGTGCAAAGGCGGTGGCAAACCACGAGGACGTGCATGCGGTTTTCCAGGGAAACGAGAAGTGGCAGTCCTCGTTCCTGTCTCGCCATTTCGTATTCGTCGTCCAAAACCGTTTTGGAAGGCGCTGATTGTTGTTCAGGTTGACCGTCATGAGCCTATGCATGTTGATCTCAAAAAAAGGTTGTCCGACGGGAGAACCAAAGGAACCCACCATTCGTTGCATACCGGTAGAGTGCAAACTGGAAAGAGCCGCCTGACCATTACGAAGGTTGGGTTGCGACTTTATGTTTGTGCCAAAATGGCGCGAAGCGGGCTAGTAGTTGAGCAGGTTAGCCATAGCTGGACACGTTTAGATTCTAGAAGTTGAGCAGGTTATTCAAAGCTGGACACGTTTAGGTTTGAGTGTTGATGTTTCTAGCTAGTGTAAACAGTTTCTTGCGTTGCTTTTTGTGGATTCCCTCAGGCAGCCCGTGCCCCATCTGCCGATCCTAAAGAATGGTTGTCCCCAGCTTCCTTAAAGTCGTCGTCGTCGTCCAAGAGTGCCAGCATCCCGTTCTGGTGGTTGCTCAGAGATGGAATGTAGAGGCTGTCCCGCACAATTGCTGTTGCTGCCTTGGCTGTCTTCTTGGTCGTATACTTCTTGGCAGCCTTGACCACCCCTGCCAAACCAAAAGAGCTCGTCTTTTTACTACTGCGGCTTTCAGCAGCAGCATGCTCTTGTGGCTGTTCTTCTTTCTGTTCCTCCACGTGATTCTCGGTTGGGTTATCACCAGTCTCCTTTACGTTAGGTTGTGCGAATTCCTCACTAACTTCCCTACCACTGGTCGTCTCGGCAATCATGGCGTTGTGAACCGTTTGGGAAAGCTGGGATGACACAACACTGCACCTGGCCAACGTGCGTGCGCGACTGTAGCGAGTCCGGGGTTCATGATGGGAAGATGCCGAAGTGTCCAAGCTGACCCGATTTCTTCTCTGCGGTCTCGCCGGAACAGGAGAATACATGGATGCAACGGATAGACGAGATGTGGTGCTGCTTTCACGTTTAGGACTGAGACTGGCGCTGCGATGGCTACCCTGTCTTCGGGTCAAACCTCTGTCGCTCGTGGCTCTTCGGTTCGCCCGACGGCGCTTTTGCCGTTCTTCCAGTGTCAACTCGGGTGTTTCTGTTCGACGAAGCGGAGATACTGCTGCGCTACCTGTTCCGGCAGATAATCGATTGTTGACGCTCCCGCTTCGACGAATCCTGCTTCCACGCATTCGGTTGCTTTCGTCGAGAGGATGGCTCCGTCGCGGTGATGTTCGGGTCTTTTTCCCAGTAGAGTTGCTGGATCCATCTTTCATGGCTCTAGAAGCACTGCGCCTTTTGTTTTGGAGGTCTGGGGGTGCAGTGCCTGCACGTTGAAGGGCACGCGGCTGAGGTTTGGGGGGTGGACATTCTGATGCCGTCATTGCCCGTTTCATTTTGGGCTCTGCTTCAGAAGTCCTCTTGGCTGGGGATGCCACAGTAGCCTCTGTCGTCTTACTTCGTCTCATCTTGGGCTCTCCTTCGGTAGTCCTTCTCGTGGGAGATACAGCCTGATCTGCTGTTTTACTTCGTCGCATGGGCACGGGTGAACGAGAAGCGCCTTCCTTTGTGCGACGATCTGTGGAGCGCCGCGAAGTTTTTCGGCCGGAGGAGTTCCTCTTCGAATCTTCTTCTTCCCTCACATTGTCAGTTAAAGAAGTCCTGGTCTTTTCAGTTCCAGAAATCCTTTGCTTCTCACTTCCAGAAGTCCTTGCCTTTCCGCTTGCAGATGTCCTGGAAGAGCTGCCACTTTCAGAAGTTCTAGTCTTTCCGCTTGCAGAAGTTCTTGTCTTGCCACTCGATGACTTTTTCGTCGCTGACGTTCTTGGCACTGAGCGTGACCTCCTCTTGTCCTTACTGCGCCTCTTCTTCTTGGTGGAAGAAGCCCCGGAATGACTGGATGAGTCTTTGCGTGGAAACTCTTGGACTTGCAGATCTTCCGTTTCACTTTCCGTGTCAATGCCGGCGAGGAGAGAGTCGAACACGTCAAGACTGGCCAGCTGTGAGTTGCTGGAACCTCTTGTGTGCTTGGCGGCGTTGGGATTTTCCAACACATCAATATTGCTGTTGTGATTGCTGCTCCCATCGATAATATCAGAAGCAATGGAAGTGGTGCTGCCTTGAAAGATTTCTAGCGGAATGATGGAGGAAAAGCTGCATCCAAACGAGTCGGAATCATCGTCGCCAGAAGCTTCGGCATCATCCCAAAAGACGACATTGGACGCTGACTTTTCTTCATCATCGTCGTCATTGACCAAGTCGCTCAGGATCGTCTCATCTTCCGTCAGAGATTTGCTGGAATCGTTGAATGGAGTCTTCATGGTACCGTTAGTCATATATATCTTGACCGATTGTTGCGTTGCTGGGTTGCGAGGTTGGTTGTTGCAGCTATGATAGCTGTTGTTGCTGAACTTGTGAGAACTCCATTGGGAGCTCAAAGGGAGGGTTCAGTCTGCAATCGATCCCAGTTTTCCGGCCACAATGCGCGCATCAAAACAGCACAGCGAGTAGAGCGGAAGAACTGCATAGAAAGATTTGCACAAATGACTTTAGGAAATGGTACTTAAACAAATGACTTTGATCCGCCCTTTCGTCTATTTCCTTTAAATCTTATGTAAAAACATAGCGCCAATAACTGCACAGAACCTTCGAATTTCAACCTCTCTAGAGCTCTGTGCACAATTTACTTATTGTCTTTCGGTACGCTAGATTGCTTGGTGGAAATGTTTCCGCGAATTAGTTCGGATCTACGTACGTACCGTATACCGTACAGTATGTACAGCTCCCATTGCCCTCCGAGATCGCTGCAAGAGCTCTGCAAGCAACATTGGGCCGTTCACACATTCAGCTGGGAAGGGAACAGTGTACTAGCTAGTACGATGTAGATAGTACAGGTCTTTACGGTTGGATACCGGTATGGATCTAATAGCCCAATCGAAGGGTGGACGAATGGAGCAATGAAGCGCGATTGAAGGATTCTTGATTCGATTTGATTCGATCCAATTCACAGACACGCCCGAGAAACAATCCTCTCTTGGAGAGTACCGGTAGGAGGAGTCTCTTGCAGCTCCTGCAAAGCACAAGCAAGCGACCATTGCCAATGCGATCGTATCTAACCTCGGTTGCTGGTAACGTACCAAATGTTGTTCCTATGTGGCCCAGAATCGGCATGCCTTAGTTTATCAGCTTTGTTTTGACGAGCTTTCTCTGACGTTGAAACGAAAGCTACAGCGCAAGCAAATGGCCAGAACAACATGTCTCCAAATGCATTCTCCTGGAATCGAATCCACTAGCTAGACCGATTTATCCAACAATTCTCTGCTCACTCTGGCGGAGGGGAGGAGATGGTGAGATCCCACCAAGCAGGCAGGTACCGTACGGCACCGGTAGTTCGGGTAGTCTGGTCCGTAAGTGACAGCGTACCGGTAGAGTACCGTACCTAAAGCACTGTCCATCACAGCGCCTTCGCTGCGCTCTTTGTGTTTCACAATGATTTTCGATTCGATTGATCATTCGACTGTATTCGAGTCTAGTCGAATCGAATCGAATGAATCGAATCGAATCGAATGTCACTACAACCATCACAGAGGAGGACCGGTATCGTACGACTGCAAAAGCTCACGTTTGGACATCCACATGTACTACTAGTACACGGACCGGCAGCTTCACAAATCAAACGAGGCAATGAATCGCCACGTAAACCTATCTATGTGCCGACCCAAGAAGCGAAAGAAGAAGAAGAAATGGAAGTACCTGTAGCAGCAAACAAACTCGCAGGCAAGCGATGCTCTTGTGTTTGGCCTCCCGCTGTAGATGACACTTTTCGGGATGCCAGCGCCATTCGAGCCGCTGAGGATACCGATAACAATGACATGATTTCTATCAAACCGACGAAGACGACAGACAGTGAAAAGCCACGACGAGCGGCCTCGGACCTCCGGATCACTGCAGAGCAGCTCAAGGCAATCCCTGGATGCATTTATGTTGCCGACGCCGACGCTGCCTCGGACCCTGCATTGCTGAAGGCCTTGGGCGTGACGGCTGTTATCAGCGTTGGCGGCGGACATGGGGATTCTACAGTCCCCGACTACTTGCACATTGGAATAAACGATGAGGCAGGAGCGAGCTACCACCCCGTCTTCCTCTTGGCAGCAGATTTTGCAGGGCCCATCCTCTCGTCAGGACGGAACCTGCTGGTGCACTGCCGAGGGGGCATGCAGCGATCACCCAAGGTGGCAGCGGCCCTCATTATTCGATACGCAGGACTCTCCGCCCAAGAGGCACGACGATGCGTGCAACACGCCCGTCCCGTGGATGTAGCGGTGTCTCGTGCTGGCTCCATGACTTTTCCACTGACACGGTCTCGTCTTGGAGCAGACACACGAAGGAGGAACAAGAGGATTGAGGAGGGCCGGAATGAACAGGTTTTGGTATGAACGGCTTGGGTGCTCCCCTCGCTTTATGCCACAACCAGATCCTGTCACACTGTAAAACTAGCTCTGTGTGTTTCTGATCACCGGTCGAGTCTCGTTCCCCATGTTCTTTGCTCTCTGGTAGGCTGTCTGGTTAGTTTTCTTTCCTGCGCTCTTCTGCGTTGGCTGCGTAGTGCACCCACTTGAGTTCCCTTGATGTCGGTGTGCCTTAATCGCCTGTTTTGCATCTTTTGCATCTTTCCATTCCCCGAACTAATGCGCAGAAAATGGTGCGTAAGGATAATTGTATCGAGTAAATTGAGTCTATGTTTTAGAAAGAAAAATAAGTACTGTTCAAGCGCTAGTTCAGTATCCGTCTTCCCGACAAGGACTGAACGTCAGTCGCAGGTTGGGTTGTTTTGTGGTTTACGGTGGGCCGCGGATGGATGAAGAGTGCAAATCCCAGGTCATTGTCGCTTCAACCAAAAAGGATCATAAAGACGTAGCATTGCTAACAAAAACAAGAAACCACGCGGGTGCCTTCGCCCGAACCTCGCCGCAGTCGCTTTGGATCATATTGTGATGATACCCCCGCCAACTTTTCATGCATTGTCAGCACCTCCTTCCACTCGGAAATCTCGTAGCGAAGGCCAATGTCTTCCTCCAGATCAGATAGCTCTAATGGCAGTCTTGTCAATGGACATGTGTTGTTCCCTCGTTGGATCCAACGAAGGATGGCTTTCTTCTCGAACAGATGGCCAGTTTTTCGGTTGATCACAGGATCTTGCATTACCTCCAATGTCAGAGGACACAGAAATGCATCTGGTGGGTTTGCAGTGCTGTCGTTCATGGTATAGTAGTTTTAGTGTTTCAGTTGCAATCGGAGAGAGCTGTAAGTGGAGCAAGAATTGTGAGGCTTTCGAACAGGGCACACGATATTGATCTTGGAGCTACTCTTGGAAGTTTGGTTCGGATTCATCATTCGATTGATACGATTTGATTCGGTTGTGGATGTTGGGTGGGTGGGTGCATGGGGAGGCCCATCATTCTTTGAGCCTGCAGCTGCCTGTTCAGCTCCTGTTCGATTCAGTCACACAAAAACCAATTCTCTGTTCTCTCTCAAGTACTCTTGCACCCTTTCCGGAAAGTTCACTTTATATCTTCTTGGGGCCTTCTCTTCTTTCTTCAAAAGAGGAGGAGAGCACTCGGCATGCGGTACCATGGTACTTAATGGTCACTGCTGTTGGATTGGCGGTTCCCACCCCAAACCGTTTTGTACCGCTTAAAAGGTTCAAGGCCGAATGAAAAGATGAAAGATTAAAGACTGTTACATGTACCGGTACTGTAGTCTAATCTGATTATAATAGTCATCAGATTCTCTAGTCGTACCGGTACCGGTAGTGCCTGCTGGTGGCTGGTGGAGCTGCAGAAGAATGGAGAAAGCGACAGTGGTCGATTGAAACGCATTACGAGTACATGTAGGCTGAACGGCTGAACGGCTGAACGGCTCAACCACCATGATCAATACACCTCCGGGGCATGGGATCAAAAATGATACCGCGGTTGCTGAAGCAAGAATACATTGTTTCTTTTCGAGCAAAACCTACTCTTAAGCTAGTTGACTAGTGCTAGCTAGCTAGTTTACTCCAGAGAATCGCGTTGTTCGCTAAAAATCGTCCCGAGTTTCTAGTTCCCCGCTGATGTCACAGCCCTCCATTGCTCCTACCAGCAGGTATCTAGCAGAGAGTCAGCCACTGAGGATGATACTCTGTACTTCTCCCATTTAACAGTGTTACCAAGGGGTCGGCTTGACCTTGACCTGATAGAACCATCACTGACCCAAATGGATTTTGCCGTGGTGGCTGCGCAGTACTTCCCTTATTGTTTTGTGATGCAGGGTGTATCTTTTGTGCCCTCATGAAACAACTACTAGTAGTATGTCCTGTCCTGATGGAAGCTAAGTTGCTCCGACCAACCACGACGAGAAACCAAATTGAATGGTTCTGTTGTATGAATGAATGCCAAAACACTATGCTTTTGCAATACTGCGCTAGTGCTTGTCTATGCGATCTATTGTGACATGAATGGTCTTGGTTCTATTTCTTGTTTATGCATAAGTTACAATATAATAAGTGCTTCAAAGGGCACAGTGGCGGTCCCACAGCATCAACCGTATTGATGCCAAAACACCCTCGATTTTTTAAATTTCCGCCGGTTCTCAACGCAAATATGGAAGGAGAGTTGATTTACTCATGAGCTCATGAGGTAATCATGACAAGCTTTGCTTCCAGTTCATCCACATATTGCAGATCTTTCCATGCCATGATTTCTAGTCGAAGAACTCCATTCCCAACTAGATCAGACGTAGTAATAGGCTGCCTTGTCAAGGGGCAGGTAGCATTCTTTCCACATTGGCGGATCCATCTCATGATGGCCAATTTGTCATAGATTTGACCTGTTTGCTTGTGCATGACGGGATCACTCATGACCTCCAGGGTGAGTGGACAGATGAAGTGCTCAGGTGGCGACAGAAAAATTTGGTGGTCCATGGTGCTTTTTGAATTGTTGCTGATCTGCTTTCAGAGAGATTTGCTTTTGATTTGGGGTGTTGTAGTTTGAGGTGTTGTTTTGTGGGAGCTTCTTGTTGTGGATTGTTGGGATCTGGTTGTTTGTGCGGGGTCAACTGGGTTACCGTACTCGTTGTTTCAACTTGTTTCAACGTTTCAACCATTGATCTTGGATCTTTACAGCCCTAATGATTAGGGTTCCTCCAAGACCTTTCCATCCGGTCATGTGCTTTAATTCCACCAGCAGAAACCTTCGACTTTTATGAGAGCTGTTGAAGCATCGTTTCTGGAGAAGGTACGCAGCGATATGGATGGCTAGGAAAACTGGCAAGGAACAGCTCTGTTTTCTGTTGGTAAGAAGGAACAGAGTTCTCCAGGAGCACTAATGTTAAATGAGGTTCTGATAATTTGAGTCATAATGACATAAAAGAGCAGCAGAAAATATTGGTACTCTTGACTAGCAAAAATGAAAAGACTTAGTAGCAAAAAGCGAACTCTCGGGAAGGAAGGCACTTTGTTTAAATCCGGTTGTGGGTTCTTGTTCAAAAATGCGCTACAGATGTCAGAAATTCTGAGAAATTGGGAGCCCTCCGAAGCTGCGGAGGCAAGTAGTTCTATCCATTATTTCTCAACCACCAACATCTTGCCTCCGAGCTTGAAAAAGAGGCAAGAGAATGGTGGTCGAGTGCATGCCCGGTACCCCCAGGAATTAAAGAATAGAATAGTAGCTATTGGCAGCTGGTTTCTTGATAGTCTACCGCTACGTTTCAAGACGAGGAAGACCAAGAGAGAAGAGAGACTTGGAGGAGCTATGGAGGTCACACCAATATTTTGGCAACTGCCTTCAAGCGAGCTTCTCTGGTGGCTGAGGAGTTTGGTTTCTGCTTGCTCTGTGATGAACCAGGAGGCAGGCAGCTGATCAAGCAGAAGTGGCTGAGTAGATGTTTCAGTAGTTTCATGGACTGGCTGGCTAAAAGGATTTTCAGAAGGCAAAGTTCCCCTTATGCTTCTTCTTGCGATAGTGGCCGCATCTAACGACAGTAGGACTGTACACTGGGCTGTCATTGCCACAGCCACAGCATTAGATTAGTTAGTTGTTTCCTTCCTGGATCGGATGGAGCAGACGAGTTCGAAAAGCAAGCAAGTCAAATTGACTGGCAACCGCACCAAGCCATTTGGCGGTGTCCCAGCGTTCCATCTAGCTAGCTTGTAGCTATGATTGAGCTCTTTCTCGAAGGGGTCGATCCAGGTCAACAGCCAACAGTTGAAAGGTGTTGCTGTCTTTCTTGCTTCAGCCCTGGCTGGCTGCCTGGTCTGCCTGGTTTGGACAGGCAGTCAGCGGTCAACTAACTACATGTACATGTGGCTTATTAGTAGTGGAATTCTAGAAGAACGTTTGAAAAGTGGGTGCTTGGACCATACGGCCGGTAGGTTGTTGAGAGCTAAAGTCTTCTTCATCAACAATCCATCTTCCACAGCACTGCTCTCCATCCACAAGAAATGGGCGGTATGGGTACCACCAGAAGTGCAGCAGAAGCTAGAGTTGTGAACTTAAAGTCACCTTCAGGCCTGAATGTTGCCCCCGCCCCTACCCCGGGGACTGCATGTATTGGACGGCCCATTCTATGACAATTTGCTTCTTGGGAGTTCGTGGTGTGCCATGGAGATACGGTAGGAGTGTTAGGTGAAGCTAAAGCTCGACAGAGATCCATGGAGAAGTTGCTTTTGCTACATGTAACTAGTCGAAGGAGGGGAGACTACTGGCTGTATTGAAAATAAATCTTTTTGTTTGCTATAGAAAAGTTAAAATGTGTAATGTGCAGCAAAATTTCTAATATGAATGAGCCGACTCCCATATCGCTTCACTCTTTGATCCAACTGGATCGAGCCATCAGCAAAGTGACATGATCTCGGAAAGCTTGGCTTCCATTGCAGAGGTTTCTTTCCAAAGGCTGATCTCATAGCTGAGAGCAGCATTATCGGCCAATTCTTTGGTTGAAATGGGCTTTCGAGTCAATGGGCAGGTGGCTCTGTGGTCGGCATTGTTCAGGGTGGAGTTGTGAATCCATGTGAGAATGGCTCGTCGCTCGTAGGAGTGGCCAGTTTTCTTGTGCAAAACAGGGTCTTCCATGACTTCCAAAGTCAGAGGGCAGATGAAGCGGCGGGGTGGCAAAGGCATGCTGGAGTCCATGGTGAAGGTTGTTTTTTGAAGGGGAAATTAGTTAGTTGGATGGAGAAGATTTGCTTGATTGAGCTTTTGCTTTCCTGAAAGTTGGAATTGTGAGAGTCGAGTCTGTTGAGAGTTGTCAATCCGAGCCCAACTCCCGAGGGAAGGTGAATCTGATGATGATGGCCAGAGATCAAGATCATGATTGGGCTAACCAGCTTCGCATTGCCTTCCACCAGGCTTCTGCCGGCACTAACTTGAACAAAAGAGAACATAATAAAATTTAATGGAGAACTGCACGGTATCGGAGAAGGATACGGTACTACCGGAGAAATAATTGAATGGCAATCATCAATTAGGGATATGCCAGCTGTATGCCAATCTTAAAACCTTGGGATATAGAGGGCTTTCCCATCGAGACTTCAGTGGTCAGACTTAGAACCTCAGACCCTTCTCGAAAGATCTGATGCTCGGAATCGAATGATTCAATAGCTATTCAATCTTGCTCAATCGATTCGCTGGAATGCTGGTGCTGGGATGTGGAATTGCTTGTGTCAGCAAAACTGGGTGCTTCAAGCTGTGCGTCATCATCAGAAGGGCCTGGAACCACCGAGTGCACAAGTAAGTACTGCACAAAGGGCTCGGTAGAACTGGATGGGAAGATACATGTATTACGACAACACCAGAATTAGAGATTAACTCAGTGATTTACTCGTAATTCGGCTCAATCATGGCTTGCTTAAAAAAATCAATGAGCCAGTGGATGGACTGTCCATATGACCAGAGTTTTTCTAATAATAATATATATATACTATTTATTTGTCCAGTCAAGAGCTGGCAGTTCCCCAAATTTATTTGTCTTCCTTGCGTCAAACGTCAAACGATCAAACGATCAAGCTTTGCTGGGTTCCTGCGGCAATCTTGGCAATATTGCCAGCTTCTCTAAATCTCAGTGACGCACATGACAAAAGCAACGAGAAAAGAAGTCCTAAAGGTATCCAGTCAGTAAGTCATTGGAGTTCAATTCTCATCGCTTGGAACTCTGTAGCGCCAGTAGACTTCGAAACTTTCCACTGAGTCTTCAATAATGCCAAGCCACACGCCATGATGCCACGCACTGTCTCGCGCACTTCCACCAACATACGATAGCTACAGTCGTAGACTACCATTGGTAATTGGTACGATCTTCTTCTTTTGCACTGGTCATAGTTGCTAGCTAGCTACGATGTCGTGTAGCTAGATAGCTTGCCAACGTAATTGAAATGGAGGTCTTGAAAAAGACCACACGAAACATGATACCAGCCAGTCTAAACCCGGCTGCTCCTCAGCTGCAACTGCAAGAAAACGGGCTGTTGTGATCCTGTGATCCTCGTATATTGCGGCCAAGACCGACAGAGGAGGCTATAGGTTGGTTGCCAATATTCAGAGGGGTATCTTTATTTTGTGTCTGCTGGGTCAATCAATGGAGAAGGAAAGACCCGGCAACCGACTAATTGCGCATGTGGCTTGTGGCTTCAAAAATTAATAATGTTGATGATGCAAGGTATCGTCATGATGTATGTAGCTACATGTATGGTCGGGAATTTTGGCCTTCTCGGCAACCAGCCACAACAGAGAGTTTCTCTTACGCAACAGCTCGAAAGAAAGCAGCGACCATCCAAGCAAAGCAAAGGGGATGGTAGTCGCAGCTTGCAACACTACCTAATCCCAAAAACGTACCAGCAAAGCAAAGCGGACCATGGTAGTCGCAGCTTCAAACAATACATCATACTATAGTCCCACCAAGAAGAAAGCAGCAAAGCACCGGCTAGATGTGATCATAGATTCTTGAAACTGTCTGGATCAGCTCTTGATCGATAAAGCACAAGAAGTTGGTGGTCAGCAACGGGAGATTTAACTGGCTGATCCATGAAGATCCGGCGACCTGGATTCTCTTGCTTCGTTGAGTTTTTAGTGTCTTTTTGTTTTAGCCCTCGTCCCGTTTTCCAAGTAAGTAACTACTAACTTGCAAGAGCTCTTGCAAGTTCGTGCATGCCTTGGCAACCTTGATTCTCTTACTGCTCTTATTACTGGCGTCGTCCCGTTTTTTAGCTGCGCACAATGGCTCACCTAAACGAACTACTCGTACATGCAGCTAGCTAGCTAGCTAGCTAGAGCCCCGTGTTTGCTGGTACCGGTAGTTCACCGGGAGCAAGACGCCCAAGTCTCTCTATGGGGGACCTGTCTTGTTCCTTTTGTTAACCCCAACTCTGTCGTTCAATGAATGGACTTGTCGGGACTCGACTCACATGACCGCTTTTGACGTTTTGACAGGTGTTGCTTTTTCCAATAAAGGGAGGCAAGATGAGTTACGGTATGGTGTCGGCCATGGCCATTATACCGGTACGCGGCTTCTTCGGGTATATACCAGGTACTGATTGATTGGACTTTGTTCAGATTTGTATTTCAAGCAAGATGACTTCATCATCGATTCTAGTGGGTCTGTTGTGCGCTTCGGGCAGCGCAGTGTTCAACGGGAGTTTTACGTCCCTCTTTAAAACCGAAAAGATGCGAGTCGTGGAGATTCATCCCATGGTGTTCCAGCTCTATGTCTGCCAAGGAATCTTTCTCTCTTCCTTTCTCGTCGTACCATTTCTTTCGTTCAATGAAAGCATTCAGTCTGATTTTGGGACTGCATTCCAACTCAGCGGAATGGGCATGGTGGCGGGATTTCTGTTTGTCGTGGCAGTTTCTGCAAGTTTCTTGGCGGTCAATGATATCGGTGTTGCCTTGGCACAAGGGATCTGGGGTGGCGGGGCGATGCTGGTATCCTACCTTTGGGGAGTCCTTGTCTTTGGCGAAATACCCTCCAAGCCATTGCTGTCTTTTACGGCATTGCTCGTCTTGATTGCCGGAGTGATTGCCGTGGCTTTTAGCGAGACGATTGGAGAGAAACTCTTTGCCAGGCTACTATCCTCCAACGAGAGTACTCCTCTTGTATCTGCGACAGCAGATGGAAATTCCACAGTGGCAGCAGAGTCATCGCCCAACTGCATTCGCGGCGTTCTGTGGGCAAACCTCGTGGGTCTCTCGGGAGGATCCATCCTGGCTCCGCTACACTACGTCCCGCCAGCAAAACAGGGCCTCGTCTTTCTACCCTCCTTTGGCATTGGCACCTTCCTCCTATCTCCCATGTTCTTTTTGGCGTTTACAAGGGTCACAAGAGAGGTCCCTCCCTTGCATTGGAAAGAGGCTCTGACCACGGGCATTTGTTCTGGCTTGATTTGGAATTTGGGCAACCTGCTTTCCATCATTGCAATTCCTGCCATTGGTTACGGAGTGGCGTATCCCATCATGCAATGCGCCATACTAGTCAGTGGCTTGTGGGGAATTCTAGTGTTTCGAGAAATCACAAAACCAACTACGATTCGGGTCTTTTGGATTGGTGGCATTGTGTTGGTGTTGGGTGGTTCATTGTTGGCCATGGCGCAATGACAAGCTATCTATAGATAGATCTACTATATTCTAATCTCATCATACCTCTAGCTAGCTATTAATACCGTAGGTGGGTGTTCAAAGTTGAGTGGAAATCCCCGACGGATAGCTATCTTATTGTCGAGTACTGTCGCTAGTTGTCGAGACTGCGTCGGGGAGAGTTTGTCTGCAGTGGCATGGGAGCTCGTGTTCATCAGATGTGTCGAATGGAACCCATTGGAGTGAAAGAGCTATAGCCTTTCCATGTTTCTTGTTGGAAGCATCCTTGTACCCAGTTTTATTTGGTCTTGCTTTTATCATCCTTCTGTGTGTACTTGTCCATCATATAACCCCCAAACACGAGACCCTGCATAGCATAAAGAAGGGGCAATTGGCATTTCAAAAATGCCGGGAGCCTCTCCAGTAATGGGATGGGTGAACTGAAGGATAGTTGCAAGCACCATGTACACCAAGTACGTGAGAGCCACTAGGTCTTTGGCCTCAGAACAAGACAAAAGAATCATCAAAGCGTACAAGCACAATTCGGCAGCAGCCAAAAGGGCACACAGATGGAGATGTGCAGCATCAATGTTATCCTTGTTTTTCTTCCCATCTGTAAACATGGGCAATCCGGCGTCGTCGGCAAACCAATGGCTCAAGCATGCTGGAGTTATCAACACGGCCACAACGATCAAGCCTGCTCTAAAGTACGAGAAGGAAGCGCCACCAACAGTAGTCATCATTGAATGATTTGATTTTAGAAGAAGACAATAATGTGACAAAGCCAAGCGAAAGCTTGTGAGTGAGTTTGCTAGCTAGCTACCACCGTGTAGCTATGCATAGCAAGAAGCAACCAGAAGCATTCAAAGATACGAGAAGCCCGCTTCAGTTCCGGTACTAGTACCATCATGGTACCGGTACCGGTACCGGTGTACATTCGTCCTCGGAACCCCCTTTGACATAAGAGAAGCCTCCGATCCGTCGTCGCGCGATTGGCTGGTCGCCTCGTCATCTCGTCATCTACCGCGTGGAAACGACTGGCTGTCACTCGTCACTCCAATCTGCCTACGCATGAGAGCCCCTGAAACGCACGCGGTTGTATTATACGTATAACATTTTCACTATGTATTCTACAGATCATACGTATTACACATATAACCTTTTTAATATGTATTAGACAAGTCATACGTACAACACAAGTAACACAAGTGGAAAAATATTATACGTATTACATGCATTATGTGTTGTACGTGTTTTACGTATAATACATAGTGACGAATTTTTGCTAAGTTTTTTTGCCAGGTGTTTTGCTAGGTGTTTGGGAGGCAGAGAGGAAGATGCACTGTTGCAGGCCATAATACCTGGCAGCTTATCAAGTAAAATGGACTCTTACCTATCTGAACTCTCCCATGTTGCTAGATACAATATCAATGATGAAGAATGGACTCCTGCTTCAATCATTGTGAATGTAGCAACTCACTAACTGATGATACACAAAGGAGATAAACATTATGATACTCTGGGGTTCGATAATTATCGAATGGAGAAATCGACGGTGATTGGCTACCTTCGATGTACAATCTTGTGATTCGGCGCATATTAAAGAAGTTTTGAGCATTTAGGAATTCCTAAAGAACCATCTCTCGCCAAGTGTTGTTAAGACTTTAGCACGGGTGATACGTATAATACATGTTACACGCGTAACACGTGTTACACGCTAGATACGTATAACACGGGTGATACATATAATACACGTTACATGATATAACACGTTTACACAAAGTGTTACACGCGTAACACGTGTTGCGCGCTGAGGTACTTACATGGGTTCAGTACTGGTCCCTACAGAAAGTGGTTGACAATGGTAGAATTCAAGGCCAGGTCTTCACAGGCTTTGTCAGTGAGCTTCAGAAGTATATGAATGCAAAGAGAATGGTCCTGAAGGCTGTACAGGGCCTGAGGAGAGAGTGGAGGCAGAAAAATGGAGAATGAGTTGAATGAAGAGAAATCATTCTATCTTTCCACAGGACAGTCTTCTTGGCTTCAACAAAGCCATACCACATTGCCTACTTACCCACAATGATGGTGCTATCTTCAAATAACAAGAGAAACCTTTGTATCCTTCAAACAAACAAGAGAAGAGAGGTTGTTGTCATGGTGGTTCTTTGTGGTGGAGATTGGAGTTGAAGTCAAAAGTCAAGTCATTTTGCGAAACTCAAACGGTCACGGTGGCTGGCTGGCGCGCGTGTTATACGTGTTATACGTGTTCTACACGTAAGACGTGTTACACCTGTTATATGAGTGTTACACCTGTTATACGAGTGATACAAGTTATACGAGTGATACGAGTGATACGAGTTATACGTGTAACATCGCGTGCGTTTCAGGGTCTCTCTTATGGACAAATATTCGTCCAACCGCAGAACAAAGCCACAGCAATACCATTGTCACAGGTGACCATGATGCGGGAGCCTGGAGTTATAAAAGACAGGGAAATACAGCACAACGCGCTACAGTCCCAGTGAAGCGTCACCAACAATGAGTGAATCCAAACACATATTCTGCAGTATTTTGAGAATTTCTGGGTGATTACTTTTTTCACTTTACTATAAACGTAATGAGGGTATGCACATTCAAGCAAATCTGTGTAACTGTAGTAGCCTGTTGTTGAAGACATCTAATAGCAATGCGTGCCACAGGGAGAAGCACTGGTCGATTCTGAGGTGGAGGCCCGCCAATGCATGTTCGCACATGTGGTTGTACCGTGAGCGGCGACACAGGCATTGTAGCAACTTGATAAGGAACCATAGCTGTTGGCGGAACCAATCAGGACGCCAGCAGAGATTTGATAATTGATGCAACAAAATAGAGGCTCTAAGATGGGTTTCATGTGGCAAAGAACTAAACTTTAACGCAAACATAATGTGGATAAGAACCCCTGTTGGTGTTCGTGTATGAGACCAGATTGGCTGTGCTTGCAAATGAGCAGCAAGAGTAAGGAGTTGCATATGTGGTTTCCAAACCAGTTTCCACTTGTATGGTTGCACAGGTGCTTGTCCCAAACTGGCTGACACAATCATCATAGCATGTCTGAGCATCTGTCCATACCAAAGTTCCACCATAGGTGCTACAGGACCCAGTGACCGGATTTGGGTTGCCAGACCCATCTTTTGGATCCAACTTGTACTTGAAACAGCAAAACCCTGAAAAATAGCTTGTTGAGCACCCTGAGAGTACAGTTGGTGCAATTGAGGGTGACTTGGATGGAGCTGTGGAAGGCTCGTCAGATGGAGATCTTGAAGGCGCATCCGATGGGAGTTGACTGGGGCTTTGAGAAGGCACTGCCGAAGGAGCAATGCTGGGACCTGAGGAGGGAAAATCAGACGGGATGATGCTCGGAAGCATGGATGGTCCATCTGAAGGGCTGGTGGAAGGTATATCGGATGGGGTAATGCTGGGACTTAATGATGGGACACCGGAAGGGCCGATGCTGGGAAGTATGGATGGTCTGTCTGAAGGGCTTGTGGACGGCAACTTTGATGGGCTTGAAGATGGGGATAGGGAAGGCAGTGTGGATGGACTAGAACTTGGGTCTGTGGATGGAAAGTTAGATGGACTAATGGATGGCAACCTTGACGGGCTTGATGATGGGGATACGGAAGGCAGTGTTGATGGACTAGAGCTTGGGTCTGTGGATGGCAATGTAGAGGGGCTAATGCTAGGGCTTGAGGATGGGATATCTGAAGGGCTGTTGCTAGGAAGCATGGATGGTGTATCCGATGGAATTGTTGAAGGTATATCAGAAGGACTGCTACTAGGAATCTGAGAAGGCACATATGATGGACTTATACTGGGGTTGGAAGAAGGGAGGTCTGAAGGGCTGGAGCTTGGTATCAAAGAGGGGGCTTCAGAGGGGCTTGAACTGGGATATTGGGATGGTACCACTGAAGGCATTGAGGAAGGCAAGTTCGACGGGGGAATGCTGGGGGTCCTCGATGGCCTTGCTGATGGTACTACTGAAGGGGTAAAGCTTGGATGACTACTAGGCAACCCAGATGGACCTGAACTGGGGACTGAAGATGGGGTAATACTTGGTGCATTGCTCAAGCTTGGTCTCTCAGATGGGTTCGTTGATGGAGACATTGACGCTGTTGGACTGGTAGTTGGATTTCCTGGGGTGACAGTAGGTAAAGAGGAGGGAGAAGTCGTGGGGTTTCTGGACGGTTCCGCTGATGCTGTTAAAGATGGCACCAGAGAGGGTTCGTCAGACATTTGCAATGCCGAGGGATTGTCAGAAGGACCAGCAGATGGGGCCATAGATGCCATAATGCTTGGAACATTGCTCAAGCTTGGCATATCAGATGGGCTTGATGATGGAGAGGTTGACATTGTTGGACTGGTAGTGGGATTTCCTGGGGTGACTGTCGGTACTGAGGAAGGGGAGGATGTTGGGTTTCTGGATGGGCTTGTGGATGGAGTTGCTGTTGTTGGACTGACAGTGGGAGTATGTGATGGTCTTTGAGAGGGACTGGAAGAGGGGTGTCCAGTTATTGGACTGGCAGTTGGATTTCCAGGTGTAACTGTTGGTACTGATGATGGGGAAAAGGTTGGTCTGTCGGAAGGATTGTTCGAAGGTAAAACTGAAGGCCCAAAGGATGGCAAGTGAGATGGTGAGGCAGAAGGTCCCAATGAATGAGCTGCAGATGGGTGCTGAGACGGCTGATTTGATGGCATGCTAGATGAGCTACCAGAGAGGCTAATTGACATGGCCGCAACCAAAGCTGTGTTGAGAGCACTGTTGTATTGTTCCACGAACAAATCTTCTTGGGTGGCTGAAATGAGAGTGCTTCCTGGAGGCTGTCTTGTGGAAATAGCAAATCCAAGAATTGATGACTGTAGTTTTCTCCCACCCCAAAGCTGGTTGGACTGGGCTCTAACAATACCAGCATTGCCATTGCCCTCTGGCCTGCTCAGCACAACAGTGTCAACAGAAGGAGGACAAGGGGTGCTTGCATATAATGCTCCAACTGCTGCTGTAAAAGCTTGAGTCAGTGTGGAATCTCCCACAGAGGCGACATCCCCGGTAAATGCAATGGTGTATGCCCATTCCATTGAAATGACACCACATGAAGTTGACGTGACACTGGGTGACATACTTGGGGTCTCACTGGGGTGTGAGCTCCCTGGTAGACTAGGTGCATCACTTGGAACTGGGCTAGGAACAGTTGAGGTACTTGGAGTTGTGCTCATAGCAGTGTTATCCTCAGTGCTTGTGGGTGTATTGGAGACCATAGTGGGAAGGGCACTTGGTTCACTTGATGCACTGGGTGCAGCACTCATCACATTGCTATTACCCGTGCTGGGGCTCAAACTTGGGCTCAAACTTGGTTCAGCTGACATACTGGGCACAGCACTTATTGAGTTACTGCCACCGGTGCTTGAAATTGTGCTTGGAGCCACACTTGGTTCGGTTGATGCACTGGGTACAGCACTTGGAAAAGTAGATGTAACGGATGGGCTGCTAGGCATGATGCTTGGTGACACACTTGGGCCCTCCGGCAGCTCATTTGGCGACTGTGATGGTACACTCGATAGAAGGAGAGTTTGATCATCAGTCGGTTGCAGAGTTGGTGCACTTGATGGAAGGAGAGTTGGATCATCTGTGGGTGAAGGTGTTGGTGCACTTGATGGAAGGAGAGTTGGATCATCAGTGGGCGGCAGAGTTGGTGCGTTTGATGGCAGGAGAGTTGGATCATCAGTGGGTGGAAGAGTTGGTGCGCTTGGGAGGCTTGTGGGTGAATCACTTGTGACACTTGCAGTGGATGTTGGCAAAGAAGACTCTGCTTGCTGAGATGTGCTGTTGCTAGCGCTAGATGATGCAGGAGTGGTTGTTGGAGTCTCCTCAGTAGCATTTGGTAATGTTGGGCTGGGCACTGGAGCTGATGCATTCGATGATAGACTGGGTACTGGATTCTCTGCAGTAACATTATTAGAGGAATCTGACAGTTCATCTCGCCCCGAGGTGCTGTTGCCTGCTGCTCCTGTTTCTACTATGCCGGATGAGTTGGATTCTGCAGGGGTCGCAGGCCCTTCTGTGACATTTGAAGACCCATGTGAGCCAGCCTCCAAATCTTGTTGCAATGTACCGGTACCATTCCCTGATGCTGCTGAAGGGCTGACAATGGATCCATCTCCAGTTGAGTTTGAGCTTGCTGCCGGTGTCTCTGTGGTGGTATTGAGTGAACCAGAATTTGGAGCCTCTGATGTGATGTTGTTTGCTGAGCCAGAATTTCCAATGGGTGAACTTTCAGTGCCGGTTGAATTTGATGCTGGAGGACTTGGTCCTTCATTTCCTACTACTGTCTCATTCTTGAGGGCTGCTGGTGCAGAACTCGTAGCTGGGTCTGATGTAGTGTTGCCGGATTCTGCAGTGGACACATCTTGTGTTGAAGTTGCAACATCATTAGTTGCATTGGGACTGTTTTGAAGTTCAGCTGCACCGTATGGGCTCAGAGTAGTTGGGCTTGTACTTGGGCTTCCCAGAGTCACAGTTGGCAATCCCGTGGTGGGACTACCAATAGGACTTCCAGGTACTGTAGGATTGACACTGGTTGGGGAAGAGCTGGGATTTCCTGCTGTTACTGTAGGTGTAACAGTGGTTGGACTCACTGATGGACTCCCTGGAATCACAGTTGGGGTTTCAGTTGCAGGGCTGACTGTTGGGTTCTTCTCTGCAAAAAGGGTAGGGTCCGTATTGGCAGTTGTCTGTTCGTTCTGGTTCTGGATCTCGGTTAAGCTTTCAATAATACTCACAGTGCCATCACGGTCACCATTCGAACCATTCTCGCTACTGTCACCGCTCGATTCAATGACACTGTCAATAGCTTCTCCTGCAACATTGGATACTAGAGCGTTCTCGGAGGATTCGATGACATCTGGTAAAATCTCCTGGCAGTCGTTGGAATTTGGGTTTTCCAAGCAAGCCGCAAGAGTCTCAACATCAACACCTGTCTCTTCAAGTACATTCTTACAGAAGTCTGACTGGGCATTCTCTGTTGAAGATTCCTCAACACAGCTCTCAATGGTTGACAGCTCAGTCTTGACAAAGGGAGTCCGGATGGTCCCATTGTTTGCCTCTACCAGCTGCAGGGCTTGCCCAATTGTGGCCCCACCAATTTCACTAACAGGCTCTGCATCAACATCAATCTCTCCATCCTGGTTCACAGCTCGTGTTGTACCAAAGATGACAGATGATTGAAAGCTAAGATCGTCAGTGCCATTTGCCCCCACAATACTGAGATCGAGGTTCCGACCATCTTGCTGCAATGTTGCATCAATGTTGTATCCAAAGGAAGCAGCAAACAAAGGGAAGAACTCAGCCATATCAAAGTTTCGGGTCCCAAATATGTTCTGCATTCTTCTTTGGAGGTAGGCCTGCTGATGCTCAGTTAGGCTGCATGACAATTCCAGGTGTCTTCTCCCTCTGGCAGTGGAGTCAGGTCCATCAGGGATTGCAAACAAGGGTTCATGATCAGGACAACCAACACAGCCAACATGAGCCATCCAAGTTGTTGTGGTGATGCTGTTTGCCACTAACTCTTGGTACTCTTCCAATGAAGTGTTCGTACGGAAAAGCCATTCAGCCAATGGGTCTAGCTTCTCCTTGGGCACTTTAGGTACCTGCACAGACAATGGAAGAGAATTATTGTCCAGAACTGTGTAGTTGGAATTAGTGTAGTTGGCATTGGTAGAGGTGTTGCTGTAGAAGGCGGTACCATTGGCGGAGTTACCCATAAGGACGGTGCTGTTTGTAGCGTTGAACAAGGCCGTCGTGTTGGTGTCATTTGAGGAGCCTGCCAATGGTATGAAATCCACCAACTCATCCTCTGGATCACCAAAATATCCAGGGAGGAAGATGCTATGGGTTCGGTTGGTGGTAAAGTTATTGCCCCAGTCAGTTTCGAAGTCAATGACTTCAGCAAAGTGCAACACACGGTAGTACTGATCCAAACACATTCCCTGCAAAGAACAATGTGGAAGTTAGCATGTCAGCTAGAATGATCCGTAGATACTGCAATTCCCAGACCATGGCCATCCACGTACAGTAATCTCATTATAGATATCCCGGAAAAGAATCTCAAGAAGCTTCTTCTTGCGGAGATCAAACAAGGTGTCAGGGGGCATTCCCATGATCTGAAGGTCCAGGAAGCCAACCTTAAGTAGTTGCTGGTCAGAGCATACAGGGGGTACAAATCCATCCACAATTGGGGGGAGTTGGGGTGGTGCTGCTGCCGGTGTTGGTGTTGAGACTCCACTGGATACGGCCGCAGCTGCCACAGCCGCTGATTCCATAATGGGGGAAGAAATGGCGCAATAAAAAGAGTGGTTAGTCCATAAATTAAATAAGATGACAATTTTTGGCATGCTGTGGTGTACTTACCATACTCACTGCGACTGCAGCTTGGGTTGCCGCTCCTGCACCGGCCGCTGCTCCAGCCATTCCAGCCAGACCAGACAACCCTGTGGTATACGTGGAGAGAACATGTGAGGTCAGTGAAAGCTAAGCTCAGGAGGTTGTCATTTGGATGTTATTGCTTCTGTTGGAATCCCATACCTGCTCCAGCGGCCCCAGCACTGGCAGCTCCTGATGCAGAAGCACTAGCGGCTCCTTGTGCCTGAAGAAATCACAGATGTAAAGAGGCAAACAGGGTTTTGTCAGGGTATTGGCGAGGAAATAGACAAAAGAAGCATTCTGTCAAGCCTTTTGAAGAAGCCAGCAAATAATATTCAACGTACCGCAGATGTCGCCATTTCTGCTACTCCAGGAGGAGGGCCCACAATCCCACCAGGAGGGGCGGGGCCTGCCATCCCTCCTCCAAAACCAGCACCACCGCCGCCACCACCTCCTCCTCCTCCACCACCGCCACCACTGGATGTCCCCATACTGAAAGGATCAAATGTGGCACCTCCGACATTATCGACAACTTCCTCGATTGCCGCATTGTTTCCTTCTTCTGCATCGGGTGAACCGGACAGCTTTTGTGAAATCTTCAAGAGTAGGCCACTAGCTGCATTCATTACGGGTGCCAGCATATTCATGAGAACCCCACAACCAATCATCTCCAGAAACTTCCAGAGGAATCCAGATCGTATGGCTTCTTCTTTCTTTTGAGCTGAATCGACACTGTCAGCACCATCGCTGATGTAGCTGCTGCCTTCACCATCATCTATTGCATATGTAATGTGCTCCTCCTCGTAATCTTTATCCTCGGGGAACTCCAAGTCTTCATATCCCTCCTCATCTTCGTTGGCCTGTTCGACGGAATCTATGATCTCTTCTGGGTCCTCAGCTCCCTCCGAATCGTTGTGTCCCAGGTCCGCATCGACGTAGCCGTCATCGGAATTGTTGCCCATGTTAATTGGTTAATTAATGAATTGTTGTTGAGAGCAAGCTTTTATCGGCTATAGTATCATCTGTCAAAACCCCGACAACTCGAGTGATACCATTTAATAAAATTTCGCTCAATTGTTTGATTTGTGGCGGTTCAGTCCTTTCCCTGTTCGCTATCGATTGCTGGTAGCTGTTCGCTGTGGCTCGAAATCCAAAAAAGGACCTGCTTTTAAAATTGCTTGATCGGACGATCATGCATTGTGGCGACTTGACTCTCACTGACAACGAACAAATCGTCTCTACTAGCTAGCTTCACTACTCGCTGCTGTTAGGAGCTGCCGGTAACCACGGTACCTACGACTGTACTCTGATGGTACGCTGTATCATACGCAACGCATGGACTGGAAGCTACTGGATATGATTGCTTCCGCGAAAAAAGAATCACCGCATTAAAAATGGGGAGGAGAAGTCTTAATTAAATAAGATACCAGGTACATGTACCGGTAGTCACAATGATTGCTACGCAGCCAGGTTGAAGAATCGAATGGAACAAAATTTTGAATGTAATCGAAGCATTCTTTTTTCTTTTGATTCAATTCCGTAGCTACCGGTATTCCGCGAAGTCTTCCGGACCCTTCTGGTCTTTTCTGCTGCTGCCAGGTGGCCCAGGGCTCAGGGCTCAGGTGGCCTGGGCCTCAATCGTCAACCGACAGCTGGAGTTGAGCCATGGATGCACCAGCAAAGGCAGAACTTTTTCCTTTTTCTATTTTATCATAAGCCACGTCTCTTTGCCTTCCTCCGTAAGGACCTCGAGAAACCTTCCATCAGGACTCTGACGATTCTACGGGTACTAGAACCCAAAGCAGCACCCAAACTTCAAGGCAAGTTGCCCAAGCTACCGTAAGCTTGCCAATCTACGATCTGTCTATCTATAACAAAACCATGGAACTATCTAGTGTTGCCTGGCCGGTTATTATTTATCTGCTTCATTTTTAAAAAAATACTACCACTATCTTTGTTAGTAACACTTAATAGTAATGATTGATTACGCCCTCGAGAATACAAAAAAGTTGTCGTCGACATCTCGTGTAATTCGTATTCCTTCATCCACGTAATATGTTTTCATTTGTACCACGGGAATACTCCCTTGTTGAATGGTTTTGTAGATATCTCCCACGGGCAGCGTCAGCTGGGCATCGTCCAAGAATTGATTCAAGAGGGGCACATTACTGCCCGTGACTTTGCTGGTTTGAATGGTCAAATCCCACGTTTCACTGGCGGCCACTTGCAACGATGCCGTGGTAATGACGGTTCCCTTGATGCGAAAGGGCAATCCTGGAACGAACCCAACTTCCAATTCGACTTCACTGACAAGCGTGTCACTAGTAATGGTTTGTCGGACGCGTCCAATGCGAGATCCCGTGGTAGCCCGATCGTGCAATTCGAATCCATTATTGGCCATTTGGGCATCTCCCATGGCCACTCGGAGGGATTGGAAAAAGGGACTGCTCCGAAACAGTTGCGTCGATGAGAGACACAACGACCATTCTCCTTCGCACATACTCGCCGGATTGGCCGTCGGATTGAGTGCCTCGAGTTGTGTCACCAAGTCAATGAGAATGTTGATTTCATCTTTGGAAGCGCATTCGCCGCGATTGGTGACACTCGAAAGGAGCAGTAATTCGCGTTTGAGCGCGTCTCGGATTTCGGCGTCGTCTTCGTCTTCATCGACTTCGACTTGTTTCTGTTTGGCCAAGTCGTCACTGTCGTAATCGGAAGGACCTACTTCGTCCGAGTAGGCTCTTAGGACATGTAGTACCGATTTGGTGGAGACTAATGGGGGTGGAGAGACAAAGGCCGTTGCTGTGGCGGATAGCAGAGCCAGCAAGAGCAATCTTGAGGTCGTTCTGGACAACCAAGACGATACCATGGTCAATCAATCAATCAATCAATCAAGTATTACGATAGCCAAGTACATACAATGACGATGGTCACTTGTATTGTGGGTCGGCATTTGCTTTGCGTTCTCATCAAGAGCCCCTGATGAGTGAGTGCCATTGTCGTCGTCGGGGACAAAGATCCAATGATATCAATCGATGACGTTGTGAAAATCAAAGATACAGCCTTACTGGCTACAACGTGAGACCGCAGAGCTGTTGGAAGGTTTTTGGCCACTGATTCACCAACGGACAATTAAAGTTTTTACAGGTCTTGCTGCGACAAAGAAAGAAACCAGAGAACAGCAAGAAGCAAGAGAACGCGCGTTTCGTACCAAACTTCTTGGCCACATGCAGCAAACAGCATACAGTAAAACAACAGCCGGAATAAGACCTTGTTTGAGAACAAGCAAGTTGATCGTACTGTAGCATCACCCACTACTGTATCGGTGGAAGAGGCAGATTATTTATTTGAGAATAGGATGGGGATCAATGGCAGTGAAGAAGAAGAGACGGCCGTAGGGTCCATGATGGCCCCGTCCAGCAACAGTCACACCACAGAACCCAATGGAGTCGATTTCAAGCGAGAACAAGGGGAAGAACTAAAGGTCGTGGGAACGACGAAAGAGGTAGAGTCCTCCACAAGAACCATCACTGCCACTACCATCAGCATGAACAGCAACAGCAACAGCAGCAGTGCCCACAGTGGCGCAAGCAAAAGAGCCACTGCCACTACTAGTCGTCATGATGATGCGGATGAAGAAATCAAACGACGAGCTCGTCGTGGACGATCACCTAGACAAGTTGCGACGGCCACTCTCACTGCTGTGGATAGTACCAGTACTCGCAAAGAATCTCCCAAACGAATCGTATCGGCAGTCAAGCCGCCATCAGAGCCAGCTCCAATTGTCCGAACCCGAAAACAGAAACCGCATGCCCATTCCCATCCATCCGACAAGACTCCCAAGAAGCGTGAAGCAAGCAAAGAGCAGTTCAGAGGTCGATCGCCCCCTCGACCAGCTTCCGCGAGAACCCTCACACAGGAGGACGGTCACTCGTCATTCAACGGTCACTCGTCATTCCACCTGGAACCATCTCCCATCGTTCGAACTCGCGAAAAGAGCCCGTTCCGTCATACCGTACCAGAGCCTACTAGTAATGCATCCGAACGACAAAACGACGAAAATGTTCGCTCCAAGGTCATGTCCCAAAGTTTGTCACCTGCCCGAGAAGACAGCTTGAGATTGTTCAACGAATTTGTCCTACAAGAACCCGACAGTGCCGCGCTGTCATGCTCGTTTTCCGTCTTTTCTGCGTCCTCTACTTCGGGCATGGATTTTGCGTCTTTGGCATCAGCAGACAAACGCAACAACAGCTCCACTGCCGTATCCGCATCCACAGTTCCGGAACCACCACCACTAACCACAAACAGCTCCCAAACGTTTCGGTCCAAACAACACACGAGTGCTTCTCGTGCATCTTCTCATGCTCGAATACTTCGCACCGCCCGAAAATCTAAAGGATTGAGTAACAACAGTAACAACGGCAATGATCCGCAACCCACAATGTACGTACGAAGCCTTTCTCCGGTACGGAAAAGTCCACTCCGTCATACCGTGCCAGAGCCTACTACCGGTACTTGTACTTCGGCAAGTAATGATAATTCATCCGAACAACAACAAAATGATAACAATCTTCGCTCCAGTCAAAGCTTGTCGCCCAAACGAGAAGACAGCTTGAGACGGTTCAACGAATTTGTTCTACAAGAACCGGACAGTCCTGCGCTTTCATCCTCGTTTTCCGCATTTTCAGCCTCCTGTACTTCGATGGATTTTGCGTCCTTGGCATCACCGCCGTCACCAGACAAACAACGCAACAACAGCTCCAAAGCTACCATTCCGGAACCACCACCACTAACAACCGCAAGCAACTCCCAAACGTTTCGGGCCAAATCGTCGTCAATGGAGGGGCCACGACGAATGAAACACAAAAGTGCTTCTCCGTCATCTTCTCATGCTCGAATACGCCGCACCGCCCGAAAATCAAAGGGATTGAGTAACAACAGTAACGGCAATGGCAATGAGCAATCCGCCATGTACGTACGAAGCCTCTCCCCGGTACGTAGAAGACGATTCCAGGGATACGCACCCAACAATGATTCCAAATCGACCATTCAGAGTCAGTCCGGGGTGTTTTCCATCGATGGTAGTTCCCATTCCACAGGCATGGATTCCGCTGCATTTTCCGTCAACAGTTCCGCTGCGTTCTCCGTCAATAGTTCCGCCACCGCATCCAGTGGGTCGCGACGAGGATTGCGAAATCGATCCGTATCGCCGACTGCCGCGGCACCACGAATGCCTTCTACGCGGCGTATGAAAACCACGGGAGGTCTGCGAAACGGCAACCAATCGTCCTATCACGAAAAATTAAAGGCATTTGGGGTTTCGTCGTCAGTCACCCCGGGTGCCATGCGAGGAGGAGGCAATAACAACAACAACAACAACAACATGGACAATAATAATAATTCCAGAACCAGGTCTCCAACACGAGGGCTATCGCCCACCGGATTGCGCAACTCGCATGCGACAATCGAAAGCAAACGGAGACTGTTTGGCGGTGCGAGCGCAAGAATGGATGTGTCAACCTTATCCATGGGGTTGGATTCGTTGGACGGTAATAATAATGATGATGATGATGTCGATTTAGAAAAGGGGAAGAATGCTCTGTCCATGGCACCAGAGGGGAAAATGAGACCAGTGGGGCCGAGAAATTTAAAGCAACAACCCGCAACGAATTATGATCCGGCGCTTCAAAAGAGTCGAAAGGGACTCCGGCAGCCAAGGGGTGCACAATATCAGCTGCCGCCACAACTGGAATCGGCACCAGGTGCCCATCGCTATTCACCAGTTCCATTTGGTAAAGAAGATAATTTCGAAGACGAATCTGGATTGGCGGCAATGGAATCGGCCCGTAGCTTGTCGTCCGCAAAGGAACCAAGCATTCGCAAGGTGCAGACAATCGATTTGCCTGCTGGCAACAAAGATGGCAGCTATCGCAAGCTTCAAACAGTACAAGCAAGGGATTCTGTGCGCGACGCAGGATTGGTAGAAGCGAGATTGGTGGAGGATTCAGAATCCGAACACTTGCCGGTGGCATTTGACGCGGATGAATATGTCCCACCATCGGAAGAAGTAGTGGCAGCAAGGAAGATGAACAGAATGGTCTTGTTGGCCAATGGCTTGGGGTGCTTCTGTCTGATCTTGACCATAGTGTCCTTTGTGGCAATGCACATTGCTGGAGTCTTTCGTAGCCCAATCGAAGTGACACTGTCACCATCGTGGGCTCCATCAACAATGCCATCGCCTGCTCCTACACCATATTTGATTCCTCTACCAGAAGAAACAGGACAAACCATTCTTGCCAATCCACAATCACCACAAGCCAAAGCATATCAATGGCTCAAGGATGATACCCAGCTGGAAATATACAGTCCCTATCGACAACTGCAGAGGTTTGTTTTGGTGACTTTCTACTATGCTACAAATGGCCAGGGCTGGGATATCAATGAAAACTGGTTGTCTCATGATCTTCATGAGTGCCTGTGGAAAACGAAGGGGGTGGGTCTGCAAGGTGATGGGATAAACCAACTGTGTGACCCTGACGGAAACTTCCTCTACCTCTATTTGACAAAGAATGGGCTCTCAGGGAGACTTCCCCCAGAGTTAGGCCTCTTGACCAAGCTTGAAGTTTTGAATGTTGCCACAAACAGCATCAGAGGGACCATTCCAAGTCAAATTGGACTCATGACTTCTCTTAAAGAGCTTCTCATGGATTACAATGAACTCACTGGGGAAGTGCCAACTGAGATTGGAGAGTTGACTCGTTTGGAGTATTTCTATGTACACACCAACCCAGTGACAGGCACCATCATGACAGAAGTTGGTCTCTTGACCAACATGATTGATTTTGAATGGACAGACACAGTGACAAGAGGGACCATTCCGACGGAGCTTGGTCTGATGACCCAAACAACTGTCTTATTCATGTGGGCCAATCTTCTGGAAGGCACGATCCCAAGTGAAATAGGATCTATGACCAATATGACTTATGGCTTTGGGTTATATGGCCAATCTTTGATAGGAACCATCCCAACTGAGATTGGCAGGATGACTGACTTAGAATCCCTGTACCTTGACGCAAATTTTCTCTCTGGCCAGATTCCAAGCGAACTTGGCCGTTTTCACAAAGCAACAGAAATGTATCTAAAGGCCAATGATCTCCGGGGAGCCATCCCATCAACGTTCGGACTTTTGACAAGCCTGGTGGTGCTCGATCTCTCCTCCACCAGCATATCTGGAAGCATCCCTTCCGAACTTGGTGCATTGACTACAGTGTCTTGGATAAATCTGGATGCAACAAATCTGGCTGGTGATGTGCCAGCAGAACTGGGGAACTTGGGGATGAATGGTGAATGTGAAAAGCTCAAACTGAATGACACACTTGTTACGGGGGAGATACCAAGTGGTCTTTGTGATATCTCTGATTTGTCCTTTGATTGCTCGGATGACCTGTGTGGTTGTGATTGTGTGTGTCACTTTGGGGCACAAGGCAGCGTGGATGCATCAGCCAGACACAGTGAATCGGAAGAGGATGAAACAGTTAATGCACCCTAGCCCACAAATGATTAGTGCCACACATGAATAAGCATGAAAAGTAAAGGAATGATCTTGCTGGGGCAGTGGACTCGTATGTTAGTATCAATAGTGTGCATCGGGGTCTGAAGAAACAGAAACAGAAGTGGGCTTAGTCAGAAGGAGTGAAAAGGAAAGGCAGTTCTGACTTTGACTGTTTTTCACGGCGATTTGGCACTAAGCAGCCTTCAGAAATCTCCTCGAAACTGGACATTGGATTGCAAGCTGGAGATGCATGCTCCATAGCTGTGCCTCGTGAAGGGGTAAGAAGATCCACAGTGGCCTTTGTGGAACCGCCGTTACGGGGCTTGCAACAAAGTAAGGTTGCATCATCTGCATGGTGTCGTCGACCACAGAGACGACCCAATGCAAGAACACACCCGACGCAAGGGAATCATTCAATCGAATCTTTCGCCAATCTGGCAAGGCTAATGCCACGAACCATTCGCGCCTTTTAAAAAAAAAGCGTTCATGATAAACGGCCAAACCGAGTGTGGTCATGAGCTCGTTTGTCGTTTGCTGTCGCTTCTCTATCAGGTGGTAGGATTCCTGCTGCAAATTGAACTACGGTACCTCCGCGGTTGGCCCTTCTATCTATCTACTGTAGCTACGGTAGCGAGTAGTGATGCCAAGGTGCTTCCTAGCTGTAGCAGAGCTACCGGTATGGGTTGCATACGCTAGCTAGCCGTGGTGGGGAGAGGAGGTGGATCGAAATGGGAGTTGGGGGGATAAGAGCTCCATCTTACCAGGAGCTGGAGGGCCTCCGGTGACACCATGATGACGTCACTATACACTCCAAAGTTTGGCGAGTCGCGAGGAGTCGCGACTAGCCGTTTAAAGGCGCGCGACTCTACGCGGGTTCTATAACGAGTCCTTGCAACTCCACACGACTCCACGCGACTCCTCGCGACTCCTTCATTAATTACTAGTATTATTAATATTAATATATACAACATGTGTCATGACTCCACGCGACTCTACGCGTCTATATGCGACTTTAAACGCGACTGATCGCGACTGTGCCCGACTGCGCGCGACTGCGCGCGACTGCGGTCGCGACTGCACTCGCGCGACTGGTAATCGGTTGGGATCGCCAAAAAGCCACGTCACCAGAGGCCCTCCAGGAAGGTAACGGTATAAATCTATCTCGTACAGTACTGTACCAGGTACTGTATTACAGCACTGCAGGATTACTGTATTGGAATGCGAAAACAAGAAGCTTGAACTGGAGGTCAAGTGGACAATTAAAAGGCGGGGGTCGGTCGTGGTTTGGGTGGGGTTTGTTGTGACCTGTTTGTGCCATTCGTCCGTCTCATCATGACTGTTATTGCTTTGGGTGCTGGTTTTTGCTGGGTGGTTGGTAAACTACTTTGTCGGTGGTACCACTGCGATTCCCCCGCGATTGCTGTCTTCCGCTTGTCCACCGCCGACAAGGTTCATCGCTCCTGCTAGCTAGTCCTGTGTAAACACTTACTTGGTCTGGTAAAAAGCCAGCAAGATATCGATAGCAAGAATAGCTGTGCTTCTGAAAGAAGTCGATCATTGAACCGTTGCCAGCCATGAAGAAAACTCCAACAGACAGCGATTCGGGCAATGGTAGCAGCCGCCAGGCTTCTAGTAGTGTCCAACAGCCTCCAACTAAGGAGATTCCAAGCCCGCGAAGTCAGCACAGCGAAGTGAGTTCGTCTGATGGGGTAGATGAGAAATCCAAGACCCTCGACAGTACCGGTAATAGTGCTAGCACGAATAAGAATGACGACGAATGGATGGACGTAATCAAGGAACAAGAGAAAGCCATGCGATTGCATCCAGCAGTTTCGCAGGCTTTGGACGGAGCCTCTTCGGGGGAGCCGTCAACCTCGGCAACCGCCAGGCTTCCTAACAGGACCAAGTCTTCTCAGGGGAGAAGCCAGGATTTTAAGGGGTCACCCAACAAGGCTACTGCGAGTCAGAATGATAGAGACATCAGCCGAAAGCGCGCTGCTTCTCCAACAAGAAAGCAGAAAACTGAGATTAAAAATACCCCCCAAAGCAGCTCGCCAGGTGATACTCAGCAAAGTAATAGAACTGGAGATGATTGGATGAAGGAAATCAAAGAACACGAGAAGATAGCACGAGAAAATCCTGCCATTGCATTGGCTCTGAACAACACGTCAAATGCACATTTTCCGCCTCCAGCAGCAGCAATAGCCGGCAATCAGCACACTCCTCAAATCTCCAATGCAGCTGACAACACTGATTTTCGGAGTGGCTCGCCTGCGCCTGGACAGACAAATAAGAATGCCAGGAACGACAGTCCTCCCAGAAAGCCGCCACCAAGGGTTCAACAACCTAGAACAACAACACCAGAGAAAATGGAAAGAGGGGAAACTCTTTTCCGCCAAAGCTCGGACGACCTGATGAAAGCCATTGCTATTCGGTCCATAGAAGATGGCATGGCACTGGATGCTACAGCGACAACGACAGTGACCATGGATAATACTACTCACACCAACAACAGCACAGCCGACGACAGTACCAACTACAGTCAACAAGCCAAAAAGCGCATTTCTGGTCACGTTCAGCCCGGAGCCTTTGGAGCAGCTCCGGGAATGCGACCAACGCGACAGGCATCACTTCATTATGCCACGCTGCTCAATTCCAGTCTATCCGAATCCAACTATTTTTCGCAAGAGTTAAATGACACCCAGCACAGTAGTAATGGCAGTAACAAGAATCCCAATAGTGAGAGACCACCAGTCATATCAACACGAAATATCGGCTTGGTGGAAGCGCATCCGGTTTCATCCTATTTCCCCTTTCCACGGGCACAAGCATATGAGGAACCCTCGGAAGATATTGTGGCGCGCACATCACGACAAGAGCGGTGTCGGTTGGCCCAATATTATGCTGTCATGGTTTTGGGGTTCACCACCTTTGTCCTCTTGATCTTGTATGCAACAGGTGCTATTTTCTCGAGTGATTCATCCACAGAGCCGTTGCCTTCTTCTGCTTCTCCTTCCTTGGCTCCTACAATGGCAGTGACGGAATATGAATACTCCTTGGAGCTACCCTCCTACACCCAGGAAGCCATCGAAGCAGACCCAACCTCGGCTCAGGCTCGGGCGTATCAGTGGATCAAACAGGATGTTTTGCTGGAAACCTACAGTCCTTATCGACAGCTACAGAGGTTTGCTTTGGCAACACTATACTATGCTACAAATGGCCATACCTGGGAAATCAATGAAATGTGGCTGTCATATGCTGATCACGAGTGTCTCTGGCAAACAAAGGGGGTGTTTCTGCTTGATGATGGAATGACAAAGCACTGTGATCCTGATGGAAACTTCCTCGACCTCTATTTGACAAAGAATGGGCTCTCAGGAAGCCTTCCACCAGAGCTAGGCCTGTTGACCAAGCTCGAAGTTTTGGATGTTGCCACAAACAATATCAGAGGGACTATTCCAAGTCAAATTGGGCTGATGACTTCTCTTTATGAGCTTATCCTGGATGCAAATGAGCTCACAGCTGCCGTACCATCGGAGATATACCAGTTGACTCGTTTGGAATGTTTCTATGTACACACCAACCCAGTGACAGGCACCATCATGACAGAAGTTGGTCTCTTGACCAACATGATCGATTTTGAATGGACGGACACCTTGACAAGAGGGACCATTCCGACGGAGCTTGGTCTGATGACCCAAACAACTGCCTTATTCTTGTGGGCCAATCTGTTGGAAGGCGCGATCCCAAGTGAAATAGGATCTATGACCAATATGACATATGGCTTTGGGTTATATGGCCAGTCCTTGACAGGAACCATCCCAACGGAGATTGGCAGGATGACTGACTTAGAATCCCTGTACCTTGACGCAAATTTTCTCACAGGCCAGATTCCAAGCGAACTTGGCCGTTTTCACAAAATAACAGAAATGTATCTAAAGGCCAATGATCTCCGAGGAGCCATCCCATCAACGTTCGGACTTTTGACAAGCCTGGTGGTGCTGGATCTCTCCTCCACCAGCATATCTGGAAGCATCCCTTCCGAACTTGGTGCATTGACTGCAGTGTCATGGATAAATCTGGATGCAACAAATCTGGCTGATGATGTCCCAGCAGAGCTGGGGAACTTGGGGGTGAATGGTGAATGTGAAAAGCTCAAACTGAATGACACACTTGTTACAGGGGAGATACCAAGTGGTCTTTGTGATATCTCGGATTTGTCCTTTGATTGCTCGGATGACCTTTGTGGTTGTGATTGTGTGTGTCACTTTGGGGCACAAGGCAGTGTGGATGCATCAGCACGGGGCAGGGCTTGGGCAGCAGTGGGACAAGGGAGAGAGTTTGCACCATAAATTTCTATGCTTTTGGCAGCTCGGTAGTAGGGAGCACGCCCTCCACATGCTGCTTTGTTGGGTATTGACAGTTACGAGGCCCGGGACACCTGGAGAGCAAGCAAGTGATAAGGCAGGGACTTCGACGCTTCGACTTGCGGGAGCTACAGTACTCGTAACCATTCTCGGGTGCCCTGTTGTGTGTACCGGTACTCTCATCACCACGGCACCGGCAGGTAGTAAGTCTAGAAGACAAGAGGATGTATCCCATTCCTATCATTGGTTTTGACCACCACGGAGCCTACACCTTGATAACTTTCTGACATCACTTGCCGCCATCATACGAAAGTTCGACGTTTCTAGAATCATTCGGAGTAGACAAAAATATGAAAGTAATTCGATCCTTTTTGGTACTGGTAACGGTAGGATTGGTTGGCACGTGACTCCTATCACTGCATTCAATCAAGAACCGCGATGGATTCATTCTTTACTTGGACCTCGAGTCCGCCCCCGTAGATATGAAAATCCCAAGCGATGATCCAAGCTAGGAAGCTACCGTACTACGGGCTTCTACGAGAGACACTGTTTCAAGCCAACACGGCGACTCATAGCCGACATACCACATGGGTGACAGTGCAATCTAGCTAGTAGCTTGGACGTAAGCGATACCGCGTGTCGTACAGTAAAGGGACAACCAACAAGTGTTGCCATGAGCGCATGTGCGATCTTTTTTGGCGTCGAGCCGACATTTAGTGCACGCCGAGGTTTGGGATGGTGGGCCCCCTTGCTTGCCAGTGCTGTCGACCACAGTTTACATGTACATGTATGTAGTCTACGGCGGTACCGGTATGAATGCCCATGCATAGGAAGGCTCGTAGAGTTGGTGCTTGGCTCTTTGTAAACTGTTGAACCGTCATTGTGCCAACTCACATAGGAAAATCGGCCAGTCCAGCGTTTGCAAAATTGATATCCGACTGATGGAAACCGGGGTTCTCCCACGTGACAACGTGCAACTGCTCCTCCAACATCTGCAAGGTCCGGAAACCATTATGAAGTTTTGAAATGTTTCAAACAGTTTTAGTTTCTCATTTTTAGTTTAATTTTCTCATTTCTAGTTTCTCAAGTTAATTAAGAAACTACAATTTTTGTTTCTCATTTGAGGAAAAAGTTAAACTTCTGGCGCATGTTTACTAGCTAGTAGTTTCTCATATAGTTTCTCATTTCAATTTCTCATTTTCGACAAATGAGAACTTCACTTTCTCATTTGCGAAACTAGTTTCTCAAATGAGAAACTATGTTCTCATTTGAGAAACTGTCAAAAAGGATTTCAGTCATGCTTCCGGACCTTGCGGAACTTTCGGTGGCACCGAACATCGTGGAAGCAACCCGCCAATTCCAAAGGAAGGAAAAGTAAAAAGTAGACTAACGGTCAAGCACCAATGCTCACTTTTTCTCCTCGGCGCAGTAAGACCACGTTATTACACTCACCTCGCAAATAGACTATTATTACAAACAACAGCACCAACCATGAGTACTCTTGTTGTCCTCCTCCTGCTACCAGCGCTGGCTCTCGGCCACTCCTGCACCAGTTTCACGGTGAACTCTACCACGGAACGAGAGGACTTTCTCGCCATGGACACCAGCTTTGTCCCTCAGTCCATCAAGGATGTGGTTTCGGCCGACACGGAAATGGACCAATCCTTTACCGGCTTCTACGATTGCCACAATATGGCAGGTGAGTTTGTTTGTTTGTTTGTTATCATCATTAACCAGCAAGAGGAATTAAGATCAGGGTCTGCCCACTTGAATGCTGTGCTTTTTAAAATTGATTGTTTTCTTGCTTGCCCTCTCTCTTTATAGGTGACTACGAGGTTGGCGTGGCGTACATTTGTGACGAGTCGGAGACATGCAGCTGTACAGCTCTCTATCAGTTTGAAGAATGCTCTTCTTGCACCGTCTGTGGCGAAATTGGAAAACTGGAATCCTTCAGTGCCGATTGCAGCAACGTCAAGATTGGCTACACGGACAATTGTACGGTGGAATGCGGGTACGAGACAACTGGGTGCTTTGTAGAGGAAGACGCAGAAGAGACCGCGGCGACAGCTGATAATAGCACCGCCACCACAGAGGTTCCTTCCACTTCGGATGCCACCACTACTAATGATGCTTCCTCAAGTTTCATGCCGCGAATGGCAAGCAGCCTCATTCTTTTGATTGGCACGCTGGTTGTCTTTGCATGAACTGGCTACCCGTACTAGTCAAGTAATCCTCTATCAATCTACCATCTGTTAAGTTCTGAAAAGTTCATACCGTATCCTAATAGCTGGCGTCTTGCTATCTGCTAGCTACCGTACAGTAGTAGCTGGCTAGAGCTACATGCAGTTTGAATGAGGAGGTCCGAATTTGCTCTGGCTAGATTTGCAAACTTGACTAGCTAATTCAGTTTATTATTATTATTACTATTACTATTAGCCAGATGGATTTTGGCAACTTTTGGACTTCGTTGTGATGGCGCCTTTTGTGGCCACTTTAGATGATGATATCGACGTGGAGGACAGCCATAGTCACGACCGTATCGGTACCAACTAGCACCGTACCGCTGCGCCCAGAACACTTGTGATGCAGTGGTTACTGTACAATTATTCTGATATAATGGGAACTAGCTTTGAAGATACCGTATCCAAGCGAATCACCATGGCAAAGATCGTGCGACGTCAGCTTTGTCTGCAGTTGCCAGACAGAGATTGGGCAGCCGACCTTTATTGGTTGCCGATTGATGAATGTCATAAAACAATATGGAAGCCAAAGCGGAAACCAGCAAATCGAAGGCTGTGCCTATGATAGGTGCCGTTGCTGTGATAGGAACCGAATGGCGGAAATTGGACGGGAGAGCGTTGGGCGAAAGCAAAGCGGATATTGTTGGTCATTCTGGAACTCCAGAGCCAAACGATTATGCGTCCAATGGTGCCATACCGGTATCATCCAATCATGATCTTCGACGTGACAAAGAAGACGCAAAAATCAAACAAGCAGCTGTTGGCCTCAAACAAAGTACAGCAGGAGCTGTTGAGGTGGTTGCAACGGCTAAAGAACCAAATTGGATGACAACAGAAATGGAACTAGGAGCTGTGCCCATGGTTCCTGCGGCCAAAGAACCAAATTGGACGACACGAGCCGTACCAACGATTGCTACGGCCAAAGTGACCGTGCCCGGCAGTCGAGGTCTCCGGAACAGCAAACAAGATTTGGAGATCAAGCGAGCAGCATCTGGAAACCAGAAGAGCAAGATGGACACAAGAATTCAAGTGGGAGCCGTACCAATGAATCTGTCTGTGGTACCTACCACTCCTGGCCTCCATCGCAGCAAGCAAGATGCAGAAATCAAACGGGTGGCGGTTGGCCTCAGACAAAGCAACCAGACAGGCACGGAAATTCAAGTCGGAGCTGTATCAATGGGTCCTTCTTCCCACAGTGCGGTATCTGCTATTCCCGGCCTGGGACCACGCATGCAAGGTGCAGAAATCAAGCGTGCGGCAGCAGCTGGTATGAAACAGAATAGGATGACTGTGGGAACTGAACGGAGAACTGTACCAACGTTTGCTTCGTCTAATGAACCAAATGGGATGACTGCAGCAGTCGAACCAGGAGCTGTACGCATGTGTTCTTCTCCTGGCCTCCGGCGCAGCAAGCAAGATGCCGAAATCAAGTGTGCCAAAGCAGCGGCAAGAACCCTGGATTCTTCTGCCCACAGTTTGGTATCTTCGAGTCCTGGCCTCCGCCGCAGCAAGCAAGATGCTGAAATCAAGTGTGCCGCTGCAGCAGCAAGACCCCTGGATTCTTCTGTCCACAGTGTGGTATCTTCTAGTCCTGGCCTTCAGCGCAGCATGCCAGATGTTGAAATCAAGCATGCCAAAACAGCAGCAAGAACCCTGGATTCTTCTGCTCACAGTGTGGCATCTTCCACTCCTGGCCTCCGCCGCAGCAAGCAAGATGCCGAACTCAAGCGTGCCGCAGCAGCGGGAAGGACCCTGGATTCTTCTGTCCACAGCGTGCTATCTTCGAGTCCTGGCCTCCGCCGCAGCAAGCAAGATGCTGAAATCAAGCGTGCCGCTGCAGCAGGAAGAACCCTGAATTCCTCTGCACACCATTCCGTCTCTAGTCCCGGTCTCATGTGCAGCTCACAAGATGAGAAAGTCAAACACGCAGCAGCTGGGCTCCAAACCAACAGCATGGAGGTAAAACAATCTCCTGCAAGAGCTGGATGGCCATATGGTAGAAAAGCAGCTGCAGGCAGTCATGAAGTGCATTGCAGCCACAATAACCCAGTTTCCAAAGACGGTGCTGAAAGTAAGCCAGATTCTTTGGCTTTGTGGAGAACAGACCCCAAGCACAATGATGACATCTCTGGTAGAAAGACATTTGCGGATGCCTCTCCTAAGGCAAATGCTGACATGATGATACAGCCAGAACTGGTGTTGGGATCCAACATAGGATTAGTGGAAGCCAGAGAGGTGAAAGAAGAAGATGATGGCATCATCTTGGGCTCAGCTGAGATCTATGATGGACCCATGGAAGAAGAAAGAGAACAAATCAGGGATCAAAAGAGAATATACTACATTGGCAGCATTTTCTGTTTGGTGTTGGCGCAAGTTTTGATTGTTCCCATTCTGTGGTGGTCTGGAGTCTTTGATCCGGCTATCAGAGACACAATTGTGGTGTCTGCAGAAACACCATCCAATGCTCCATCTGGAAGCCCAACATTGGCACCTACTCCATTCTTTCTTCCGCTGCCTGAGTACACTGTTGACATACTGCAAAACGGCCCCTTGGCTTCCCCTCAAGAAAGAGCCTACAGATGGATCCAAGATGATCCAAACTTTGAGGAATATTCTGATGCTCAAAAGCAACAACGGTTTGCCCTGGCCACGTTCTACCATGCAACTAATGGCGACCTAGGAAGTTGGACACAGCAGGATGATTGGATGTCCTATGATGTCCATGAGTGTGAATGGTTCAGCAAATGGATCAGTCTAGGACCAGACTTTCCTAACATCTGTGATGAAGAAGGCAATTATCAGTCGTTGATCTTGACCAAGAATGGGCTTTCAGGGAGCCTTCCACTAGAGCTGGCCCTCCTCACAAATCTAGAAGTATTTGATGTTGCCACAAATGAAATCAGAGGGACCATTCCAAGTCAAATTGGACTCATGACTTCCCTCAGAGAACTTATCCTTGATGTCAATCAGCTCTCAGGTCAAGTGCCCTCTGAGATTGGACAGTTGACTCATTTGGAGTATTTCTTTGTACACACCAACCCAGTGACTGGGACGATCATGACAGAAGTTGGTCTCCTGACTAACATGATCGATTTTGAATGGGCAGATACGTTCTCGCAAGGTACCATTCCAACTCAGCTTGGTTTGATGACTGGCGCAACTGCCTTGGTCTTGTGGCAGAATCTCCTGGATGGCCCCATCCCAACCGAAGTAGGCTTGATGACCACTTTGTCTGAGGTTTTCGGGGTGTATGGCCAGAACTTGGCAGGAACCATCCCAACTGAGATTGGCAGGCTTACTGGGTTGGATCAGCTGTACCTTGATGTGAACTCTCTCACGGGCACTATTCCAAGTGAAATTGGCCATTTAGGCAAGGCTGAGGGCATTTACTTCAACCTCAATGATCTGGAAGGCACCATTCCTTCTGAACTTGGAGGCTTGTCCTCATTGGAGGTACTTGCTCTCTTCTCAACCAACATATCTGGAACCATCCCTTCTGAGTTTGGTGGTTTGACGTCAATGTGGTGGTTGCCTCTCCACGAGACAAACCTCAGTGGCACTGTCCCTGTTGAACTTGGGGCCTTGGCAGACAATCAGACTGGTAGCCTGGAGCATGTCAGTTTGAATGAAACACTTGTGACTGGGGAGATTCCAGCAGACCTTTGTTTGATTCTTGAGATGAGCTTTGATTGCTCCGATGAACTCTGTGGTTGTGACTGTGTCTGCCAGTTTGTGGCTCAAGGTAGTGTGGAGTCTTTGTCGAGGCCCAGGGTTTCCGAGAACTATGACTTGTTTCTGGATTATCCTTAAGTTGCATTCAAGCTCTAGCGCCACATAACAGCCATGTATTACAGTTTTATAGCTCCTCAGAATTGGCCAGGCCTTGACTGCAGAGGGCAGGCAATGTCAAAGAGCCATAGGCAAAAGGTAGGCAGTTCTAACAAGGACCAGATTTTCTCGTGCAACCTCCATTGTGCAACATTGTGATTGTTCCGTAGGAGGTAAAATGCACCATTTCAAGACGAACACCAGCGCTTCAACACTGCACTAGCTAGATTGTTAGATTGCCAGTGATCTTTGTCTGTTTGTTTGTTTCGGCCACACTGGACATGCAACCGCACTGGACAACCACACTGGAAGCTCCGAGACTGTCACTCGACCCTTCACCGGTGAAATCCAGTCACAGACGGATCAACTCGACCGAGCTCCGATGCTTTTTAAAAAATGGTCACAATCTGATAATAAACTATTAATATACTTCAACAAACAATACCATGCAAAAGTCGCCTCTCTCTGCCCTCGTTGCCAGCTCCATGCTTCTGACCCTCGGTTTGAGCAGACTCTCCGCGGTTCAGGCGACCGAGTTGACAACCGAGTATCTGGCTGTCAATGGTCTGAACTTTACTTGCTCCGTTTTGAAGAAGAAAAAGGAAGATGAAACAACCCACCAACATAAGGACGTCATGCTGTTGCATGGATTCCCATATTCTCGTGAGTGGTGGTCTCCGCTTCTGAATCTTTGGGCGAATACAACATCCATTTCGGTCCATGCTGTGGCCTGTAACATGCGTGGCTACAGCGCAGGTGCCTCACCGGATAACATTGAAGACTACAGCTTTGACAAATTGGAAGCGGATGTCTTGGCATTGACCAAAGCGGCTGGCTTTGAACAAAAAGATGGCTTCCATTTGTTGGGACACGACCACGGTGCTGGCCTGGGATACTACATTGCCGCCAACAATCCAACCAAAGTACAATCCTTTACTTCCTTGTCAGCTCCTCATCCGAAACTCATGTCCGAGGCTCTGTGTGGCGACAACACGGACGAAGCACAAGTTTTGGCGTTCACGTATACAAACCAGTACTCCCTCCCGGACAGCGCCAGTCGGAACAATGCCAGTTTGACGAGGTTTTACCGCACATTCGGATTGATTGACGATTCGTTGCAACCCGAACAATTTCAAAAGATGCTTTGGTGGTACAATCGTAGCCATGAACACTGGTCCGTTCCCCGCGTCGTGTCGGACGAGGAAGTTGTGGAATACGGATCACCCTTTTTCCTGACATCCCAACGCCAGGCCATTCCTTTGGAGGAACGTCCTTGCATGCCCGTGGAGGAAAGCGCACAAGTTGGCACTGTGGAGGCCCCCGTTCTCTTTATTTGCGGAGCCCAGGACCCCTACGTCTTGTGCAACAATGACTATGCCGTCAATGTCCCCGCCAATCTCATGCCCAATTTCGAACACGCCAGCTTTCGGTGCGAGCACAACTTTTTCGATGAGGGCAATTGCGACGACAGGGAAGAAAGTCAGGCCGTCATGGACACCATCACCGCCTTCGTCCTTGGCAATGAGGAGGCAATTTTCCATGACGAAGATGAAACCAATGTTGCCAGTGGTGGTGCCACAACAGTGGCCGTGCCGTTGTTTGCTGCTTTTCTGTCGGGGCTGATGTCACTGATAGCCATGTAGTTAGTCAGTTATCGTGAAGTAAGTCGTAGCATCTATATGTACTATTTCCACATGGTTACACTACTAGCCAGGGCATTCCCTTGGGGTATGTCTGTTCTGCAGATTGCGTCTTGTTCATTATGTTGCAAACCGTGCTTCCAGATACACCTCGAGAGAATCACCATGTCTGTCCAAAGCCCCGATCCATTCCCTGTAGGTTGCATTGTTGTCAGTGTTGTCATTGTGTCGGGCAGATATCATTGCTTTTTCGTTCATTCATTCGTTCGTTCTATTGTCTTGTCTCGTTCACGCGCTGTTGGCAACACGCTGTTCCTTTCGCCACACTCCTGATTGCAGAGCTTTTTCTTGTCTTTTTTATTTTACTTGTGCAAAAAATGGAGTGCTGGATTCTGCTTTTTTGGCAGGGGCTGGCTTGGGTGCTTTGGCGGTTGGTGGCTTGGGTGTTGGTTCAGGTCTTGGTTGTGGCTTTGGTTTGGTGGGGTCAAAACTCGCCAAATTGCGTGCCTTTTGCTTGGCCGTGACGGCCGCTACCGCTGTTTCCTCGTACATGGTTTTAAAGGCCACAAAGGCTTCTTCGGATGCCTTGACATCTTCTTGTGATTCTACCCATGCATCGTAGGCTAACCGTGCTGCGGCATCATAGGGGATGGACACATCTGCCTGCTTACCTGCTTTTCTCCTGGGGGCCCTGGGGGCGCTACCGCTACTGGCAGTCTCTCCGCTACTGGAACCGGACACGACCGCGGCAATGCCCAACAGAACTACCACTCCGGCAATGGCAATACCCACATCGGGTGACAGGGAGGAAAAAATGTCCATGACACCACTAGTGTCTGGCTCGACCTCGACGATTTCAGGCTCCCATCTTGTGGTGATACCCTCGGTAACATCCGCCAAGGCTTCCTTGGCATTCGAAATAACATCTCCCAAATCGACGGCAGCATCTTCTCCCGCTCGCAACAACGACGACGAGGATCGAACGGTTGCCCTTGGAACCACAAAGCCACTGGCAGTGGCCGCCAAGAGAGGTAGCAGAAGACTCAAACGAAACATCATCATGGTTTCTAAATTAATTAATAATTACTTGGATTGTGAGCAATTGAGCAATTACCCAAAGAAAGAAAGATTGTTGTCAAAAATAGTGACAAAGCTTCAAAATGAGAAAGATCCACAGGATGTTGTATGGTGTCAACAAGCAGCTGCCATGGAATGTGTCCACAAGTGCGTATCTTTAGATCTTTGGACAGCTTCAACTGGGACTCTCAGCGCGGGAACGAGAATGCACAACGAGGACAATACGGTCGTTTCCAACCGGCATCCAGCTAGCTAGCAAGACGACACTTGAGCATCGCTTGGCGACCTGAAGCAGAGGAATAGGTATCTCTCAGTATACTCAAAGATCTGAGGAGCATGAGATTTCGAGGCCATGAAACAATAGTTCACGCATTACGTGTCCTCGTGGCTGCCACGATGCAACACATTGTATAACATTCGCCCCTGCCTGTTGTGCTCTTTCGATCCAAGCTTGACTCTACCAGTGTCTTGCCGGTACCTGGGGAGAAGGAGCTAAAGCTACCGGTACCGTGCCGGTGTGCACTGCGTAGACGTGGGGGGCTGGTCAGGGGGGCACAGCCGAAAGGGTCAGCCCGGGAGCATCGATGCCCTTGAAGTATCTTGATCATAGGCACGCATCGACTCGGAGGCTCCGCCCCCACGACCCTCTCTATTGCTGACAATGGCACTCGCGTAGTAGATATACAATGAATTGAATGTACTATTACGAGTGATTAGCTGCACCAGATCGTCGTTCACAACGGAACAAGGTGAGTTTGAAGGAAGATTAGGAGGTAGACAAGGCTTCACTAGACGGCTGCACGGCAGCACCACACGAGCATGTGTCAAGGAAACCTCTCATCAATGAAAGTTTCACCATCATTTCAAAACAACAAGTCGGTCAAGATTCAAGACATGCCAGCACCACCAATGGAAGAGGCAGCCTACATGTCGTGAACGAGGCGTTCCAGCCAGGATCGAAGCTCATCTGCCCGGTTCGTATAGATCAGAAAGAGGAGGCTCGCAACTCCAGCCGCAAGGAAGAGGCTGACAATCACCAAGATGGCAACCACGACCAGTAAGACACTGATCGAGCTCCCGTTTCGATCCGAATGAACTTTGGCATCATCCTTCATAGCCAAGAGACTGGATTGGATTTGAACCAGCCCGTCTTTGTGACCGGCTAGCTCAGCCTTGAACTTGGTCTCCATTGCCTTTTCCTGCTCGGCCAATGCCTTTTTGAGCTTGGTCTCTGCCATCTTTTCACGTTTGGTCAAAACGGACTTGAACATGGCCTCCGTCGTCATTTCCTGCTCGGCCAGAGCCGACTTGACAACTGCGTCCAATTCCGTTGTCTGCTCCGCCAAGGCGGACTCGATGCCAACGCGTAGATTGTCCTGTACTTCTCGCGAGAAGACGTTGAGGTTGACAGGGAGAGCTGAATCCATGTAGCTTTGTACTGCCTGCGTCTGACCTTCGATGAAGCACTTCATTTCCGTCGTCTGAGCCTGGACCTTGCCCGCCATGGACTGCTTCAATGACTGTTTCGTAAGCTTGAGCTGACTGGAAAGGTTGGCCGATTCACTCTCCATGCGCTTCTTTAGCAGACGCGTTTCCGTGGACAGCAATGCTTCCGTGTCTCCTACAATGCTCGCTGCTGTATCCTCCATTTCATTGGAAAGAGCCAGTTCGATGCGGTCTACCGCCGTGTTGATAGCTGCCGTTCGTGCTCGTCCAGTGCGGGTCAGCGCCGAGTCAATGACGACGGCCTTTCGTCCAAATGACTCGATGCTTTGGCGCAGCAAGTTTTTCATGACTCGTGTGGTGGGGACCATGTTCTCGGAGCAGTCGTGCAGTCCCATGGTGGCAAACTCGTTGGGATGGCTCCGCACGAGGTAATAAATGTTGTCCAAACTGCCTTCCGTGGCACCAAAGAGAGTCATCCATGTGCATTCGCCTTCTTCTTCGGTGGGAAAACTACTATCGTTGTTGTCGCGTTGAAAGAGGTCCCCCCGTCCCAATTTGTTGGCCTTGATGAGGAAATCACACTCCTCGTCTGTTGTTTTGATCCGCTTACTGGAATCCGATTTGCATTTTTCGAGCTGCAACTTGGCCACGCCATAGTTTCCCCGGAGCATTGCTCGCAGGTGCACCAGAGCCTCCGACATGTGCACACTGGGAAAGGCAAGTCGCATGCTGGTACAGAGTGACTCGCCAAGACCTCGTGTCAGTGTCCGCAAGACAGTCTCAGCTGACGCTGTAGTCGTATCGATACTGTTGATCACCAAATGAATGTCAATCAGATTGGGACGCCGCGTGGCCAAGAAATCGGCCAGTGCCTTGCTGCCGTTGGTTGCCAGGCCTTTGGTACAGAGAAAGAGTGACGTCAAATGCTCCTTCGCGCTGGTAGTCAGGCCATTGACGAGGGCCACCGTCTCTTCGTCCGAGAAATCGCGTGTGCAAATCCAGAGCTTGTTCAACCAAATGGGTCGACCAAGGGATGTCAATGTCGACAAGGAGAGCTTGCCAAGATCGGTACCGAAATACATCTCGACGCTTTCCAAAGCAAAGTTTTTCCCGAGAGTTTCCAATACACCACTGATGGGGGAAATCGCCTCGTCGTCGTCGTCGTCGTTAGAGTGTTCGTCATTGGTGGTGATCAAACGGGTGCCACAGGCGTAGTAAAATTTCTTCAGTCGAACGCAGCCTTGCAGCGCCACTGCCAAGCGCTCAAAATCTTGTTTGGATCCAACGAGGCACAAGTTGACCATGTAAAGAACCTCCAAACTGGATGCCTTTTCAATCGCCGTGGCCAACGCACGAACTGGCAAGAGGCAATCTTTCGAATGCTTCATGTCACTGATTGTGGGCCGAATATCCAAACTGTCTAATTGACGAGTAGAGGCGTCCAATGATTCCATGAAAGTCACCAAGTGCTCTTCGTATTGGTCCGTTGTCGCGCTGGTAAAGTAGGACGTGAAAAGACGCAAGTTCAACCGCGACGCTGTGGAGTAGTCACCGGCAGTCAACGCCTGCGTAGCATTGCGGATGCTATTGAGAGAACGGAGTTCGATGCTCATGACGATGTTGATTGGATTGAATGGAAAAGCAAGGCAAGGATAGAAGAAGAAGCAAGACGGCCAGTCTAATGGACGTTCACCAACAGACAGCACCAGAAAATAAATGAAGAGTGAAATGGCTGGAATTGTGAGATGGCCAATGCTACCCGAGTTCGAATTCAATCCGACATTCGAACGGAATCGAATCGAATCGAATCAGAATCGATTGATTCAATCGAACAACCAGATGGAACTCTCTCACAACCACCGCACTCCAACGGCTTTCCCAGCTTTTGGCTCGCAAGTGGTCCAAGCCCTACTCTGTGGTTCGCTCTTTCATCTTGGCCAGGCTGAGCATAGCTCTTGCCCGTGCCGCGACAATGTGTCTGAGAGGCTCCCGTGTCCCAGCTCTCAAGGTTTCCAAGCGTTGGGATGACTGTGGTGCCCTCGATCTCTTCCACTAGTCTTGCTCCTTTGCTCCTCCCTGCCCTCCTGCCTTCACCCCTTTCCTTGGTTTCCATGTTGCCCTGCTTGCGCACTTGATTGCTTGCCTTGCGTTCCTGCATCGTGCCCTCCCCTCGAGCTCTGTCCCCATCCTCATCTTAGCTCTCTCTAATCCATAGTAACTCCCAATTTCCTTCAACAATCAATAGAGTTACGGGGCCGCACAACATCACCACAACGGCAGAGGTCTGGGACGGTCTTCCTCTCCTAGCTAAATAGCTACAAGTAAAGTGAAGATGCGGTGTTGCTGGGCTGGCAATGCTGGACAGAAATTGGCCATCAGCAGCTTCGACGATGCTCTTTGTTTCCTTGCTTGACGTGATTCTCTTGGCTCACTCGGCAACCTGTGTCCAGAAGGAGAGCCGAGTGACGAGTCGTATACTAGTAGGAAGAGGCGTCTACAAAACTCAAGATTCACCCTCGAGAAAGCAAGACGACATCTTGGTGCTATCGCTCAGCGACTCTTCTTACCTTAACGCTTCTTGGCGGTGTAAGTGTAGAAAGAGAGAGAGAGAGAGAGAGAGAGTTCGAAAGAGAGAGTGGCCATTGAGAAAATCTGTGATAAGTACCAGTGGAACTAGCTAGCTAGAGCTAGAGCTAGAGCTTGAATGCTACGCATGCACACCACGCCAGCAAGCAATCTCCTTGCAACCAACAATCTAAAGGTTATCAAAAGTCCTTAGAAACCACAATCTCCTTGCAGCCAAAGATCTTTATGGAGTTTCCCACAAGTCGTAGTCCTTTGACACACTGGTCCTGGCAGATGCCTATACACTTCCTTGAGCCGCAAATTGACAGACACAATCACAACCACAAAGATCCTCTGAGCAATCAAAGATGACTTTGGTAATATCACAAAGATCAGCTGGAATTACCCCTGTCAAAACTGTTTCGTTCAAAGTGAGATACTCTAGGCTACCAGTCTGACTGACTGCCAAAGCTCCCAGCTCAACAGGAACAGTGCCACTGAGGTTTGTGCCACCAAGACCCAACCCGATAAGTGAAGACAAGCCTCCCAACTCAGAAGGGACAAAGCCCTCAAGTTCGTTGTCATTCAAAAGTACATATTGTGCCCCTTCCATCAAGCCAATTTCACTTGGAATCATGCCAGTGAGAGAATTCACATGAAGGAGCATGGAAACCAACCCAGAAAGCTTTCCGAATTCAGTTGGAATCATGCCAGTGAGAGAATTCACATGAAGGATCAACGAAAACAAGTCTGTGAGTCTGCCAACTTCAGTTGGAATTGGACCTGTTAGAGAATTTGAGTGAAGCTCCAAAGATTCCAAATTAGTCAATCTGCCAACCTCAGTGGGCACTGTTCCTGTCAAGGACTGGCCATGTGCCCCAAAGCCTTCTGACAGGTTGGTCATCAAGCCAATCTCTGATGGAATAGGCCCTTCCAGCAACCCTCGAAACAAAAGCAGGAAAGTTGTTTGGGTCATCAACCCCAGTTCTGTTGGAATTGTTCCTCTGGTCATTGTTTCTGCCCATTCAAAATCTATCATGTTGGTCAAGAGGCCAACTTCTGTCATGATGGTGCCAGTCACCAGGTTGGTGTGTATGAAGAATTGCTCCAAAAGAGTCAACTGTCCAATCTCAGATGGCACTTCCCCAGTGAGTTGGTTGACATTCAGGATAAGTTCGTAAAGAGAAGTCATCAGGCCAATTTGACTTGGTATCGTCCCTCTGATGCTGTTTGTGGCAACATCAAAAGCTTCCAGCTTGGTCAATAGGCCTAGCTCTGGGGGAAGGCTTCCAGACAGTCTATTCTTGGTCAAATAGAGATAGAGGAAGTTTCCATCAGGATCACACTGCCTTGTTATTCCATCCCCTTGCAGACCCTCACCCTTTGTTTGCCAGAGGCACTCATGGAGAGCATTAGATAGCCAATTTTCATTGACATCCCAGGCCTCGCCATTTGTAGCATAGTAGAGTGTGACCAGAGCAAACCGCTGAAGTTGTCGATAGGGACTGTAGGTTTCCAGCAAGATATCATCCTTGAGCCATTGATATGCCCGAGCTTGTGGTGATTGTGGGTTGGCAACAATAGTTTGTGCTGTTTCTTCAGGCAAAGGAATCAAGTATGGTGTAGGAGCAGGTGATGGCATTGATGACGGGGCAAATGTTGATGCTTCTTCTGAGTCTTTAATACTAAAGACTCCCGCAAGGAGCAATACAGCAAATGCTAGTACAATCAGAATCAAACAGAGGCAACCCAAGCCATTCCCCACTAGGATTAATCTGTCCATGTTCCTCGCTGCCATGGCTTCTTCTTCTGATGAGACAAACTCACTGGCTGCCAGTGCCACTGGCAAGTTGGTTGCCTCAACTGGAGTTGCTTCAACCAACCCCTGGTGGTTCCCTGTGAAATTAAATACATGGATTGTCTGACAATTAAATACACTGGATTCTTGCAAGCTGGAAGCAGGGTTCATCCCTGGCATGATAAGTCCCTCTTCCAATGCTGCAAAAGGAACAGGTGAACAGCGATGTGCTCCTGGTGTTGATTCAAGTTGTTGCGGAAACTGATGCAGTACTTCTCCATAGTTGGGCTCCTCTTCCCTTGATTGACGGAGTCCCTTTTTATCCTTCTCAATTCTGTGATTGGGATTTGTTGCAGAGTGCCTTAGTCTCGGATCAAGCCCTGTAAGCGTAATTGCTGCCAGACGCCCTTCTTCCAAATCAATGTTGTCATTGTCAATTTTCATCCCATCACCAAGCAATGATCTTTTGTGATCTAGTGACGACCTTGTGTTCCGCAAACCTGCACTTGTGGGGGGTTGTGACTTGGATCGAGCGGACACATCCCAAGACTCGCTATTATTGCAAAGCAGTGTCCTTTTTTCGTCTAGTGACGACCTTGTTGTGGACAGACCTGATCTTCTCATGGGGGATTGAGACCTGGCTCTCCGTTGATTTAGGCACTGTGGAATATTCCCACTGCTCACAGTTTTCTGGTGACAGGAAGATGTACTGCCAAATATGTCGAGTATTCCATGATGGGACGTACTTTTTCTTTGACATGACGAGGCACTTCCACGTAACACAGCCTGTCTACTCCGGGGACGTGTATTGGCGTGTGACAACAAGCTGTTAGCGGAACTGCCTATTGTTGTCGATTTTGAAGAAGAAGACCGCTGAAGTGTCTCCTGCAAATCACCGGTCAGACTGTGGACTGTTCGGCGCCGGACAGGAGACAGGGTTTGCACACGCATTTCTCGTTGTTTGCTGGAACCTGTTCTATTTCTTTTCGCGCCAACTCTTTTCTGATGAGGAGACGGAGACATGCTTTTGGATCTCATACGCCTGGGCGATGCAGGTTCTCTTTTCAGGGCAGCATTGCGGCTCCACAAGCTATCTGCTTCTTCTTTGGAAGACAACGCCCTCGCCTTGGCTTTGGATGACTGTCTGGGCATGGCTTGTTCTTCCGAACTCTGATGATGATCTGGCGACATGCTCCTGGACGATTCACGACAGACAGGCCCAGATACCAGTACGGCTGTGGGATCCTGCAAGAGACAGGACTGGTACCGTCTCAAGCTGTCTTCTTCGGAAGGTGACAAACTCCGTGATACAATCCTCCTCATCTTTCTCGTATTGATTGCGACTGCTGGTACAGTTTTGCGGATCTTCACAACAGAGGGCGACAACTCCACATTGGAAAAACCAGTGGCTTTGGGAGTGAGTGCTTGTGGTGGGGATCGTCGCGTTGCTGATCGACCTCTTTGTTTCTTGGGAGTTTGGGTAGCGGTCAAACCCATGCTCAGGCTGCTGCTTCCATGTGAGTTGTCGTCATTACATGTATTTGACCCCCTCGATTCCCCTCTTGGTGATTTTTCTTCCCCACTACTATTGTCCATTTCGCCTCTGTTCATTGACGCCAGTGCTTGTCCTCCTTCGACGATTTCCATCTTGTTCGGGGTTCGGGCTGTTCTACCAGTACTGACATGATCCATATTTGCAACATGCCCATCTCCTTCAAGAGACCTGGCGACCTTGGCTTCTTCTTCGCTGGTATCGTTGATATCCATTGTCGCTATCTTCACTTACAAAAATGGTATTCCATGCTTGGGGTGGATGTTTTGGTGCTGTTTGGGCTTACCATTGACTTCTCGCATTCGCGGCTTTTCTGTCATGATGAGGGCTGCATGTAGGATCGCATTGTACGGTGGTACTATCTTGTACAGTATGTAGGCTCTGGAAAGTTCGTAGTGTCCTATCTCTAATGAGTTTAGAGATCAAAGAGAGCCAGCCCCGTTTCTTCAAGCTGACTTTGGCTCGAAGAGCTGCTTTTAAAAGCTGGCAATGGCTCGAAGAGCGCTCGAAAGCAGCCACAACATCAAACCGCAGCAAAATATTGCTACTAGTACATTGCTACAACTACCGTATGGTTCTCGAACGGGGAAAGTTACTATGGGTTAGAGAGAGCTAAGATGACAGAGAGGGGATGGGCACGATGCAGGAACGCAAGGCAAGCAATCAAGTAAGTGCGCAAGCAGGGCAACATGGAAACCAAGGAAAGGGGGGAAGGCAGGAGGGCAGGTTGGTTGCTGTTGGCTAGGTCACTTACAAAAATGGTGGTCTACTTGGAGTGCATGTAGATGCTTTCGTGCTGTGGGAAGGTCAGAGTCAGAGTGGAGTCCAGAAAATGGTCTTGCCATCGGCCATCTCGAGTTCTCGGTCGCGGCGATGTGCGACGAAGCCAGCAGACCTGTTGATATCATTTGTATGGTTTCACAGTCCGAGCATTAGGGTGATTTGGTTATTAAATCTTTTTCGGAACCTGATTACCGGTACTCTCCTCTCTCCCGTGACTTGTGTAAAAGTGAGTAAATTTTGCCGCCAAAAAGCTTTTGCATTCCTTTTGTGCTCACAGCTACTGCTGATACCGGTAGTACAGTACGTGTTCTATTGTCCATTATAAAGGACAGCTGTCGTCTATAGCGTTCTGTCTATCTATCACCTTCCATGTCATGATGAAGGGAGCTCCGACAGATAGAAGAAAGGACGAAGGAGTGAACGGCAGTGTCGGCAAAGGCGGAGCCGCAAACGGCCATCATCATTCGGAAGTGAGGAATGCGACTTGTGCACCAGTCTCTACCAACCAGCAACTTGCCGGCATCACGGCATTGGCGACACGACGAGGGTCTACCACAAAAAATGGAACTACCCCACCGTCCAGAACGCCAATGAAAAATTCTGGGTTGACGGACGATGAGATGGATCGTATCAAGGAAGAGGAAAAACTGACACAACTCTCCCCGGCCGTTACATTGGTTCTACAAGATGACAATGACAGCAAAAATCAACACAACACCAGTGCAACCACTCCACAGAAACAGAACCAAAATCTCCCAGCTATACGCCGCCGTAAAGCCGGGTCCAGTCCATCACCGCCAAGGAGAAATCCTTCCAACCACCAGTGGCATCAATTGCAACAATTTCAGGAAAAGGCTGCGACTCCTGATGATACACAATCCAGATTGAAGGAAGGGACCACTCCGGTGGTGCAGGAAGAGGGTAGCGGAAACAGCCATCCAAACGATACAACAACAGCATCGCACCCAAGCAAGCGTCCTCGAGCCACTCAACGCAAGCACTCTGGTCCTCCAAGATTACAACCAGAAACAGCCAAACGAAGTCAATCTGAGAGCACTGATGGGTTGAAGAAGGAAGAAGGGGCAAAGAAAAATGATGACACATGGATGAAGGAAATCAAAGAACAAGAGAGAATCACGCGATTGAACCCAGCTGTCACCTTGGCACTGAAAAACAGTGCTACCAGTGTGGAGGCACCCGCGATAGCAGCAAAAGCCACCAGTACTTCCGCCAAGACCGACAAAAAGCCAAAGATAGCCACACGAAGTATATCAAATACCACGGATGGGCTGAAGGAAGGGACAAAGACAAATGACGACCAATTGATGGACGAAATCAAAGAACAAGAGAGAATCACGCGATTGAACCCTCCTGTCACCTTGGCACTAAAGAACAGTGCTACCAGTGCGGAGGCCCCCGCGTTAGCAGCAAAAACAACAGCAGCCACCACTACTTCTGCTGCGAACGACAAAAAGGCCAAAGCTGTCTTTGTCAAAATGGAAAGTGGCGATGATGATGATTGGCGCAGACGAATGCGTTTCATGAACGATGGGGATTCAGGGGCATTAGCACAGCTCAGACACGACGAACAGCAACGCATCCACGGACCATCCTATGCCAGTTCAAGGCCGAGAATATCCACTTCTTCTTCTGACCCAGTAGCAGCCAAAAGTGCACCCCAGAAATCTCCGGTTCATCAGGGCAATGGTGGTGAATCGGGTGAGAATTCCGACGATCTCATGAAGATCGTGGCGAAACGATCCTACGACTCGGAGTTGTCCGAATTGTCGGACGAGTTCACACGTCAACAACGGCAACAGAGTGCTGCCATGCACACCGGGACCAGCAACGGCACAAATGACGACACAGCCGCCAACTACAGTCAGAACGCCAAGAAGCGCATCCAAGGGGGGGTGCAACCAGGGGCGTTTGGAGCGGCCCCGGGGGTTCAGCCGTCCCGCAACCTGTCACTTCGATATTCGGCACTGACCCGGCCCAGCACTGCTGGGATACCCAGTACGATGGAATTCACAACAACAACAACAACAATGGATGAAGAAACGACATCTGAAATGAGTCAGCAGCAGCTCGACACGTATCAACAAGAATTGGAAAATTACCGCAGAGACCAGGAAGATTCCAACCAAAGCCTTTTGAAAAATTCCGCAACTCTCACCAGCAGTGCTACTTCGAAGGAACCAATTTCCAAACGAAATCAAGGATTGGTGGAAGCCCATCTTGTGTTATCCGAGCCACAAATCAAGATTCAAGCCGACAAATACGAAGCTCCACCGCAAGAGTTCATTGCCGCTAAGGAACACAGGCGACGTTGTCGATTGGCGCAATCTTTGTGCATCCTTCTTTTGGTGTTTACAGTCGTGGTCCTTTTGATACTGTTCGCGGCTGATGCAATCTTCCCTAACCACCATCCAGACCAAACAACACATGCTCCTTCCTCGATGCCTTCTTTATCTCCGACAATTGCCCCTACATACTATCAGCATAATGTTGGATTGCCCAACTACACGCTGGAAGTCATGGAAACAAACCCCTACTCTCCGCAGGCTAGGGCATATGATTGGATTCAGGAGGATGATATGTTTGATAGCTACAGCCCCTATCGACAACTGCAGCGGTTTGTTTTGGCAACATTCTACTTTGCTACCAATGGTGATTCATGGATAGTCAATAAAAACTGGTTGTCACATGATCTGCATGAGTGTACATGGCACACCAAAGGATTGGATCTAGAAGGGACTGGTACACCAATGTGTGAGGATGAGCAAGTTGTTGCTCTGTTGTTGACCAAGAATGGGCTCTCTGGAAGACTTCCACCAGAGCTGAGCCTGCTGACTACACTGCAGGTTCTGGATGTTGCCACAAACGACGTCAAGGGGACCATCCCAAGCCAATTGGCACTTCTGACATCCCTAAGAGAGCTCGTTCTGGATGTCAATGAGCTCTCAGGAGAGGTGCCCTCTGAACTGGGTCAGTTGGCTCTTCTTGAATGGTTCTACGTTCATACCAACAACATTATTGGCACGATGATTACAGAACTTGGCCTCTTGACCAACCTCAAGGATTTGGCATGGGGTAGAACCATGACGAGAGGTACCCTCCCAACCGAACTCGGTAGACTTGTCAAATCAACAAATTTATGGCTTGGATCCAATGCACTCGAAGGCCCCCTTCCTTCAGAGTTGTTCCTGCTGACTGACCTCAATGAAAGCGTTGTTCTGGGTAACCAGTTTCTATCAGGAACTATTCCAAGTGAGATTGGGATGCTCTCGAATCTTTGGGGAATGTTCCTTGCAGGCAATTCACTATCTGGCAGCATACCGACTGAAGTGGGTCTCATGACCGCTTTAAATCAGCTCTATCTCGCAAGAAACAATCTCACCAGCACATTGCCAACAACCGTAGGCACCATGCAGAACATGACTTATCTGTATTTCTCGCATAACCATGTCAATGGGAGCATTCCTACAGAGATTGGGACAATGAGCAACTTGGAATATCTTGATTTTGAGAACAACACCATGAGTGGTACTGTCCCAGCTCAGGTTGGTCAGCTCTCTGCTTTGATACAGTTCAGAGCGAATGACCAGAGTTTTTCTGGGGCTTTGCCCCATGAACTAGGCATGCTCTCTAATCTGAAGTTCTTGGATGTTGGTCGCAACCAACTCAACTCCACAATTCCCTCAGAATTCATGCAAATTGCATCCTTGGAAGAAGTCAAACTGGAACAGAATTTTCTCTATGGACCTCTTCCAAGTGAGATTGGGCTATTGGTGAATTTGACTTGGCTAGTGCTTGACTCCAATTATCTTTCGTCATCCATTCCACCCGAATTCTTTGCTGAGCTGCGTTCTTTGGAACACCTACACCTGCAGGACAACCATCTGACTGGGGCCTTGCCTTCTGAGATTTCTGCTTTGAGGTCTCTGGTGGACCTGCGGTTGAATGCAACATTTCTGAATGGGACTATTCCAACCGAAATAGCATTGTTGGCCCCAAACCTGGAACATCTTGATCTATCTTCCACCAACATTTCAGGGAGCATACCCTCAGAACTTGGTACCATGACCTCACTGACATGGTTGAAACTGGACAATACACAGCTCAGTGGCGAGATACCAACAGAATTGAGCAACTTGGCTGTCAATGGCAGTCTTGCTAGGTTCAACATCAATGACACCCTTGTCAATGGCGAAATTCCATCAGATCTCTGTGCCGTTCCCGATTTTCACTTTGATTGTTCTTTTGATCTTTGTGGGTGTTTCTGTGTCTGCCTTTCCTTGGCTCATGGGAATTGGCAAATATCTCTTCTGGATGACTTTAATGTCACAGATGATGGTCTTTGGGGTTGAGAGACAAGCACTTGTGGAAGGCTGTTGTGCGCGCACGGGGAAAGGCAAGGCGATGATGCTCAAATGAATCTCCTGGGCTCTCGGGCACTTCAGTGGCTTCACTCAGGTCTGTGGGCAAACCCAATGGTCGAATGCGATAAGGGGATGGAAGATGTATTTTTGTACCAGCTAGTAATGAGCTGTTCTTGTACTGACTAGCTAGAAGGCACCAGGGGATTCGATTCCTGCCCATTGAAACGTGTAGCGATCGAATCTGTAGCAGGGCCAACACCCTTCTCCGCCAATAGTTGCATTCCTTTCTTTGGCTCAACAATAATACTAGCCCCAGCGGAAACAGATTCGATTCCAAAGGAGGAGAGTCCAGGCTGCATCCTGGCTCCATGGTCTTTCCCCTGTCTTTCCCCTGCGGTAGCTACACCAGCCAGCATTCATGGTACAGAGGGTCCGATCCCACATGGCAACACACCTGGGCTATCCTAAGTAATTTCACCTGGGGTGCGACGTTAATTAAATTGACCCTTAAATAATTTTTTGTCCTAATCAAACAAGTTCCCCCGCGCACCTCTAACGTCCCTCTCTAATTACAGAAATTCGGCGACCATGTTCAACACAAATTTCAGTCGATACTCAGCGTAAGTAGGAGCAACATCAATTCAACGTCGTCACCTACAAAAGCGGCTTGTTGCTATTCCTGGTACCGGTCCGTAGAGTATCTCTATTTCTTTTTGAGTCTCTGGGATAGCAACAATGGCAAATTGAAGGCTGCAAAGTTGGCAAACTTAGTACGATTGAATCGATTCCGAGTACGAATTTTGGAGTGATGTGCATCTGTTCAAGTCGATGTGATCAGATACAATCGCGTTGGATTTAATCCCAGAAAAATATAGACTAAACCGTATCTTTAAGCTACAATGAAGATTGTTCAATTTCTGAAACAATTACTATGGTATTTGTTTGCAAGAGAATTTAAACAATAAAAGTTGTTGCTAGCTATCGGGGTTCTTAGCCAACGGAAGGTAAAGAGAGCATCAACTCCCAGGGGATCAATCGAATCGTATGCAAGAAGAAATATCGACCTGATTCAATTCAGTTCAGTTCATAGTTCAGTTGTCGGCTCAGTTCAGTTCATAAAATCTCAATCTCAAAAACCAAAACACAAGCAAAATCTATGCCATTTTCAATTGAACCATCCTCCATTTCCATTGAATCCATCTCATTGTTGCATTCCATACCTCCACCATGACCATTCGGGTCGTTGTTTTGCTGGTTGTGACGGCCATTCCCAGGTAGGTTTGGCATGATGGCAAGCGAGGAAGTGTTTGATGAAACTGTTCCGTTGGAGGATAATGGGGACAGGAATCGTTGATTGTTTTGAGGAATGCTGATTTGATTCATCGGTGGTGTCATTGTGCGTCGGACATTGTTTTGATTCATTCCATTACTCATCATGCTGTCGTTCATTCCCATTCCCATCATAGCAGGCGAAGCCGGTCATCATTTGCCATGGGATTGTTGGATTGCTAGTAAACCTAGCTAGTAAAGGTAAAATACTGTTCTACTGTTAAGCTTTTCCAAGAAGTGATCTTTCTCCATGTTTTCTGGGATTGAATAACTTCAAAGGATATACGTGAAGGGGTGACCATATAGATCAGTTAAACTCCCAATGTATGTAACTAGAAATAGATATAGATATCCCCTATAAACTAGATGTGGGATAAACGACATAATTTGTATTGAGGTGTCCTGTAAATACAACCTCCAACACACTCTGCACGGTTCCATAAAGGATACGTGGAACGAATAATTAATGTAATAGATGGTTGCTCCATAAGGAACAGTTGTTGGTCCAAGACCAATTGCTAGGTTGCTCGGCATTCCCTTGGTGGCGAAAGCTTGTCTTCCATAGCAAGTTCTGACAATCTGTCACAGTCAATTGGACATGTGAACAGTGTCGTCAATGAAAAGCAAATGTGGCTACCACTCCTGTAAGTGTTGTCCACTCCTGTAGACTTGCTGTGGCAATTGATGCCGTCACTTGATTGTTGCTGTATTCGAAACTTGGAAGTTCCGATCACTTTTTGAACCGTGGACTGGGAAGTTCCGAGTCCTTGGTATTGACCTGTACCTGGAATTGGTCTGGTAGCTGTACTGGAACTATGAAGTTCCTGCTGCATTCTCGTAGACTCAAACTGTGTCTTGACTGGGTGTGTAGACTGAACTGGACAATCCGATATGCCATGGTTCAATCGCAATAGAATTGTGGAACATCAATCATTCAGCTTGATACTGGATTTGAAATCAGGTGAGCAATGGTTGTGCTAATAGCTGGTAGCTATCTGAGTCAGCATTGTTGTCCATTGGAATGGAACTGTGAGCTGTTCTTCTTTTTGGATGTCCAAGAAGTGTAGTGATGTCCTGCTTTGTCTTTTCCAGAGGAATGGAATCCTACTTCTTCCCATCTGGGGAAGTTTCTTCCTTCATCACAGCCTTCCTCTTCTTTGGAACTGAATGGCTGTGACTTGTTGTACATGAATGTGTGCTAGCGTTGATGTGGACCTTGGGTTTCACCTCTTGTAGATGGGTGTTGGCAACTTGTGGCGTTCCATCGAACTGTTGCTTGCTTGAGCTGGTTCCATGGTGGAACTGTTCTGTGGAACTGTGGGAATCCTCCTGCAGAAGATATTCCGGTAGCACTGGTGTTGTGCTACCCTTGCTTGAGTAAACTTGCTCTGCTCTGATAGGCTTCT